TCCCTTCTACTTGATGAAAAACACCAAATACATCATACACACAGAAATACATGATACACACAGAAATACATGATACATACAGAAATACAGGATACACACAGAAATAAGATACACACAGAAATACATGATACACACAGAAATACATGATACACACAGAAATACGATACACACAGAAATACAGGATACACACAGAAATACATGATACACACAGAAATACATGATACACGCAGAAAAACATGATACACGCAGAAAAACATGATACATGCAGAAATACATGATACACAAAGAAATACATGATACACACAGAAATACATGATACACACAGAAATACATGATACACACAGAAATACATGATACTCGCAGAAATACATGATACACAGAAATACATGATACACACAGAAATACATGATACACACAGAAATACAGGATACACACAGAGATACAGGATACACACAGAAATACATGATATAGCAGAAATACATGATACACACAGAAATACATGATACACACAGAAATACATGATACACGCAGAAAAACATGATACACACAGAAATACATGATACTCACAGAAATACATGATACACACAGAAATACATGATACACACAGAAATACATGCTACACACAGAAATACATGATACACGCAGAAAAACATGCTACACGCAGAAAAACATGATACATGCAGAAATACATGATACACACAGAAATACATGATACACACAGAAATACATGATACACACAGAAATACATGATACACACAGAAATACATGATACTCGCAGAAATACATGATACACAGAAATACATGATACACACAGAAATACATGATACACACAGAAATACAGGATACACACAGAAATACATGATACACACAGAAATACAGGATACACGCAGAAAAACATGATACACCCAGAAATACATGATACACACAGAAATACGATACACACAGAAATACATGATACACACAGAAACATATGATACACACAGAAATACATGATACACGCAGAAAAACATGCTACACGCAGAAAAACATGATACATGCAGAAATACATGATACTCACAGAAATACATGATACACACAGAAATACAAGATACACGCAGAAATACATGATACACACAGAAATACATGATACACACGGAAATACAAGATACACACAGAAATATGATACACACAGAAATACATGATACACACAGAAATACATGATACACACAGAAAAAGGATACACAGAGAAATACATGATACACAGAAATACATGATACACGCAGAAATACATGATACACACAGAAATACGATACACACAGAAATACATGATTCACACAGAAATAAATGATACACACACAAATACATGATACACACGGAAATACATGACACACAGAAATACATGATACACACAGAAATACGATACACAGAAATACTTGACACACACAGAAATACATGATACACACAGAAATACATGATACACGCAGAAAAACATGATACACGCAGAAAAACATGATACATGCAGAAATACATGATACACAAAGAAATACATGATACACACAGAAATACATGATACACACAGAAATACATGATACACACAGAAATACATGATACTCGCAGAAATACATGATACACAGAAATACATGATACACACAGAAATACAGGATACACACAGAAATACAGGATACACACAGAAATACATGATACACGCAGAAATACATGATACACACAGAAATACATGATACACACAGAAATACATGATACACGCAGAAAAACATGATACACACAGAAATACATGATACTCACAGAAATACATGATACACACAGAAATACATGATACACACAGAAATACATGATACACACAGAAATACATGATACACGCAGAAAAACATGCTACACGCAGAAAAACATGATACATGCAGAAATACATGATACACACAGAAATACATGATACACACAGAAATACATGATACACACAGAAATACATGATACACACAGAAATACATGATACACACAGAAATACAGGATACACACAGAAATACATGATACACACAGAAATACAGGATACACGCAGAAAAACATGATACACAGAGAAATACATGATACACACAGAAATACGATACACACAGAAATACATGATACACACAGAAACATATGATACACACAGAAATACATGATACACGCAGAAAAACATGCTACACGCAGAAAAACATGATACATGCAGAAATACATGATACTCACAGAAATACATGATACACACAGAAATACAAGATACACGCAGAAATACATGATACACACGGAAATACAAGATACACACAGAAATATGATACACACAGAAATACATGATACACACAGAAATACATGATACACACAGAAAAAGGATACACACAGAAATACATGATACACAGAAATACATGATACACGCAGAAATACATGATACACACAGAAATACGATACACACAGAAATACATGATTCACACAAAAATAAATGATACACACACAAATACATGATACACACGGAAATACATGACACACAGAAATACATGATACACACAGAAATACGATACACAGAAATACTTGACACACACAGAAATACATGACACACACAGAAATACATGATACACACAGAAATACATGATACACACAGAAATATGATACACACAGAAATACATGACACAGAAATACATGAGACACACAGAAATACATGACACATACAGAAATACGATACACACAGAAATACATGATACACACAGAAATACATGATACACACAGAAATACATGATACACACAGAAATACACGATACACACAGAAATACATGATACACACGGAAATACATGACACAGAAATACATGACACACAGAAATACATGACACATACAGAAATACATGATACACACAGAAATACACGATACACACAGAAATACATGACACACACAGAAATACATGATACACAAGGAAATACATGACACACAGAGAAATACATGATACACACAGAAATATGATACACACAGAAATACATGACACAGAAGTACTTGACACACACAGAAATACATGATACACACAGAAATACATGACACACACAGAAATACATGATTCACACAGAAATACATGATACACACAGAAATACATGATACACACGGAAATACATGACAGACACAGTCCTGCTTCAAGTGAAACACATCCATTGAGAGTAAATGTACAGAGAGATGAATAGAATTGTTTGTTTAATCAAGAACCTCCCACCTCACATTTTTTAACAATTGGATGAAAATGTAACACCTTCTTGTGGCCTAAGAGGGTTCTAGTTCTATTCTCCTCTGTTGTGGGTCATGTGTCTGAGAGTGAAAGGTTGGTGGTTTGATACCCAATGTCATACCAAAGACAGTTAAAAGATGGTACTGGTTGCTACCTTGCCTTGTGCTCGACATTAACAGGATCAAACAAGGTTGAGAGTAAATGTACATCGAGATGCTAAAATAGTTTGTCAAAAAGATACCTCACAATATTTAGAAATTGGATGAAAATGTAATAACTTCTTGTGTCCGTAGACGGTTGTTTTAGTTCTGTTCTCCTTTGTTGTGGGTAGAGCATCAGCCCAGAGAAAGGAAGGTCGATACCCTGGCTGTGTCATACCAAAGACGTTAAAAGATGGAACTTGTAACCCTGATCATGAAAAGGGGATGAGACAAGAAGTGGTTGGCTTCTAGTCTGTATATTATGCAGGCCTAATTTTAACAATAATATTATTGAAATGTGCAACCTAATATCTATGTCTTCATGCACCAACATGACCAAGTGTATGTAAAAAAAATTTCATGTCTGACTAATCCTTACTTTTCCACACAACGATCTTTGAACACAGTCAATAGCTCTAAGCTTTTTATATACTACTTAAAAGAAGTTAAGGATCACCTGATTCTCTCATATTGGTAATGTTAACCTGTCATGGCATGAGAGATTACCTATTGTAATATGAAAGAATCGGGTGATCCTTAACTTCTTTTGAGTAGTATATCATACTACATCTCTCATCCCTTTGTTATGTGTACTTTGTCAAGCTTTCTTGGGCTTGGCGTCATTATGTGCACATGTTCTAATATGTTTTACAGCAATACGTCATTAATTTATGTAAAGTCATGACACTGTCATCAGAGATCTGAGATTTTATTTATTTGGTCTAGTTTATGCCTGGATCATCTCTGTTTCAGCTTTGATAAGTTTAATGAACCAGGGCGCAACAGACACCTGGTGCAAGTTCAGTCAATTTCCTTAAATTGAGCCGTGCTGTGTCTGAGTGGGGTATCCTTTTTAAATTGTGGCATGGTATCTTAATGGGCTACCGCTATAAAATCGGCATTAGTCTGGACTAGTACAAGCAGCCACACACACACACACACACACACACACACACACACACACACACACATGCATACATATCACTGTGAGTGAAATAATTTTGAACATGGTGTTGGGAGACCATTTCACCAAATGTTATTAGTTTACCAGTACAGTAGATTTGGTACATGTGGTAAGACCAGCCTGTATTGTGGTATATAAGATAGCTACGCGACAAATCTTAAGCAACAATGAAGAACAAGGTGTGGTTTGTTTCACGATAAAACATTGTTCTATAATGGCATCATTTTTGGAGATTTCAAACATACACTCGTCGCTCGATGATGTTGTAAATTGGATGATGATATTTTTAGAGAGGGTCGAGTGCTGTTCCCTCGGATGTAGCTGGAAGGCGCAGGCAAATACATTGGCCAAAGGATTGCATCCAAAACTGGGCAAGCTATGGCAATCGGTTTTGGTAGAAACAGTTTTAGATAGTTGCCTTGAGAGTTCTGAGAATAATCAGGAAGTACCAAACTTAACCCCCCAGTTCATAAAATGGACTTGTCGGATATTGCCGCGATCGGATTGTATGCAGGGAGTCATCATTGTTATAATATGTCAAAATATTTTTACTTTCACAGTCCCTTTGTCAAAGAATTAAGTGTTAAATATTCTCACCATTTCAGATATCTGAGAATATATGAGACCGCACCATCATGCAAGGCTATCACCAAGGTCAAGGTCAGTGGCCAGGAGGTTATGACAGAGGAATGTCTGTGGTCAACCAAAGGGGAAGGGCAGATGAGAATCCCCCTGATGGACGGTACAGCGAGATGGAAACTGATTCCCCCACGATGAGCATGGTTACCCATGCATTGAAGACCCTACGAGAAATGCATCGTTCTGAGGGTAGGAAACGGCCAGCGCAGCAGGGCTTGAGGGGAGATTTTAGTGGATTTCCTGATGCCAAGACTTCACGTTATGAGTCAGGGTAGGTGTTGTCAGTCAGTGTATTTTGTATGAGATATCTGATGGTTAAATACTTCATCCTCGCTTATCCAGTGTATTATGCCTCCATTCTGTTATGATAAATACTACGACCCTCTTGTTTTGAAATAGAGTTTTAATGCTGTCTCACTGTATCGTCAAGCCCTAACAGAACATACTGCCTGGTTTTAAAGGCATTATCTCCTTGATGTTTTTTGCAGAGGTCCACCAGACTCCATGGGTCAAAGTCAGGATGACAGCTGGAGGTGTACTAAGGTGAGTTCCTCACATTCGGGGGATGGTGGGGTGGCCTAGTGGTTAAAGCCTGGCCTTGAGATGTCCCCTGCTTTGATATTGTGGCAAGAAAGAATACTCACTCACTCACTCATCATTTTCAACTAATACTATTACTGTGGATGTTCTGAGCTAATCAATATCAAGTCAATATAATTTTCTTTTCTTTATACATATATATACCCAGGGTTTTACCTTGAACTACAAAACTAGGGGAACCAACAATGTATTTTCAAGGATCCTTACAGGAAATATGAGGGTAAAGTAATGACTTGTTGTAGTGTACTGTACTGTAAGATTTGATAAGTACTTTACTTACAGGACCTTTGTGTTTCTTGTCAAGAATTTAGTGCAATGAATATTATTGTGTGTCCCTCAGGATTTCTGTGTCCTGTCTATACATTTGAGCATACTGGACATCCATTTCTGTGTTGTGTAAGATCCTGATATTCCTCACTTGTCCAGATATTAGTATCGCACAAATGAGTTTTATTGATGTTGTTCATGTTCAGTTTATATGACGATTGGCGCTTTTAAGTTTTGGCTTGAAGTGTAAAACACCCAACAATGTTTTTTTGTCTCATAGCTAACCAACAGAACCGTTAACTGTTAAATGAGATGACAGTGAAGGGATCAACTCCTGATTTGTAACGGTTAAGGCATGGGTTCTGTGTTACAGGTTAGAAGTTCAGAAATTGCAATATGTTGTGTCAGAATAAGTATACTAATATCATGAATATCCAAATTCATGTAATTTCATCTTCTATTAACTTTTAAGTGGCTCTCTAAGAGTATTTGTCTCTTTCTTTGTTTCAGTGTAACAGTAAGAACATTGAAGGAAGAAACTATTGCATCCATTGCTACTCATCTCGGGAAGTTGGTGAGTTGTTTGATATTTAATACTGACTGGCTCCGTGGGTATTCCGGGTTGGAATAGATCCCCGGCAACAAATGCTGGTCCAAATGGATAGGATGGTCAGTATTGGTGACATTGGGTCCATAGCATGTCCTCGTACCCCGACATCATGGATCGTTGCTCACAATATCAATCACTGGATTGTCTGGTTCTGATTCATTTGTTTACAGGCCTCAATCATGTTACAGACTGGACCAAAAGAGTACAAATTGACTACTTGAAAGAAGTTAAAGAATGCTATGAAAGAACCAGGTGTTCTTTAACTTCTCTTGAGGAGTAATTAAGTAAATATTGAATCAGGGATTTAAAATACCCTTGGCAAGGCCTGGGGCTAGTATAAATTTCTGTGGGCAAGTACAAATTCCCCTATTGTTTTAACATTACTAGGGCTTTATACCCAGGCTAGTAAGAGACTTGCGCCAGGGCTTTGAGGGCAGTCTCGTCTCTGCCAAAGTTGGAGACACGAGACTTGGCTGTTGAAGAGGGAGGTGGAAAAGCAAGGTTGGTGTAGTAGATCCCCCTTGAGTCCCACTCAGTGAGCGCCAGGTAACTGAGTCGATGGGTGTCTGAAATTTCGAAGACGTGGAATGGAAAGTCAGCCTTCCTGTGCTTAGGTGCCTTGGAAGAAGGAGGGAGTGAGAGCTTGGTGAAGTCCTCGTCCTTAGCCGAAATCATATCCTTAATCATCGGATCAGGAAGGATGGACGCTGGATGAGACTAGAGGGTGTCCTTTTTATCCACGTCTGGTCCCGGTGATGGAGCTACAGCAGCCAGGCAATCTGCTAGCCAGTCAGGAACTTGGTTGAGCCCAAGGTGGGAGTCGACATCTGTGAGGGAGCCTTCATTAGCAGGAACAAAGGAACCCTCAGAAGAGTTGGAGCAATAATCTCTAGGGTGTTGGACTGGAGAGTGGCCCCGGGACCGATGTCTGGAATGGGATGACTTGCTCCCACTACGTCTGGATGAGGGAGAGGTAGAGCTGTGGATGAAGATGAACAGATCGCTGAGTTGCCACCAAGATCCACAGGAGGCGCCAATTGAGGCGCCAAGGGCATCACTGAGGCCGGAGGTGTCGAGATCGTCGCGGAAGCTGAAGGCGCTGGAGGAGCTGCAACCCTGGGCATTGCTTACTTGAAACATCGACTGCATCAGTTGAAGCCAAGCAAGATCCATGTAAGGCATCTGAAGCAGCTGGGAGGCGTAGGGAGGAAGGATGGAAGTCCGAATCCTGGAGGCCTCTGAACCACTGGCACCACTGGCGCCGTGGATAGCTAGCAAGACGAGCTCAGCATCGCCGGCGCCACACCAGGGATCCGCATGAAAGAGGAGGCAGTGATAATAAACGAAGGTGATGTGGACGTCGGCGCCAGTGTCGTATCAGCGAAGATAGAGCGGGCCTGTAACAAAGATACAAGTTTGGAGGTGGATGCCGGAGATGATCGTGGCTGGTGGGGGTGTAGTGGGCATGGATAAGTCGGACATTTTCTTACTGAGACGATGTTTCTGGGCCTGTTGTGTCTGCTGTTTCCGTGATACCTGGAGGTATTTGGAGAAAGTTGAAGGGGAAAATTTCAGACAATCTTTACACTTAGTAGCCTTGGAGCAGATGGTGGTGCAATTGAGACACAATAGATGAGGGTCCCACCAAGACTTACGGACGTGACACTTGATACCAAGCAGAGTGTAATCAAAATGTGTCCCCGCCCGATTATGTATGCTATAATCGTTTATCCAAGCCATGTGGGTTTATGAAGAATAGGTTTATGCAAAGAAATCAAAACACCCCACTTGGCCCTGTTATGAATGAACTGCAACTGTAGAGCCATGACATCAGTTAACCTATTCTAGAATCATGGACATCTGTGGTAATGTTTGATATTTCAATTTGAAATGGGGTCACGGGTGGCCCAGTTGGTTGAGGCACCACAATTCACTGTGCAAAGGTGGTTGTGTTTGTGGGTGAACAAAACTGGTTAACATCTGAGTCCTGCATCACTTCGAGCTTTCCTCCCACATTAAGCTGACACGCCCTGTCATACTGGAATGCTGTTAAAAGCGGCATTAAACACAACTCACTCGGTCACCTAATTTGGAAATGTTTTTCTGACATTTGCTTCAGACTTGAGGCCGAGCAAGTCTTAAAAATCTCAGAATGAATTCTCAAAGGAAATGAATCCATGTCTAATGGGTATGAGTATATAGTCAATATGGTAAATATGGTAATATAGCTCATTATGCTCAAGAAAATATTGTTTACAATCAATATTCATTTGTCTGTGTTCCAGGAGACCAACCTTCTGAGGGTCGTGCAAAGGTAAGATTTTGAGAAATATTACCCATAAGGATAGACACCGTAACTTTTCTCCTATTTGGACATGTGCATTTTAGTGATTCTCAATGCTGATTGGTCAATTGAAGTCATGAAAACTTGAAACTTTGAATGACACATAATCTGCTGCTCGTCCATTTGTTAATGTCACACTGAGCAGTAGTTCAGATGTTTGATGGTGGCGTGTGAATAATCAAGGCTGGACTACACAGTCGAGTGATCCACGCCCTTGGAGTACGATGGCACGCTATCATCCAAGTTGGCCACCTGGTAGACAAGACCAGGTTGCACCCAGGTCCCCTATGCTTATCAAAGGTGAAACATGCATATAATCTTGAAGTCCCCAGAGTTTGATGAAGCATGACAGATTACACATCACACAAGGATTATTGATCAATGGTAAATAAAGCGTAGAGGTATTGAATGCGTTCAAAGATTGATGTTGTTTGATTTGTAAGAATTGGACACAAATTTGAAAGATTTTGACGCGTACTTGATGCATGTGGACACTGGTGTATGTGTTATATAGGAAAATTGAGCCCTGGCAGAGTTTGGGCACACCAAAAGCCTATTATTCTTACAAATCCTCTACCTCTATTACATCATTGCAAAATTCCTGTAATTTGGTTGCAATCACTTTATAATTAGATCTCATGGACAAAGTGATCCAGAAATAGAGCTGACACATCATTCTATGGCCAGGCAAAGCATGATTTCCCAAACTGTGACAACTGCTGATGGAAAACCCTCACCAACTACCACTTCGGCGAGATCTTCTAAGTCAGTTCATGGCGGGTGGGCATTGTCCACAACCCTCTGGTGCATTCTTGCAATGGTGTAATAGACATGATAGAGGTAGAGGATTGGTAAGAATTATAAGTACAATAGCAACCAAAATAGAAACATAATCATGGTGAACCATGATTCAAACCCACGATCACAGGAACAATAGTCGTCATTTTAATAATTCTGAGAATACTACATCTTTTACATCAGAAGTACTCCCACTCTACTCTCCATTCGTGAAAGAAGTGAGGATTTTCCTGCCTATGCTTGCTGAAGAGCTGTAGGCTGATGGGTGCTAATGTGGTGACAACTAGTTGTGTGTAGCTGACAGTGATGATTTGTTTGTTTGTTGTTTAATGCCACATTCAGTAATATTCCAGCTGTATGACGGCGGTCTGTAAATAATCGTGTCTGGGCCAGACAATGCAGTGACTGATATCATGAGCATCGATCCACGCAATTGGGATCAATGACATGCATCAACCAAGTCAGCGAGCCTGACCACCCGATCCCATTAGCTGTCTCTTACGACAAGCATTGTCGCCTTTTATGACAAGCATGGGTTGCTGAAGACCTATTCTACCCCGGATCTTCAGTGTTGATGACTTGAAAACCGAAGATTGAATTATAGTGTGATTGCAGCCAAAATACAGGAATTCTGATGTAATAGATGTAGTATTCTTAGAATTATTAAGAATGATAACTGTTGTTCCTGTGATTGTGGGTTCTAAGCCCAGTTCAACCCAACTATGTTTCTAGGTTTGTCAGCACCATACCTGTGCTTGTAGGTTTCACCAAAGTGGTAAACACCTGAGACTTACACCACTTCAGAATTTCCTCCCACATTAAGCTGACATGCGTAACAGGAACACTGTTCTAAGCACCTTGAAACCAAACTCACTCACTCTTTCCAATCCATCCATCCATCCATCCATCCATCCATCCATCCGTCCATCCATTTGTTGTAGGTGGATGAAGATAAGACCAGGACGCTCTACGTGTTCGACCTCCAACCGACAACAACAACGACTGATCTGTTCAGGCACTTTTTCCAGTGGGGAGACATGATGAAGTTCCACGTATATAATGATCCTGATGGACAGTGAGTACAACTGATGATCAGGCCTTGCATGTAAGGTCACTCTGAAATCTGCGTTCAGTATGAGAATATCTGCTTTCAGTGTGTGAAATAATATTGCTGGCCAGGTGGGCAAGCTAACCTTAAAAGTTAGTCACCATTTTCAAATTTCACTGAATTAATTGTGCATTAATGCAATGGTATATTTTTCTGATGTTTTAGATGAAATGAGAGAACATATTTTTTGTTTTGAGAGGTTTGCATTTAAAAAATCACTGTTAAAATTTCAGTAGCCAGTCATGATAGGGACTTTTCAAAATCAGTAGCAAGACCAAAACTTGCTAGCCGCAGACTAGCAGGCAGATGGTTATTTATTTATTCTTATGACTAGTGCCAATTTCACAAACATATTGATTATGGTAAAGTGAATCAAAATATCTATCGGGTGAATGATTTGTTTATGCATTCTAAATTTGTGCTGTATGTCCAGAGCTCTAGGTGTGGGCTAGCTCGTGTAACCTGATTCACAGGTTTACCCTGATTATCTTCCAAGCACACCACCTCCATACCCAAATTTGTTGGTGGTTTAACCAAGGTGTTTTCGCATCTATGACCTCCATTACTTGGGGATATCCTCAGACATTGGGTCGCACACCACTAAGGTACTAATCCGTACCGATCACTTCAGGCGAGCTAACAAGAGATAACAAATTTGATCAATGAAAATGTAAAATGTTGCAATATAAACATCACCAGACATGATGATTTACGCATTCATTCAAAAATTTGTTTGAAATATTTTCCAATTTTCAATGTCCATAACTATGCCAATTCAAGGGATAGTTTAATAACAATGTTTCCGTCCTCTGATGTAAGCATTCTAAAATATTTAGCACATTACATTAAAGATACCATCAACCTCTGATCTTCACAATTGAATATATTTGCTGTTGCACCCATGTTAAAAATACCTTCATGTATTAATTATAGTAGTGGAATGATAGACAGATGCATTGTTGGATCGCGATTTTGTACTTCTCGATACAAGTATTCAGGTATTGATCACAGTAGCACACTAAGTAAACAGGATCGATTCTTACCTTAAAAGTATTCTTTAATAAATGTTACACCAAACACTAATTACTAGTCAAAACAAGTAGTGAAAACTTAAATATTTTCATCCATTCTGTCATACCTGACACTGCCAACTGTAAATCATTAGTGTGCCAGGTGTTTCACCATCCTGTCCATAAAAAAATGGGCTTACACACCACAGATAAGAGCACATGCAAGTATCGTGATATGTATCGGATCGTGAGCAAGGTATCGTGATACGTACGGATCGCACAGTTGGGGTATCTTCCCAGCCCTAATTACATGTAATTGTATGTGGGCCTAAGGCCTTAATACTGAAATAAATGATTGATTATTGATTTAGCATTTCAATTTTAATTCCGTTCTGCATGGCATGGTTTTGTATGTAGAGATTAAGGTAACCATGTGTATTTTGTCTTGTAAACTAGGCCGGAAATAGCAATCAGCAGTACAATGTGGCATTTCACCCTATTTTAAACTCTCGATATTGGGGCAGAAAGGTTTCACAGATTTTAGTGTTTACATGGGAACAAGGTCACACACCTTTTTTAAATGGAACATAAATTTTTTCCACATTCCAAAGTATGATGATCGGCAGATCATTGACTAGTAGTGAGAAATAAACACCCAATATGGTATTTCAGTTCTACAGGTTCTGGCGTTGTGCAGTACATCCGCCAGGAGGACGCTCAGGCTGCTCTCGCTGCTGGTCCACACTTCATCCAGAAGAAACAGGTTACTGTCTCGGTGAGCTCTAGCATACTTGTTCATAAATACATGCTCCCCAGTACCCCATGCTTCTCTCCCTTAAGGTTTAGTAGAATAGGTTCCCAGTTCCCCTTGCTTGTTTCCCATAGGTCCCCAGTACCCCATGCTTGTCTCCCTGGGGGTTGAGAGATAGAATTGGTGCCCAGTACCCCATGCTTGTCTCCCTGGGGGTTGAGGGATAGAATTGGTGCCCAGTACCCCATGCTTGTCTCCCTGGGGGTTGAGGGATAGAATTGGTGCCCAGTACCCCATGCTTGTCTCCCTGTGGGTTGAGGGATAGAATTGGTCCCCATTACCCCATGCTTGTCTCCCTGGGGGTTGAGGGATAGAATTGGTCCCCAGTACCCCATGCTTGTCTCCCTGGAGGTTGAGGGATAGAATTGGTCTCCAGTACCCCTTGCTTGTCTCCCTAGGGGTTGAGAGATAGAATAGGTTCCCAGTACCCCATGCTTGTCTCCCTAGGGGTTGAGAGATAGAATTGGTCTCCAGTACCCCTTGCTTGTCTCCCTAGGGGTTGAGAGATAGAATAGGTTCCCAGTACCCCATGCTTGTCTCCCTGGGGGTTGAGGGATAGAATTGGTCCCCAGTACCCCATGCTTGTCTGCCTGGGGGTTGAGGGATAGAATTGGTCCCCAGTACCCCTTGCTTGTCTCCCTGGGGGTTGAGAGATAGAATTGGTCCCCAGTACCCCATGCTTGTCTCCCTGGGGGTTGAGAGATAGAATTGGTCCCCAGTACCCCATGCTTGTCTCCCTGGAGGTTGAGGGATAGAATTGGTCCCCAGTACCCCATGCTTGTCTCCCATAGGTCCCCAGTACCCCATGCTTGTCTCCCTGGGAGTTAAGGGATAGAATTGGTCCCCAGTGCCCCTTGCTTGTCTCCCATAGGTCCCCAGTACCCCATGCTTGTCTCCCTGGGGGTTGAGGGATAGAATTGGCCCCCAGTACCCCTTGCTTGTCTCCCTGGAGGTTGAGAGATAGAATTGGCCCCCAGGACCCCATGCTTGTCTCCCTGGGGGTTGAGGGATAGAATTGGTCCCCAGTACCCCATGCTTGTCTCCCTGGGGGTTGAGAGATAGAATTGGTCCCCAGTACCCCATGCTTGTCTCCCTGGGGGTTGAGAGATAGAATTGGTCCCCAGTACCCCATGCTTGTCTCCCTGGGAGTTAAGGGATAGAATTGGTCCCCAGTGCCCCTTGCTTGTCTCCCATAGGTCCCCAGTACCCCATGCTTGTCTCCCTGGGGGTTGAGGGATAGAATTGGCCCCCAGGACCCCATGCTTGTCTCCCTGTGGGTTGAGGGATAGAATTGGTCCCCAGTACCCCATGCTTGTCTCCCTGGGGGTTGAGAGATAGAATTGGTCCCCAGTACCCCATGCTTGTCTCCCTGGGGGTTGAGAGATAGAATTGGTCCCCAGTACCCCATGCTTGTCTCCCTGGGGGTTGAGGGATAGAATTGGTCCCCAGTACCCCATGCTTGTCTCCCTGGGGGTTGAGAGATAGAATTGGTCCCCAGTACCCCATGCTTGCCTTCCTGGAGGTTGAGAGATAGAATTGGTCCCCAGTACCCCATGCTTGTCTCCCTGGGGGTTGAGGGATAGAATTGGTCCCCAGTACCCCATGCTTGTCTCCCTGGAGGTTGAGGGATAGAATTGGTCCCCAGTACCCCATGCTTGTCCCCCATAGGTCCCCAGTACCCCATTCTTGTCTCCCTGGGGGTTGAGGGATAGAATTGGCCCCTAGTACCCCTTGCTTGTCTCCCTGGGGGTTGAGGGATAGAATTGGTCCCCAGTACCCCATGCTTGTCTCCCTGGGGGTTGAGGGATAGAATTGGTCCCCAGTACCCCATGCTTGTCTCCCTGGGGGTTGAGGGATAGAATTGGTCCCCAGTACCCCATGCTTGTCTCCCTGGAGGTTGAGGGATAGAATTGGTCCCCAGTACCCCATGCTTGTCCCCCATAGGTCCCCAGTACCCCATGCTTGTCTCCCTGGGGGTTGAGGGATAGAATTGGCCCCTAGTACCCCTTGCTTGTCTCCCTGGGGGTTGAGGGATAGAATTGGTCCCCAGTACCCCATGCTTGTCTCCCTGGGGGTTGAGGGATAGAATTGGCCCCCAGTACCCCATGCTTGTCTCCCTAGGGGTTGAGGGATAGAATTGGTCCCCAGTACCCCATGCTTGTCCCCCATAGGTCCCCAGTACCCCATGCTTGTCTCCCTGGGGGTTGAGGGATAGAATTGGCCCCTAGTACCCCTTGCTTGTCTCCCTGGGGGTTGAGGGATAGAATTGGTCCCCAGTACCCCATGCTTGTCTCCCTGGGGGTTGAGGGATAGAATTGGCCCCCAGTACCCCATGCTTGTCTCCCATAGGTCCCCAGTACCCCTTGCTTGTGTCCCTGGGGGTTGTGGGGTAGAACAGGGCCCCACTATATGCCATGTTTGTGTCCTATCACATATGCACTGTGGAACACCATTTTTGCTTACAATTGTGAATATAATCCAAGAAGAGGTAAAAAAGGAGTCCTCAAGATCATGATGATCAGTTTGGGATATGAATGAAACAAGACATATATAGATCCAGTGAAGTGACTTGACAGATCGAATGGTCAGACTTGGTGACTTGGGTGTCTGCGTTGAATGGACCATTCCTTTTGACTTCAATCTGGCCCAGATTCGTTTATTTATTTTATTGGCCAGAATATGACTTAGACAATGTGTAGTCAAGAGAATTCTGTTTTTGCTTGTTGCCCAAACTGAAATGTCTAATTAATGAAACTTGTTTCTTTTTCCAGGACAAAAAGAAGGCAGGTAAGTTGTCCACAGTTAGAAGGGTTGTGCACAGTTGGTTGTCATCTGTTCCTAAAGTACTCCATATGTTTCTATGGTTCTCGTTTCTTTGGGCGGTGAGTATATATTAACAGTAACAGTAAAATATACACACATTGATAGATGTGTATAGGCTTATGAGACACATACTGGGACTAAATGACTCAGGGGGAGGGGGGATTCTTTGAAACATGCAGTCCAGGTTGTGGGTACCCAGACTCTATCCAAGCTTCAGAATCACTTGTCAACAAACAACTCTCTGTGTTCCAGATACGAGGACAAATGAAAGGCAAAGGGAGGTATGTATTTCAATGAAACAAAGATGATATTTATTCTGTCTTATACATCAAGGACTAACCAGTAACTTCATTATTGAAAGTTACTTCCCTTAGTTAAGCAAGGATCTGCAGGTTAGGGGTTTGATTCCCAGGTTGGCTTCATGTTTGCTTTGTCAGCACCATACCCATAATCATGTTTTACCAAAGAGGTAATTTTCCTCCAACTGATCCTCATGTTAGATGTTGCATACCTTGTTAGATACCAAGAGATGTCATTGGTTCATGAACCAACGTACCAACGTGCAAGTAATAGTACCTTGCTAACCACACCTCATGCACTGGCTTAAGGTTGAAAAACCTGACTTCTTTTCAATATCTGACATCTTGTATTGTTTGATGTTTCTCACATGTTCAGATATATGTTGCTTGTTACACATCTTCTGTTTCTTGGTTTCAGATGATGAAAGCTGCAGAAGGTAGGATTTCTAGAAAACACTGACCCATTGGAGCGAAGACCCCATGTTTGAAAGAGGGGACTACGGGCCTCATCACTTGTATAGATTGTACTGGACGTGAGGAGATTAAGTTCTCAGCACCTTTGTCCTTAAGACGGGACTACGATTGGGCCTCATCACTTGTATAGATTGTACTGGACGTGAGGAGATTAAGTTCTCAGCACCTATGTCCTTAAGAGGGGACTATGATAGGGCCTCAACACTTGTTTCATCTATCTGTAGACACAATGTGGTCCTTGAGTTTCTCCAATTGAAGAAATATGAATGAGTCAGATGAAAACCTAGATTTGTTGTCAACGCTACTTATTTCTTTGTTTCAGATCCAAAAACAGCAGCTGCTCGAGCATCTCTGGAGGTTTGTATGTTCGCAGTTCTTCCTTTCAACATGCTCAAGCATATATCTGTCTGGTGGTGCACCTGCTCAAACATATCTGTCTGGTGGTGCACCTGCTCAAACATATCTGTCTGGTGGTGCACCTGCTCAGACAACTTTCTGTCTGGTGGTGCACCTGCTCAAACAGATATCTGTCTAGTGGTGCACCTGCTCAAACATCTTTCTGTCTGGTGGTGCACCTGCTCAAACATCTTTCTGTCTGGTGGTGCACCTGCTCAAACAGATATCTGTCTGGTGGTGCACCTGCTGAAACATCTTTCTGTCTGGTGGTGCACCTGCTCACACACATATCTGTCTGGTGGTGCACCTGCTCAAACATCTATCTGTCTGGTGGTGCACCTGCTCAAACAGATATCTGTCTGGTGGTGCACCTGCTCAAACATCTTTCTGTCTGGTGGTGCACCTGCTCAAACAGATATCTGTCTGGTGATGCACCTGCTCAAACATCTTTCTGTCTGGTGGTGCACCTGCTAAAACATATTTGTCTGGTGGTGCATCTGCTCAAACATATATCTGTATGGTGGTGCACCTGCTCACACACATATCTGTCTGGTGGTGCACCTGCTCAAACATCTTTCTGTCTGGTGGTGCACCTGCTCAAACATATATTTGTCTAGTGCGGCACCTGCTCAAACATCTATTTGTCAAGTATCGTACCTGCTCAAACATATCTGTCTAGTGGTGCACCTGCTCAAACATCTTTCTATGTGGTGTACATGCTCAATGCACACATCACCTTGGTTTGATACTGGTATCTGTCTAGGGGATCGATGCTCATGATATCAATCACTGCAGACTCCATTATCTACAGACCACAGTCATATAGCTGGAATATAGCTGAGTGCTGCATAAAACAACAATCAAACAAAACATACAAACATTCAATATCTTCACGCCAAAACGCCAAAGAGTTTTTGTTTAATTTTGTCGTTGAATGGAGATTACATTTAGTTTTTTGAAAATATCAGGGAAATATTTATGCTAAAATTTTCTCTGTTGCAGTCCTCACAGAACAAGCTGTTTGTGTCCAACATACCTACTGGCGTGACTTCCTCCGAACTGACAGAGCACTTCTCGATGTGGGGGAAAATCCACTCATGCCACATAGGAGGAAATGTTGGGCCGTAAGTTGATGCAGCATTTCACTGCCTCTGTGGTCTACTGGATAGGGCGGGAGGTTGGGGATTAAAATGTCGACTGGTTTATACCAAACGACATTAAAAGATGTTACCGTGGCTGACACTTGGCCTTTTGAGGATAAAACAAGAACAGTTTGGACTCAGTATACTGGGGTACAACATGTGCACTTGGACACATGCACACAAACACAAACACACAGACATCTCGCTATAAAAGTGCAATAATCTTGAAATTTGACAATTACCATATTGATGTAATAAGCGCCCCGCTCTAATAAGCGCCCATGGCAATATTTGCTGATATATTGACTGGTGAACAATCCCAATTAGCACCCTTCCGATTGATCAATGTACACAAGACTTATTTATTCGTGTAATACATGTGTTATATGTATCCTTAATTATGGAAATTAAATTCTGGAAAAATATATCTGTGGTATATAAACATTTCAGGCTGTCAGCATAAACCACGAAATTTGCGATCTTTCAACTCTGTTGTTTTTCACCAAAATAATATTCTAATAAGATCCCCCTAATTCTAATTTTGAGAGCACCCTGGGCACTTATTATGTCGAATACGGTGAGCCAATGTCAGCTCACCTCAGGGGGTCGAAAATATAATACAATATGATTTTTTTTCCTGTTCATTTTAAGAAAACAACAACTGGATGTAAATCTGACAATTGAGCAGCCCCGAATAAGGCTTGTCGAAGTTGGCATGTTTTTTTGTGTGTAGAGTCGCTTCCCTTTGAAATGTTAAGTACACCAGGATTTGCTGACCATTGTGTCTCAAGATTCTCCCTTATATGATCCTTGGTTTGTCAGCAGCCTACCCAATCTTGAGGGTGTCACCAAAGTGAAACGAGATTTTCCGGCTTTTAATTGCCCTTTAATGAGTGCTAAAAAGAAGATACCAATATCACATCTACTACGTTTTACACATGAAATTACAATTTCATCTACACAATTTTGTATGCTTGTGAAATTAACAATTCTGTTCAAAGCAAAACCCATCTCACTCTGTTCCAGAAACAACAACTATGGCTTTGTTCGCTTCAACAATGAAGAAGATGCTCTGAATTGTTTGAATGCGCCCCACACACTGCAAGACAGGAGGCTGTTTGTACAGGTGTCAGACAAAAGCAAACATGTGAGTATACACATTCCTTTCTTATGGTTGTAGCTATGAGTGGAGGCATGAGGACAGGGTGTGAATCCTCTGCGTGCATGCGTGCGTGCGAGCGTGTCATCTGTCTTTCTTTTCTCCACCTAAACAAACATCATTAGCAAGGAATTTGGAACCCTTTTGGAAACCAAGTTGTTTTCATTATCTAATGTTAGCAGGTACATGGTTCTACACTACAAGGTTCATAGAGGCTTGGGGGGGCACAGTTGCCCCAGTCGTCTAAGGTGCTGCGATTCGCTGTGCAGAGTTGCGTCCCCTGGGCACACCAGAAACCTATGATTGTGGGTTTGAATCCCGGTTTGCCCTGATTTTGTTTCTAGGTTTGTCAGCACCATACCCGTGCTCGTGGGTTTCACCGAAGTGGTTAACGTCTGAGACTTGCATCACTTCAGGCTTTCCTCCCACATCAAGCTGACACGCCGTGATATGACTGGAATAATGTTAAAAGCGGCGTTAAACCCAACTCACTCACTCACTCACTCACAGTGCATGTTAAAATTCATTGGTGCTCAATGTATATTGAGTGAGTTTATAATGACAACTTAAAACTGCTATGTCGTTATTGTCTCATATTTTCCAAAGTTTAATGTAATATACAATAATTGTTACGTATTAATTCCATCAGCTTTTGGCATTGGCACGTCATAAATTATATTCTATGGTTTCATTATTAGGTAACATAACAACATTAAAAGCCAGAAGACATCTTCTGCAGTTTATTACCAGATAAGTGTAATACTAACCACCCGGTTATGTATTAATATTATTATAAGAATCTATAATAAACAAACGTCCGTAATAAATACATGTCTCGTGCGTGATGCTATTTATAGTAACAGGATACAGCAATTTCCCAGCATGCCAAGTACGAGCATGCGCAATTACGATTCAGGTCAGCCATCTTGTGCAGGGGTCACAACAATGACAAGCAATCCCACCTCCATCCCCAACTACCGTCCATGTTTATCCTTGTTTCACTCTTATTTTTGTTTGTTTCTGGATTCTCACTGTTATATTCAATTTTTGTATTAGCAATCGGGGTATATTTACCCCTGCAGTCATTAGGATGGGATGCATTGGATGCATGTTGTCAAAACACAGGTCAGGCTTGACCTCCATCATGTCCATGGTATTTAGCATCTAATGCGTTTCTATCTGTAGTGTAGAATGATAGATGTGTAGTTAATTGTCGAAACCTTAGTATTCTATGTATCACTCTCGACAATTGATCCCAACAGCTTGGGCCTGACCGATGCTCAGTCAGGTACACATAAGTCAGGTACATGTAGTCGATTCTCCTGTGTTTATACCCAATGCTTGGGAAGGTTGTCAGTTGTGAAAGGCGAATCGATCCCTAGCTGGGCATGACTGATGCTCAGTCATGTACATGTACCAATAGCTTTCTAGTCACATGTTTACAGTGAGAATCCCCTTACGCCAAACCTGTTAGATATGTGTTATATTGAACGTGTTTCATGTATTAAATCATTGTTGCAACTTTCCTGTTGAATTGTCATTATAAATGACAGACTTAATTTTTGTACTTGTTAAAATAAATCTTGTTGGAAAATTTGCGATGTACATACTGCCTTTTAGGTCTGACGACTAAGATATAGTATTTTACTATTACATATCTGTATGAACCTTGTATTATTCATGAACTGCTTTTATGGCAAGTTTGTGTTATGATATGAGTATTTTTTGTTCAGATATATATATAACTTGTTATTACACGTCTTCTGTTTTTTGTTTTCAGTTGAAAAAAGCTGCAAAAGGTAGGATTTAAACAAAACACTGATTTTCATTTCTCCACAATCCTGAGTAGATCTGTTAACCAGTAATATGATATAAAATACCTTAGTTATCATTGATGTAGATTGTTTGTAAATGTTTCCTGTTTTTGTACAATTAGCTAAAACAACTAGTGGGATTCTGGCTATCTTGTCTTAAGAGCCAGCTAAGATTGGAGATTGGGTGGTAGCAATGAGGAATAGTGTAGCAATGTGCTCCTGTGTGACACAGCTCCTGTGTGCCTTGCTTGCAGGCCGTCTTGATATAGAATGCTCCTGTGTGCCTGGCTTATAGGCCGTCTTGATACAGAGAGCTCCTGTGAGCCTGGCTTACAAGCCATGGTGATAGAGACAGCTCCTGTGTGCCTTGCTTGCAGGCCATGGTGATACAGAGAGCTCCTGTGTGCCTGGCTTACGGGCCGTCTTGATACAGAGAGCTCCTGTGTGCCTTGCTTGCAGGCCATGGTGATACAGACAGCTCCTGTGTGCCTGGCTTGCAGGCCATGGTGATACAGACAGCTCCTGTGTGCCTGGCTTACGGGCCGTCTTGATACAGAGAGCTCCTGTGTGCCTGGCTTACAGGCCACGGTGATACAGAGTACTCCTGTGTGCCTGGCTTACAGGCCATGGTGATACAGAGTTCTCCTGTGTGCCTGGCTTGCAGGCCATGGTGATACAGAGTGCTCCTGTGTGCCTGGCTTACAGGCCATGGTGATACAGAGTGCTCCTGTGTGCCTGCCTTACAGGCCATGGTGATACAGAGAGCTTCTGTGTGCCTGGCTTACAGGCCATGGTGATACAGACAGCTTCTGTGTGTCTGGCTTACAGGCCATGGTGATACAGAGAGCTTCTGTGTGCCTGGCTTACAGGCCATGGTGATAGAGACAGCTCCTGTGTGCCTTGCTTGCAGGCCATGGTGATACAGAGAGCTCCTGTGTGCCTTGCTTGCAGGCCATGGTGATACAGAGTGCTCCTGTGTGCCTGGCTTACGGGCCGTCTTGATACAGAGAGCTCCTGTGTGTCTGGCTTACAAGCCATGGTGATACAGACAGCTTCTGTGTGCCTGGCTTACAGGCCATGGTGATAGAGACAGCTCCTGTGTGCCTTGCTTGCAGGCCATGGTGATACAGAGAGCTCCTGTGTGCCTTGCTTGCAGGCCATGGTGATACAGAGTGCTCCTGTGTGCCTGGCTTACGGGCTGCCTTGATACAGACAGCTTCTGTGTGCCTGGCTTACAGGCCATGGTGATAGAGAGAGCTACTGTGTGCCTTGCTTGCAGGCCGTGGTGATACAGAGAGCTCCTGTGTGCCTGGCTTGCAGGACATGGTGATACAGAGAGCTCCTGTGTGCCTGGCTTACAGGCCATGGTGATAGAGAGAGCTCCTGTGTGCCTTGCTTGCAGGCCGTGGTGATACAGAGTGCTCCTGTGTGCCTGGCTTACGGGCTGCCTTGATACAGAGTGCTCCTGTGTGCCTGGCTTACAGGCCATGGTGATACAGAGAGTGCTCCTGTGTGCCTGGCTTACAGGCGATGGTGATACAGGGAGCTCCTGTGTGCCTGGCTTGCAGGCCATGGTGATACAGACAGCTCCTGTGTGCCTGGCTTACAGGCCATGGTGATACAGACAGCTCCTGTGTGCCTGGCTTACAGGCCATGGTGATACAGAATACTCCTGTGTGCCTGGCTTACAGGCCATGGTGATACAGACAGCTCCTGTGTGCCTGGCTTACAGGCCACGGTGATACAGAGAGCTCCTGTGTGCCAGGCTTACAGGCCATGGTGATACAGATAGCTCCTGTGTGCCTGGCTTACAGGCCATGGTGATACAGACAGCTCCTGTGTGCCTGGCTTACAGGCCATGGTGATACAGACAGCTCCTGTGTGCCTGGCTTACAGGCCATGGTGATACAGAGAGCTCCTGTGTGCCTGGCTTACAGGCCATGGTGATACAGACAGCTCCTGTGTGCCTGGCTTGCAGGCCATGGTGATACAGAGTGCTCCTGTGTGCCTGGCTTACGGGCTGCCTTGATACAGACAGCTTCTGTGTGCCTGGCTTACAGGCCATGGTGATAGAGAGAGCTACTGTGTGCCTTGCTTGCAGGCCGTGGTGATACAGAGAGCTCCTGTGTGCCTGGCTTGCAGGACATGGTGATACAGATAGCTCCTGTGTGCCTGGCTTACAGGCCATGGTGATAGAGAGAGCTCCTGTGTGCCTTGCTTGCAGGCCGTGGTGATACAGAGTGCTCCTGTGTGCCTGGCTTACGGGCTGCCTTGATACAGAGTGCTCCTGTGTGCCTGGCTTACAGGCCATGGTGATACAGAGAGCTCCTGTGTGCCAGGCTTACAGGCCATGGTGATACAGACAGCTCCTGTGTGCCTGGCTTACAGGCCATGGTGATACAGACAGCTCCTGTGTGCCTGGCTTACAGGCCATGGTGATACAGAGAGCTCCTGTGTGCCTGGCTTACAGGCCATGGTGATACAGACAGCTCCTGTGTGCCTGGCTTACAGGCCATGGTGATACAGAGAGCTCCTGTGTGCCAGGCTTACAGGCCATGGTGATACAGACAGCTCCTGTGTGCCTGGCTTACAGGCCATGGTGATACAGGGAGCTCCTGTGTGCCAGGCTTACAGGCCATGGTGATACAGAGAGCTCCTGTGTGCCTGGCTTACAGGCCATGGTGATACAGAGAGCTCCTGTGTGCCTGGCTTACAGGCCATGGTGATACAGACAGCTCCTGTGTGCCTGGCTTACAGGCCATGGTGATACAGACAGCTCCTGTGTGCCTTGCTTGCAGGCCATGGAGATACAGAGAGCTTCTCTGTGCCTGGCTTGCAGGCCATGGTGATACAGAGAGCTCCTGTGTGCCTGGCTTAGGGGCCGCCTTGATACAGAGTGCTCCTGTGTGCCTTGCTTGCAGGCCATGGTGATACAGACAGCTTCTGTGTGCCTGGCTTACAGGCCATGGTGATACAGAGTGCTCCCCTGTGCCTGGCTTACAAGCCATGGTGATACAGATTGGACAGTGTTGCAGACATGGCTGACAGGATCGTGTTTTGTAATAGTAAATGATAATATATGTTTTAGATGGTGGGTTTTTGTTTTTTTACAGATCCAAGGGAAATGTCAGCTGCAGCATCATGCCAGTCCAAGAACCTTCCATGGGTATGTTGACTTGGTGGACAGTTTCTCTAGTGCTTGACCTCCACCTGACAGCAGTATACATATACCCTAAGAAACATATTGAGAGAGACCAGCGTTTATTCAGCGGCTTTGGAACAGTAATAACAATCACCCATCAGACTAGAGGCAGTTCAAGGGTAGAAAAGGTCTTCAGCAACCCATGCTGAGGCGACTAACGGGATGTGAGGGTCAGGCTTGCTGACCTGGATGAGTCGTGGCATCATATCCCAAATGCGTAGATCGATGCTCATGATGTCAATCACTGGATTGTCTGGTCCAGACTCGATTATTTACAGACCGCTGTCATATAGCTGGCAATATTAGCCTAAACGTGCTGCATGTAATATCTGTCTCAGAACTAGATAAATCCTTCTGTTGGTGTGTTGTCTCGGTGTACAATTTCTATAGTATTGTGTTTTCATCAACTTCATGCAATTGTTTTACTTTCTGAAGTTCTGTCTGAGCATGTCAACATTTTCACAAAAGTTTTAGGGAGTGATGGGGATGTGTCAAAATGGAGGAATTCACTTTTTCTAGCCGACATCAAACTTTAGAGTGCGCCATTACTTTTCGTAAATGTGACTTTTTCTGTTGCAGAAAAACAAGAAATGTCAACTTTTTGTCACCAATGTCCCTATCGGGACCACCCAAGAGGAGGTGTACGACCATTTCGTGAATTGGGGAGACCTGGATAAATACATAGTCAGACCAACTGCCACGTAAGTGCAATCGTTTACTTCATTAATATGCAGCAAGGGTTACCATTACCCTATCACTGTGCAGAGTTGCGTCCCTTGGGCATGCTAGAAACCCATAATTCTTATGAATCCTCTACCTCTATTATATTATTGCCATATTCTCTATTTTGGCGGTAGTCACACTCATATTGAATCTTAAGTCTTTTTCACTGTCAACTATGCACAACTAGTTGTCACCGCAATAGAACCAATCAGCTTACAGCTCTCCTGGTGGGAAAATCCTCACTTTTTTCCGGTGTGTGCTTGAGTGAACATCATCTTTTTTAGTTCTCGGTTTCTGTAGTCACACTAAAGCTAGCTAAATTCATTTCATTAGTTGCTATTACATTATTATTCAACTGATCTCCCTCATCTCTCAAGTCATGTGGGGGCACGGGTGGCCCAGTCGTCTAAGGCGCCGCGATTCGCTGTGCAGAGTTGCGTCCCTTGGGCACGCCAGAAACCTATGATTGTGGGTTCGAATCCCGGTTCGCCCCGATTATGTTACTAGGTTTGTCAGCACCATACCCGTGCTCGTGGGTTTCACCGAAGTGGTAAACGTCTAAGACCTGCATCACTTCGGGCTTTCCTCCCACATTAAGCTGACACGCCGTGATATAACTGGAATAATGTTAAAAGCGGTGTTAAACCCATCTCACTCACTCACTCTCAAGTCATGTGGTCATTTACATCCTTCCTGCTGGAAGTGTTGGGACATCCTTTCCGCTGAAGCTCTGTGCCTTCCTCTCAAAGATGGCTTGCAAGAAACTGACAGAATCCATTAAAAAAGGAAGAGGAAGGAAGACTGTCGATGTCATCACATCTCTTTTTTCCCATCTCTACAACTCCACCGGTTCTGTCTCCTAAGCCTACGACGCCTAAGACACTTGACTGATTGTTGGTTTTGTCACATTCTTTGGTACACATTGGAAACATCTCTTGTTAATGTACATTCTTTATATGTTTCTCTGGTTTGGGTTTCTTTTGGTGGTGAGCATATACCAGTAATGCAAGTGAAGGTACCACATATTTGTATGTTTCATGAATTTTTTATTTGTCCTTTTGATTTGATAGTCAGTGATACCAATAGGATTTGGAAACAACTATTAATAGATACAAACACAAGCGATCTAGTATTTACAGTAAACCATACTGAGAGTTTACTGGAGGCAGAGCCCAACTATCCCTGAGGTACATTCTGGCAATGATGTAATGGACGTATGGGATTTGTAAGAATTATTAGAACACTAGTTATCATTGTTAATAATTCTAAGAAAACTATCTCTATTACATTAGAAATACTCACACCCTCCTCCCCATTCATCTGCTTCTAGTTGGAAGATGTTTGGAAAGAAGTGACGATTTTCCCACTTTGCCTGCAGAAGAGCTGTAAGGTGATTGGTGCTACTGTGGTGACACCTAGTAAATATAGTTGATAGTGAAGAGAACTTCAGGAAGATTCAGTTTTAGAGTTGACTCTCATGGACGCTCATCTCATTCGGCTCGTTCCTCCTCTCCTAGTCATGCTGACTGTCGCCTACATGATCATTCTCGCCCTTATGATTATCATCATCAACGACAATTTTTTTCCTATAACTCTGCTTTGTCATAATGCCTACACCAACCTGGTGCTTGATTGAGAACGCTATCCACAGTATATGAACGCTTTTCTCGAGGGTACTCCTATGACACGCCTTACCTGGATTACAGTCTTCTGCTGAGCTATTTTTTACACTCATCAGCACAGAGACAACCCTCGTCACTCGGCTACTACCAGCAGACGCCCTTTCTCAAAGACCATGCCTGACACTCTTCCTTCAATGCGCTGCTCGGATGCCTCGTCTCTGCCTCTGGTTCGACATCCACCTGTTGTGACTGTACTAGATCCTCTGATGAAACTACAGTCTTCCACACAGATACTTCCTACCTCGTTGAATCCTGATGTTTTAATCTCCATCACATCACTTAACTTCAGTCTCTTTTACAAGCTGTGACGTCAGCGTGCTTCCCTCAGTCGGCTCCTCCAACAGATACAGTAACTTCTGTTCTGGCTTCTCCGGGTAAAATAGGTTCCCAGCACCCATGTCTGAAAGAGGGGAATACGATTGGGCTGCTTTTACAAGCTGTGACGTCAGCATGCCTCCCTCAGTCGGCTCCTCCAACAGATACAGTAACTTCTGTTCTGGCTTCTCCGGGTAAAATAGGTTCCCAGCACCCATGTCTGAAAGAGGGGAATACGATTGGGCTGCTTTTACAAGCTGTGACGTCAGCATGCCTCCCTCAGTCGGCTCCTCCAACAGATACAGTAACTTCCGTTCTGGCTTCTCCGGGTAAAATAGGTTCCCAGCACCCATGTCTGAAAGAGGGGAATACCATTGGGCTGCTTTTACAAGCTGTGACGTCAGCATGCCTCCCTCAGTCGGCTCCTCCAACAGATACAGTAACTTCCGTTCTGGCTTCTCCGGGTAAAATAGGTTCCCAGCACCCATGTCTGAAAGAGGGGAATACCATTGGGCTGCTTTTACAAGCTGTGACGTCAGCATGCCTCCCTCAGTCGGCTCCTCCAACAGATACAGTAACTTCCGTTCTGGCTTCTCCGGGTAAAATAGGTTCCCAGCACCCATGTCTGAAAGAGGGGAATACGATTGGGCTGCTTTTACAAGCTGTGACGTCAGCATGCCTCCCTCAGTCGGCTCCTCCAACAGATACAGTAACTTCTGTTCTGGCTTCTCCGGGTAAAATAGGTTCCCAGCACCCATGTCTGAAAGAGGGGAATACCATTGGGCTGCTTTTACAAGCTGTGACGTCAGCATGCCTCCCTCAGTCGGCTCCTCCAACAGATACAGTAACTTCCGTTCTGGCTTCTCCGGGTAAAATAGGTTCCCAGCACCCATGTCTGAAAGAGGGAAATACCATTGGGCTGCTTTTACAAGCTGTGACGTCAGCATGGCTCCCTCAGTCGGCTCCTCCAACAGATACAGTAACTTCCGTTCTGGCTTCTCCGGGTAAAATAGGTTCCCAGCACCCATGTCTGAAAGAGGGGAATACGATTGGGCTGCTTTTACAAGCTGTGACGTCAGCATGCCTCCCTCAGTCGGCTCCTCCAACAGATACAGTAACTTCCGTTCTGGCTTCTCCGGGTAAAATAGGTTCCCAGCACCCATGTCTGAAAGAGGGGAATACCATTGGGCTGCTTTTACAAGCTGTGACGTCAGCATGCCTCCCTCAGTCGGCTCCTCCAACAGATACAGTAACTTCCGTTCTGGCTTCTCCGGGTAAAATAGGTTCCCAGCACCCATGTCTGAAAGAGGGAAATACCATTGGGCTTCATCACTTGTATAGATTGTTCTGGAGGTGAGAAAAGTTTCGGTGGAACAGGTTCCCAGCACCCATGTCTGTAAGACGGGACTATGCGACTTCCTAAGACTTCCATGTCCCTTATGACTGTTTCTTAATGCTGACTAATATTTCTTTCCAGAAATAAGATGATAGCGTTTGTATCCTATGTGAACGAAGTGGATGCTCTGCGATGCTTGGATGCCATTCACTTTATCAAAGGCAACCGGTGGTATGTGCAATGGTCCAACGAGAGTAAAGTGGTAAGTTTTAGTCTTCTCTACCATGTATACAACCCATTCAATGTATTCTGTTTTGATTTAGAAACAGAGTAAATCTCCAGTATCCCATGCTAGTCTCCCTGTCTCACCTGTCATCTCTAGCAAAATGGATAATTCTCTACCTCTATTACATCATTGCCATAAGTCCTGTATTTTGGCTGCAGTCACACAAGACTAATCTTCAGAACGTTCAACAGAAGTCCTCTTCACCGTCAACTATACACAACTAGCAAGGTTTTCCCATCTCAGCAAGCTGAAGAGCTGGATGCTGTTTGGTGGTCCTAATATCTTGACAACCAGTTGTGTGTAGTTTACAGTGAGAGGACGTCTGTTGAAAATTCTGAAGATTAGTTTTGTGTGATTGCAGCCAAAATACAGGATTTATGGCAATGATGTAATAGAGGTAGTATTCTTAGAATTACTAGCAATGATGTAATAGAGGTAGTATTCTTAGAATTATTAACAATGATGTAATAGAGGTAGTATTCATAGAATTATTCAAAATAGTAATCATTAAGTGCTCTGACAGCTTGAAAGATAAGAAGGCAACCTTTGGATCCATTTGTATGGCTTTTTGTCTCTTACAAAATAACTAGTCTGGCACATTTTCACCCCTTGAGTGTTATATCACTGGATGAATATGGTTTTGAAAACAAAATTGATATATGTCAAACCATACAATTATTAAATTTACAATAAAAGTATGAAAACTGCAGGTTATGTATACCTGATATAGTTTCTCTTTTTAGTTCTGCTAATAATTCTGTTTTATTGCAGATGCAGGAACCACCTAGAGGTAAGAGAAAGAGAGGTGTCCTTTTCATATAGGGTCTAAGGAAAAATCCCCGGACAACTCTCCATTGCCGGCACGCCTAGTCGAAACGATGCGTAACAGATGATGACTATGTGACACTTGTTTGTGAAGAATAACCACTATATTCTTCACATTGACTTTTCAGGGTCCCTTCATTAGATGACCCATGTTGAGTTAATATCTATACATGCTCATATGTTTATGTAAGGTTGGATTAATGTACAAAAATAACAATATTATGACCGTCCTCACATGATCCTAACTAAATATTTTCTGGCAACAAGACAAAATTCTCAATACCAACATCACTCACTGGAAAAAAAAGGAAACTGCAAGAAACTGTTGAAATACAAAGAAAGAAGCCAGCCCTCCACAGAGACCAATGTCAACTAAAAATACAAAATATCATTTCTGTGTCATTTGAAAAAATATTAAGAAAAGCCTTCTTATCATCATTGATCAGGAGAGGTACACTAACATAAACCATTGAGAAGTTTAGTGCCAAATTTTGTTTTCCTCATTGATCAAATTCATAGTCAATAATTTACATCCTAATAGTGAAATAGATAATAGATACTTTACCACAATCAGGGAAAGGCATTTGTCTTGTTTTTTTAGGCTACCCACCATGGCTAATGGTAAAAAACATTTCTTAGAACATCAAGGTGCAGATCAATAATTAACTGTAAACATGATACATTGATAAATTAAAAACCATAATCAGACCAAACTGGTGTGATGTTTGTAGTTTCCACTTTTGTTTACTTTTTGTAAGAGTTAGCATCGGTGGGGGACTCTGGATATCTTTCATAACATGTATCACAGTAAGGCTATCTTTTTCAATTTTTTCTTCCCTTCACTAACCCACTAGGTGCACTGACCCGGACGGTCCAACCTTAAAGTATATGTAGCTACAGTAGGATAGTGCATGCGATGTACAGGAAGTAACTTGTCAACATTATATATGTTGCCAAAACAAGAAGATACAACTATCCTTTACATCTATTTATGTATCATACACATCTTGTGGGGTAGTCAGTATGATTTGTTGTTTGTTGGGACAAAACTCTGTAACTTACTACTATTTTTAAGAGCGTGAGTATCAGAATTAATTAAGAAATGATGGATCAATGAATTCACACCTGGGATGACTCAAAGCACTAAATATAAATGATGGGACACATTTTACATTTTCTAATGCCCCCCTTTCACTACGACCACGGATATCCCGAATCACCCCGAATCGGAAACTTTCGAAATTCGTGATGATTCCGCCAATAATGCAAACTTTCGTGGCTAATCAGGTTGAAAAATATGAAGTGTTCCAGGAATGGGTTAAGAAACATGTACGAATTACAAGATTCATGTACACATCATGCACGAATTATAAGAATCACCCACGACTTAGTTACGAATATGCCGAATGTTGTACTTTCTTAATTCTTAAATGATTTGTAGTTGACTCATTCTGTTTCGGTATTTTTTCGGGTTGAGGACAAGAAATGTTTGGAGCCATGAATTGCTAAGAATAGCCAAGAATGCAAAAGAATCGATTACAAGGCTGTTACGGAACATAAGAATTAATTACGAATAGATTACGATACAGCCACAAAATTGCAATACGTGGGTTGACCCGTCCACGAACTCCCGCGAACTGTATGAATGTTTGGGAATCAAATAAAATTCATTTAAGAACTTCAAGACATGATTGAGATTTATCTACAAACATGAAAAATTGCCTATTCGGGGTGATTCGGGGTATTCGTGGTCGTAGGAAAATGGGAGCATAAGAATCAATTTTACAAGAATCTCCCGTTACTGAGCCGGCTGCGATAATGCCTGAGTATTGTTGTAATGTTGTTTTGACAGTTGGAATATACTGTTATATCGCTATATTACTGCTCTGATATTTTTTTAAAATACTGCTGTAATATGGCCTTAATGTTACAGTGATTTTGCTTTGATGTTTTTATTAAATATTGCTATGATAGTGCCGTGGAATGTTGCTAAACTTTTGCTGTGATGTTGCAGTGATATCACCATAATATGTATGTGATATTGATGTGATTGCTGTGGTATATTGTTGTAATATATTGATATAATGTGGTTGTGATATAGCTGGGATACTGCTACATTATTGCTGTATTGTTGCTGTGATACAAGTGTAATGTAGCTGTGATACTGCTACATTATTGCTGTATTGTTGCTATATAGTTGCTGTATTGTTGCTGTGATACTAGAGTATTGTGCCTGTCCTACATCTGTGACATTACCATATTACTGACTATAACACAAAGATACATTCATGCTTCATGCTTTGTGAACAGCTTCCGACTCTCATAAATCTGATGTCACCCGGGATGCTCCTGCTAGACCTGCAAGATCTCCCCAGGATGCTCCTGCTAGACCTGCCAGATCTCCCCAAGATGCTCCTGCTATACCTGCAAGATCTCCCTGGGGAGCTCCTGCTGTACCTGCAAGATCTCCCCAAGATGCTCCTGCTAGACCTGCAAGATCTCCCCAAGATGCTCCTGCTAGACCTGCAAGATCTCCCCAAGATGCTCCTGCTAGACCTGCAAGATCTGCCCAGGATGCTCCTGCTAGACCTGCAAGATCTGCCAGACCCGCCAGTCCTGTAAGTCACTTAGTCATTGCTTTAACCGAGCTTGAAGTTCTAGGTTACTTTCAAAGTTGTGTCATGTATACAAGTCTTGTATATTCAATGACATTGTTACAAGTAGACAAGGGGAAGTTCATGTTCAGTAACATTGTTACCAGTAGACAAGTAGAAGTTCATATTTGATAACAGTGTTACCAGTAGAAAAGTGGGTGTTCATATTCAATAACATTGTTACTAGTAGACAATGGGGAGTTCATATTCATTAATATTGTTACCACTAAACCAGAGGAAGTAATATTTAATAACATTATTACTAGTAGACAAGAGTATGTTCATGTTCAGTAACATTGTTACCAGTAGACAAGTGGATGTTCATATTCAATAACATTGTTACCAGGAGACAAGGGGGAGTTCATATTCATTAATATTGTTACCAGTAAACCAGAGGAAGTTAATATTTAATAACATTGTTACTAGCAGACAAGAGGATGTTCATGTTCAGTAACATTGTTACCAGTAGACAAGTGAAAGTTCATATTTAATAACATTTACTGTAGACAAGAGGATGTTCATATTCAATAATATTGTTACTAGTAGACAAGGGGGAGTTCATATTCAATAACATTGTTACCAGTAGACAAGAGGATGTCCATTTTCAATAACATTGTTCAGTGTAGACAAGAGGACGTTCATATTCAATAACACTGTTACCAGTAGACAAGGGGAAGGTCATATTCAATAACACTGTTCCCAGTAGACAAGAGGAAGTTCATATTCAATTACACTGTTACCAGGAGACAAGGGAAAGGTCATATTCAATAACACTGTTCCCAGTAGACAAGGGAAAGTTCATGTTCAATAACACTGTTACCAGGAGACACGGGAAAGTTCATATTCAATAAGACTGTTACAAGTAGACAAGAGGATGTTCATTTTCAGTAACACTGTTACCAGGAGACAAGGGAATGCTCATATTCAATATCATTGTTGCCAGTAGACAACGGGATGCTCATATTCAATAACATTGTTACCAGAAGGCAAGAGGAAGTTCATATTCAATAACATTGTTACCAGTAGACAAGGGAATGCTCATATTCAATAACATTGTTACCAGTAGTCAAGAGGATGTTCATATTCATTAACATTGTTACCAGAAGCCAAGAGGAAGTTTATACCAGCTAACATAGAGGCCATCATTAAGTGCTATCATAAGGGTTCTAGACATCACATTATACATCAAAATGAAATTCCCTAATAAAGTTCTACTAGGTAGTATTCATGTTCTAGTTGACTGAATACCTAGTTGTGTGCTTACCTCGATGTTTACAAATTATAATAAATTATGGCTAGAAATCACTTGATGCTGAAGATGGCACTGATTAAATTCAGTTATTTGCACTTGATGACTTTGACAACCAAGTTGTGCAGAGTTATGTCCCATGGCAACCAGTATCTGATTGTCAACCCAGTTGTGCAGAGTTATGTCCCATGGTGACTAGAATCTGATTGTGAACCCAGTTGTGCAGAGTTAAGTCCCATGGTGACGAGAATCTGATTGTGAACCCAGTTGTGCAGAGTTATGTCCCATGGTGACTAGAATCTGATTGTCGACCCAGTTGTGCAGAGTTATGTCCCATGGTGACTAGAATCTGATTGTCAACCCAGTTGTGCAGAGTTATGTCCCATGGCAACCAGTATCTGATTGACAACCAAGTTGTGCAGAGTTATGTCCCATGGCAACCAGTATCTGATTGTCAACCCAGTTGTGCAGAGTTATGTCCCATGGTGACTAGAATCTGATTGTGAACCCAGTTGTGCAGAGTTAAGTCCCATGGTGACGAGAATCTGATTGTGAACCCAGTTGTGCAGAGTTATGTGCCATGGTGACTAGAATCTGATTGTCAACCCAGTTGTGCAGAGTTATGTCCCATGGTGACTAGAATCTGATTGTCAACCCAGTTGTGCAGAGTTAAGTCCCATGGTGACTAGAATCTGATTGTCAACCCAGTTGTGCAGAGTTAAGTCCCATGGTGACTAGAATCTGATTGTGAACCCAGATGTCAAGAGCTGTGTCCCATGGCGACCAGGATCTGATTGTTGACTTCACATCCCAGATTCATCCAAGTGATGATCCTTGTTCTACTGTTTCCGTGCTCACGTGGGTTACACATCTGGTAAAGTGGGAAACATCTCTGCTTCACCTTGTTCGGTCACACTTAGATATTGATGACATACTGTGATAATCTCCATCAGTTCAGCTCCCTCACTCTTTCATATTTAGGCTCCCCCTCTTGCTGCCCCCCCAACTCGGAAGCTGAGTATATCAGGGTTGACAACACGGACCTCCAATGACCAGCTGCTGTGCTACTTCTCCCGATGGGGCAGTATCGAGGACTACGAGTTGGAGAAGGATACAACAGGGAGGTGAGCAGTTGTGTCCCTTAGTCCTGCCAGGATCTGCTGGCCTCGGATCCCAGATTTGTCCTGGGCCCACTTGCACAAAGCTATCTTAGTGCTAATACTTTAACATAGGCTTAAAACAGTCGTAGCGCTAAGATCACTATGTGCAAATGGGCCCTGATTGTGATTTTTGGTCTGTCACCACCATACCAATGCTTGTAGGTCTACAATCTGTTCTAAGGAACCGACTATTTGATTTTCTGATGCAGGTAAGGCCTGGGATTTTGTATGGAGATTGGATATGTTTTCTGTTGCAGTTGCAAATGCAGATATATTTTTAAATAAAATTATGAGCTTAAATTTCTTCTTTTTCTTTTCTTTTTAACCTAATCCTGCATTGTTGCATTTTCTGCGAAAACATGATGAAACATCATCCCCTGAGAGAAAATCTGTTCCTGAAGAGAATTGAAACTGCTCACCGGAACACAACCTCCCCTCTCCGAACCAGCCAGCATACATGTCGTTCTTCTAAATTTTCGCCAACGAAAACGTATCGTCTATGAACATTATCCTTGGACTTGTGTGGATATCAAACTTTTTGTTTTCTTTCAGAACAGATTGGTTTGTTTATTTACTTGTGTATTCTTACATGCATATATTTGTTTCTTTTCACATGTCTGTGTCGTCTAGTACACTGTGAGTTTGTAGCACATGTTTTATTTTCCCACCATTTTTGGACTTGCTTCGTTCTAAATACAGTGAGGTTTTTGCTTGTGTTGTTGTCCCCGCTATAGCGTGGGATATAGTATTCACAACCGTCCGTACGTACGTCCGAACGTCCGTCCGTACGTCCCACCTGTTTGTTGCCGCGATATCTCAAGAACTAAACACTGGATTGTCTTCATATTTGGAACTATGGTGTATATACAGACTCCGCAGACACAAGTTGGTTTTTGTGACCTTGACCCCATTTTCAAGGTCACAGCAGGCAAATCTGCTTTTGGAGTTGGAAAACGGTGTTGCCGCGATATCTCAAGAACTAATCGCTGGATTGTCTTCATATTTGGAACTATGGTGTATATACAGACACCGCAGACACCAGTCGGTTTTGGTGACCTTGACCCAATTTTCAAGGTCACAGCAGGCAAATCTGCTTTTGGAGTTGGAAAACGGTGTTGCCGCAATATCTCAAGAACTAATCACTGGATTGTCTTCATATTTGGTACTATGGTGTATATACAGGCGGGGGACATTTCGTCACTTTGTGACAAATACTTGTTTTCCTTTGGTTTACATGCATTTTTAGTACCTCTTAGGTGTTTTCACGTATTACACACTCTATTTGTTGTGTGTTTGTGGCCTAAATGTTAGTTTTACACTGTTGGTCTTGGATACTTCAGCTCTGTTTCAGTTGTCTTTCTTCTATGTTAATTTTTGTTATGTTATTCTGACTTATTTTGTGCATGTTTTGATTTCCAAGTTTGCAAATCACATATGGCGCTGTTGAGGGTGCATGAAATCTAAGTCTTCTCAGAACCCACACGAGTGTTGTAAACTGCTGTGTTCGCTGTTATCAAGGTGTGATGTCTGTGGACCCTTGAGTACCTCTACCTTTGTTGATTTACTATGAGTGTGTCAGAGGAGACAGTTGTCCTGGTCTACCCATCTTCCCGAGGCAAGAGAGTTAACTGACTTTAAAAGTCCAGTTTCCACCCTTGCTGAACTAGGCTGGAATTCCTGGGCTCGATCGTAGCGCCACCACTGGCTATTACGAGTTTTGTCCTTTCTATGCCTCTCCTATTGACCAATCAGATTCAACCTCTCGTATCACTTGCATTTGCTTCAAACAAAACGGTGGCGCCCAGTCAAGACGATTTGATTGATAATCAAGATCTATATTGTGATAAAACGAATCTTACATCGCGAAGTGCATCAAATCACGTGAGCACCTTGATTAAAAGCATGAAAAGATTTAGAAAATATCTGTTGACAATGAGTTGGTGATCAGGGATGTGAAATCTCCGCGGAAACGTGGAAAATCGCGTTTTTTAAAACAGTAGTCCTCGGAAAAAAATCATCTTCCGCGTAAAAAATTAATAATTTTTTTAAAGAAAACACTCGGAAAAATATGATCGAAAACCGGACATCTGTCGCGGATTGTCCTGTTTTCGATCAGAGCTTTCACCAGCATAGGTTTTCGGACATCATACGTTTTCAATCACGAATACTTGCATTATAACGTGGGATGTGGCATAACACAGAAATTGTAAATACTCAGAGACAGATGAATGCTTGTTTTTAAGATAAAGTTGTCTTTTAGCCTGTAAGTGAATGAGATGTTTTACAGTTGTTCATGTGATTAGCGAGAAAACTATGAATGTTTCTTCAGCGTCCAAAACCCCATAACATGGGGATATATGTTGTATTAATGTCTTATGTTTGCAATGGAGTTTTGTTTTTTTCATCAAAAGGTAAGTACAAGGTAAGTTTTTTTCAATATGCTTCAACATGGGGAAAGGGTCAGACATTGCACGCTTGTGACAGTTGTCCTTGTGTCTGGGGGATGGGGGTTGAAGTTTATGGCAGTATTGCTCCCAGACCTGGCGGGTAGCCAGGTGCGCGAAAGCCATGCCCGATTTTTTAAAAGTACTGATTTAACTTCGAAATTTTACTGCATCTGCCATCTTGTTTATTTGGCTTATTGACTTTTGCCATTGAATTATTACATTTCTTGACTTTTCCTCTTTTTTCGGGAAAACCCGCTCACATCCCTGGGTGATGCACATGCTTTGCAAATCCTGCAGTCGACCGAAATCTGCATGACACTTTACGAACCGGATTTCGATTTCAGTGCGCGATTTTGATTGGACTATGCATAGCCAAAATGTAACTCCATAATACCAGCCTAGTTCGGCAAGGGTGGAAACTGGACTTTTATAGTCAGTAAACTCACTTGCCTCTGGAAGATGCGGTCGAACCGACACTAGTAGGTGGGAGACTCCAACACTTTTGGCAGAATTGGTGCCTTTTCAGAGACAAATTTGTCGCAAAAATATCCGAGCCATCTGTCATTACATCACTGAATTTAACCACATGAGAGGGGGTGTACAGGAGAACATGGACTTTCTTCAAGGGAAACATGCTGTTGAAGAACTTCAGCATCGGGTGAAACCAGGGTTTTACTAAAACAACCTGAAAACAGGCTATTTTACTGGCGATTCAACATTGGAAGTATCCTTTTCGTCACTCTTGAGTGCTGATTGCCGTTAACAACTCAACAGTGGTTTGGTACATCCAGAAACAGACTTCCACTCAAACTGATAGACTCCATCTCCATGGACGTCAGCGACAGGCACATTCCTGACAGGAGGAACGCCCTCGACGTAGTGGATGCTACACTAGGATGCTTTCCGCTTCAGGTCACCCAAATATCAGCCTGTTTGCAATGAGCGTCAACCATCAAGTTTGGGTTAAAATCTCTCAGGTTCTTGATCCGTTGGCGAAGAGGGGCTGACTTTGATCTCGCCCTGCTTGACAGCCAGAATTTGGTTTCAGATCTTCTACAGCTAGCCGAGCGCCAATGTCGAGGGCTATCAGACTGGCAGAAATTTCTACTCCATCTGCACAGTCTACAGCCACGCCCAAGGCCAAGTGTGTTCTCCCTGCAGGTGGCAAAGGTGGTTACTCAGGCACGTTGTATCTCGACTGGAAGTTTATAAGTGGAAGTCATTTGAGATTTACTGTTAGCAGCGGAAGGAGGAACCTATGACGGGTTTATTGCCGAGTACTTGATCTACCTTCATTACCCATGTCATCTGAAGGGTGTTACCGTTGCTCCTTATCAAGCAGCCATTAATTCTGTGTTGGTGTTTCTGAGATATCAGAAAGTCTCCAAGATCCTGGAACTATCGGTCATGTTCAGCACCTTCCTACTGGACGACCAGAAACTGAAATTTCGTCCTCCAGCCTGGGATCTGAACATTGTACAACAGCACTTGTGTCACCAGCCGCATGAACCACTTGACAAGGCATTGCTGGAGAGCCTCAACAGGAAAACTCTCTTTCTGTTGGCACTGACGACAGCATCATGAGTTGGTGAAATCCATGCCTTGGATGACCAAAGTCCATTTTTGAACAGGCCAGATATGGTGCAGTCTTTTTAGGGGTTTGCTGGGACCTCATCGCCAAAAAACAGCTACCAGGACAATCAGATTGGCATTTTACTGTACCGCCAATGGCCTTGATTGTTGGATGGGAAGATGAAGTTAACTCACAGAAGATGACTGTTTCTTGGCTTAAAGCTGCACAGAAAGGCCGAGGTCATAAGGAATACCATCCCATTTTGGCTTCGATCTACTATCCTTGTAGCTTATGATGCAGCGGGGTTACAACATCCCCAGGCCAGGCCAGCAACCCTAACGAAATATGTGCGATTGCCTCCATGATGGCTCTCCATGTCAACTGTACAGTGGCAGCTGTTATGGAGAGATGGTTTTTTTGATAGATTGAGCAGCCATTATCTACACGATATAGCTGTTGGAAGACGTTGAGGGCGTCAATAGGTTTGGGCAACTCGTGGTTTCACAGCAGATCGCTAACTGAAAATGATGCTGGTAGTGTGACCTGGATACTATCACCTGAGCTTCCCCATCTTAGAGGAGTGTCGAGGGGACACAGGTATGTCATTCATGATGCATCCATCAAGCTGAGAAGTTTGGTAAGTTTAACCTCTCTTTACCTCTGTTGATGTTATTTGGTCGTAACACAACTCATGTGACTTACTCGAGGTAAGATCCTTGACAAGTATACCAAGCACCGACGTGCACTTAGCAGTAGCTGTTGGTGTGCAAAGAATCTCAACTGACATTACCACGCCTACCCACAGGCGAGGATAACCAGTCTACACTGAATGTACGCTCTGCTCCAACCTCCGATAAGATGCAATTTGTCATGTAATGCAGGATTAAGTAAAAACTTATGACATCTAATATAACATATGTTATATTTAATACTTATCCTGCTTGACATGATAAATGGGCCACCCGGGCTGGTGCTGCCTCCCCACTCGTATCTTAGTGGACATTGCTGCTTTCTCATTCAAAAGACTGAGGTGTATGCTGGCTGATTTCATGAGGCCTGCAGTTCCAACTGTGTTCAGGAACAAGTTTTCTCTCAAAAGGGGGGGTGGGGGGGGAGGGTAGCCTAGCGGTTAAAACATTCGCTCGTCACACCGAAGACACGAGTTCGATTCCCAACATGGGTACAAGGGATGATATTTCCAGTCATGTTTTCGCAGGAAATACAAGGGAATGCGATATGTAATGCAGGATAAGTGTAAAATGTATAAGATATTAATAAATGAATTTTTCATCGCAAGCAATATTATTTTTTTTCAAACGTTTAAAGCATAAATTTTTTTTCGGTGACAATTTAATTTTTTGGATAAAAATATCACATGGTCAGTCCCTTATGAGATGATAACCAATGATATGTGATGCACATCGCAATCAGACAGAATTGAATGCAGTTGTCATGAATGGAGAAATCATAATTCAGTTTAATACAACTGTTCTGCCTAGTGTTTAGGCATTCCTCATGGACCTGTTTCTTCTCCCTGTTGCGGGGGCATGGGTGGCCCAGTTGTCAAAGGCGCCGCGATTCACTGTGCAGAGTTGCGTCCCTTGGGCACGCCAGAAACCTATGATTGTGGGTTCGAATCCCGGTTCGCCCCGATTATGTTTCTAGGTTTGTCAGCACCATACCCGTGCTCGTGGGTTTCACCGAAGTGGTAAACGTCTGAGACCTGCATCACTTCGGGCTTTCTTCCCACATTAAGCTGACACGCCATGATATAACTGGAATACTGTTAAAAGCGGCCTTAAACGCAACTCATTCACTCACTACTGTAGTTAATCTGTCATGGCACTCACTCACTCACTCTCCCTGTTGCTGTTGCCATGACACCAACCTGTCTATGCCAAGATATTACAACCCATGAGGATCCGGTTAATCTTGGTCTTCAGTAACCCATGCTTGTTGTAAAAGACAATTAACTCGCTTACTTCATGCATGGCAATTGTGCAGATTGATGCTCATGATGCCAATCACTGGATTGTCTCGTGCAGACTTACTTACAAGCTGCCATCATTTAGCTGGAATAGTGCTGAATGTGACATTAAACAACACAAACAAATAAGCCAAGATATTTCCATGGGGATCTTGAAGTATAATGTGACTTAATGGATCAGATCTTCGGACTCAGTGGCCTGGTTGATTGTTTGTCATCCAAAGGAATAGATCATTGCTCATAATATTGATCACTAGTTTATCGGGTCCAAAGCTTAAAAATGAATGCACTCTTTTGTTTTCAGACCAACTGGTTGTGCACTTGTTGTATTTGGAAGACAGTGTGACGCAGAGACAGCAGTATCAGCCAAGCCACATATTATTGATATGAAGGAGATCAAAGTCACCTACACCAAGCCTTCCAAGGTAAGCCTCCTATGAGGTATGTGATATAGTGAACATAGTCACCTACACCAAGCCTCCTATGGTAAGCCTCCTATGAGGTATGTGTTATGGTGAACATAGTCACCTACACCAAGCCTCCTATGGTAAGCCTCCTATGAGTTATGTGATATGGTGAACATAGTCACCTACACCAAGCCTCCTAAGGTAAGCCTCCTATGAGTTATGTGATATGGTGAACATAGTCACCAACACCAAGCATCCTATAGTAAGCCTTCTATGATGTATGTGATATGGTGAACATAGTCACCTACAGCAAGCCTCCTAAGGTAACCCTCCTATGAGGTATGTGATATAGTGAACAAAGTCACCTACACCAAGCCTTCCAAGGTAAGCCTCCTATGAGGTATGTGATATAGTGAACATAGTCACCTACACCAAGCCTCCTAAGGTAAGCCTCCTATGATGTATGTGATATGGTGAACATAGTCACCTACAGCAAGCCTCCTAAGGTAACCCTCCTATGAGGTATGTGATATAGTGAACAAAGTCACCTACACCAAGCCTCCTAAGGTTAGCCTCACATGTGAAATGTGATATGGTGAACATAGCCACCGACACCAAGCCTCCTAAGGTAAGCCTCCTATGAGGTATGTGATATAGTGAACATAGTCACCTACACCAAGCCTCCTAAGGTTAGCCTCACATGTGAAATGTGATATGGTGAACATAGCCACCGACACCAAGCCTCCTAAGGTAAGCCTTCTATGAGTTATGTGATATAGTGAACATAGTCACCTACACCAAGCCTCCTAAGGTAAGCCTCCAATGAGGTATGTGATATCGTGAACATAGTCACCTACACCAAGCCTCCTAAGGTAAGCCTCCCATGTGATATGTGATATGTGATATGGTGAACATAGTCACTACACCAAACCTCCTAAGGTAAGCCTCCCATGGTATATGTGATATAGTGAACATAGTCACCAACACCAAGCCTCCTATGGTAAGCCTCCTATGAGTTATGTGATATGGTGAACATAGTCACCTACACCAAGCCTCCTCAGGATAGCCTCCTATGAGGTATGTGATATAGTGAACATAGTAACCGACACCAAGCCTCCTAAGGTAAGCCTCACATGTGAAATGTGATATGGTGAACATAGCCACCGACACCAAGCCTCCTAAGGTAAGCCTTCTATGAGTTATGTGATATAGTGAACATAGTCACCTACACCAAGCCTCCTAAGGTAAGCCTTCCATGAGATATGTGATGTGGTGAACATAGTCACCGACACCAAGCCTCCTAAGGTAAGCCTCCTATGAGGTATGTGATATAGTGAACATAGTAACCGACACCAAGCCTCCTAAGGTTAGCCTCACATGTGAAATGTGATATGGTGAACATAGCCACCGACACCAAGCCTCCTAAGGTAAGCCTTCTATGAGTTATGTGATATAGTGAACATAGTCACCTACACCAAGCCTCCTAAGGTAAGCCTTCCATGAGATATGTGATGTGGTGAACATAGTCACCGACACCAAGCCTCCTAAGGTAAGCCTCCTATGAGGTATGTGATATAGTGAACATAGTCACCGTCATCAAGCCTCCTAAGGTAAGCCTCCAATGAGGTATGTGATATAGTGAACATAGTCACCTACACCAAGCCTCCTAAGGTAAGCCTCCCATGTGATATGTGATATGTGATATGGTGAACATAGTCACTACACCAAACCTCCTAAGGTAAGCCTCCCATGTGGTATGTGATATGGTGAACATAGTCACCTACACCAAGCCTCCTAAGGTAAGCCTCCAATGAGGTATGTGACATAGTGAACATAGTCACCGACACCAAGCCTCCTAAGGTAAGCCTCCCATGTGATATGTGATGTGGTGAACATAGTCACTGACACCAAGCCTCCTAAGGTAAGCCTCCCATGTGATATGTGATATGGTGAACATAGTCACCTACACCAAGCCTCCTAAGGTAAGCCTCCAATGAGGTATGTGACATAGTAAACATAGTCACCGACACCAAGCCTCCTAAGGTAAGGCTCCTATTGGGTATGTGATATGGTGAACATAGTCACCAACACCAAGCCTCCTATGGTAAGCCTCCCATGTGATATGTGATATGGTGAACATAGTCACCAACACCAAGCCTCCTATGGTAAGCCTCCCATGTGATATGTGATATGGTGAACATAGCCACCGACACCAAGCCTCCTAAGGTAAGCTTTCCATGAGATATGTGATGTGGTGAACATAGTCACCAACACCAAGCCTCCTATGAGGTATGTGATATGGTGAACATAGTTTCCGACACCAAGCCTCCTAAGGTAAGCCTCCTATGAGATATGTGATGTGGTGAACATAGTCACCGACACCAAGCCTCCTAAGGTAAGCCTCCTATGAGGTATGTGATGCGATGACCACAGTCGCCTACACCCAGCCTTCTATGTATGTATGTAGGGCACCTTCTTCCATACAAATAAGTTGCCAATAGTGATCCTCCTTGCGAGGGAATTTGATAATGTGAGAGTGTGATTACCCAGGAAGGAAAGTGGCATTATCTTGTAACCAGAAGACAGAAGATGTGAGCAACATTTTGGATAAGACATCACACTAGAGCCTAAACAGAAGAGGGAAGGAAAATCTAGGAGAGAAGTAATACTGTACTCAATTCCAAAAGAAACGCAAACCCAAAGTATGGATGTTGGCACCTACTGATGCATCGTGTGCACTGACACTTGTGTCGCCTTGGATTGGCAGAAACCAGAAGCTGCATCATGAAGAGATGTGTCACTTGGGTGCGACTTGACAGAAACCAGAAACAGCATTATGAAGAGGTGTGACACCATGGTACACTTGGCAGAACTGAAAGCATCATCATGGAAAGATGATACTACTTGACAGAAATCATGAAGAGATGTGTTGACACTATTTGATAGATACTTGAAGTATCTTCATGAAATGATGTGTCACCTTGGTACTACTTGACAGAAACTAGAAGCTGCATCACGAATAGATGTTACCTTGGTACGACTTGACAGAAACTGGAAGCTGCATCACGAAGATATGTGATACCTTGGCACTACTTGACAGAAACTAGAAGCTGCATCATGGAGAGATGTGTTACCTTGGTACTTCTGGAAAGAAACTAGACGCTGCATCATGGAGAAATGTGTTACTTTGGTACTCCTTGACAGAAACTAGAAGCTGCATCATGGAGAGATGTGTTACCTTGGTACTACTTGACAGAAACTAGAAACTGGATCATAAAGAGATGTGTTACCTTGGTACTACTTGACAGAAACTAGAAGCTGCATCATGGAGAGATGTGTCACCTTGGTACTTCTTGACAGAAACTAGAAGCTGCATCATGGAGACATGTGTTACCTTGGTACTTCTTGACAGAAAGTAGAAGCTGCATCATGGAGAGATGTGTTACCTTGTCACTACTTGACAGTAACTAGAAGCTGCATCATGAAGAAACGTGTTACCTTGGTACTACTTGATAGAAACTAGAAGCTGCATCATGGAGAGACGTGTCACTTTGGTACTACTTGACAGAAACTAGAAGCTGCATCATGGAGACATGTGTTACCTTGGTACTACTTGACAGAAACCAGAAGCTGCATCATGGAGAGATGTGTTACCTTTGTACTACTTGCCAGAAACTAGAAGCTGCATCATGAAGAGATGTGTCACCTTGTCACTACTTGACAGAAACTAGAAGCTGCATCATGAATAGATGTGTTACCTTGGCACTACTTGACAGAAACTAGAAGCTGCATCATGAATAGATGATACCTTGGTACGACTTGACAGAAACTGGAAGCTGCATCATAAAGATATGTGATACCTTGGCACTACTTGCCAGAAACTAGAAGCTGCATCATGGAGAGACGTGTTACCTTGGTACTACTTGACAGAAACTAGACGCTGCATCATAAATGGATGTGTCACCTTGTCACTACTTGACAGGAGCTAGAAGCTGCATCATGGAAAAATGTGTCACCTTGGTACTACTTGACAGAAACTAAAAGCTGAATCATGGAGAGATGTGTTACCTTGGTACTTCTGGACAGAAACTAGAAGCTGCATCATGGAGAGATGTGATACCTTGGTACTACTTGACAGAAACTAGAAGCTGCATCATGGAGAGACGTGTCACCTTGGTACTACTTGACAGAAACTAGATTCTGCATCATGAATAGATGATACCTTGGTACTACTTGACAGAAACTAGATTCTGCATCATGAATAGATGATACCTTGGTACTACTTGACAGAAACTAGAAGCTGCATCATGGAGAGATGTGTTACCTTGGTACTACTTGACAGAAACTAGAAGCTGCATCATGGAGAGACGTGTCACCTTGGTACTACTTGACAGAAACTAGAAGCTGCATCATGGAGACATGTGTAACCTTGGTACTACTTGACAGAAACTAGAAGCTGCATCATGAATAGATGATACCTTGGTACTACTTGACAGAAACTAGAAGCTGCATCATGGAGAGATGTGTTACCTTGGTACTTCTGGACAGAAACTAGAAGCTGCATCATGAAGAGATGTGTTACCTTGTCACTACTTTAAAGAAACTAGAAGCTGCATCATGAAGATATGTGATACCTTGGTACTACTTGACAGAAACTAGAAGCTGCATCATGAAGAGATGTGTTACCTTGTCACTACTTGACAGAAACTAGAAGCTGCATCATGAAGAGATGTGTTACCTTGTCACTACTTGACAGAAACTAGAAGCTGCATCATGGAGACATGTGTTACCTTGTCACTACTTGACAGAAACTAGAAGCTGCATCATGGAGAGATGTGTTACCTTGGCACTACTTGCCAGAAACTAGAAGCTGCATCATGAAGAGATGATAGCTTGGTACGACTTGACAGAAACTAGAAGCTGCATCATGGAGAGTTGTGTTACCTTGGTACTTCTGGACAGAAACTAGAAGCTGCATCATGAAGAGATGTGTTACCTTGGTACTTCTTGACAGAAACTAGAAGCTGCATCATGAAGAGATGTGTTACCTTGTCACTACTTGACAGAAACTAGAAGCTGCATCATGAAGAGATGTGATACCTTGGTACGACTTGACAGAAACTAGAAGCTGCAACATGGAGAGATGTGTTACCTTGGTACTACTTGACAGAAACTAGAAGCTGCATCATGAAGAGATGTGTCATCTTGGTACTACTTGACAGGAAACTAGAAGCTGCATCATGAAGATATGTGATACCTTGGTACTACTTGACAGAAACTAGAAGCTGCATCATGAAGAGATGTGTTACCTTGGTACTACTTGACAGAAACTAGAAGCTGCATCATGAAGAGATGTGTTACCCTTGTCACTACTTGACAGAAACTAGAAGCTGCATCATGGAGAGATGTGTTACCTTGTCACTACTTGACAGAAACTAGAAGCTGCATCATGAAGAGATGTGTTACCTTGTCACTACTTGACAGAAACTAGAAGCTGCATCATGGAGAGATGTGTTACCTTGGCACTACTTGCCAGAAACTAGAAGCTGCATCATGAAGAGATGATAGCTTGGTACGACTTGACAGAAACTAGAAGCTGCATCATGGAGAGTTGTGTTACCTTGGTACTTCTGGACAGAAACTAGAAGCTGCATCATGAAGAGATGTGTTACCTTGGTACTACTTGACAGAAACTAGAAGCTGCATCATGGAGACATGTGTTACCTTGTCACTACTTGACAGAAACTAGAAGCTGCATCATGAAGAGATATGATACCTTGGTACGACTTGACAGAAACTAGAAGCTGCATCATGGAGAGTTGTGTTACCTTGGTACTTCTGGACAGAAACTAGAAGCTGCATCATGAATAGATGATACCTTGGTACGACTTGACAGAAACTAGAAGCTGCATCATGGAGAGTGTTACCTTGGTACTACTTGACAGAAACTAGAAGCTGCATCATGAAGAGATGTGTTACCTTGGCACTACTTGACGGAAACTAGAAGCTGCATCATGGAGAAACGTGTCACCTTGGTACTACTTGACAGTAACTAGAAGCTGCATCATGGAGAGATGTGTAACCTTGTTACTACTTGACAGAAACTAGAAGCTGCATCATGGAGAGATGTGTTACCTTGGTACTACTTGACAGAAACTAGAAGCTGCATCATGGAGAGATGTGTTACCTTGGTACTACTTGACAGAAACTAGAAGCTGCATCATGGAGACATGTGTAACCTTGGTACTACTTGACAGAAACTAGAAGCTGCATCATGGAGACATGTGTTACCTTGGTACTACTTGACAGAAACTAAAAGCTGCATCATGGAGAGATGTGTTACCTTGGTACTACTTGACAGAAAGTAGAAGCTGCATCATGGAGAGATGTGTTACCTTGGTACTACTTGACAGAAACTAGGAGCTGCATCATGAAGATATGTGTCACCTTGTACTACTTGACAGAAACTAGAAGCTGCATCATGGAGAGATGTGTCACCTTGGTACTACTTGACAGAAACTAGAAGCTGCATCATGAAGAGATGTGTTACGTTGGTACTACTTGACAGAAACTAGAAGCTGCATCATGAATAGATGATACCTTGGTACGACTTGACAGAAACTAGAAGCTGCATCATGGAGAGATGTGCTACCTTGGTACTTCTTGACAGAAACTAGAAGCTGCATCATGGAGAGATTTGTTTCCTTGGTACTACTTGCCAGAAACTAGAAGCTGCATCATGAATAGATGTGTCACCTTGTCACTACTTGACAGAAACTAGAAGCTGCATCATGAAGAGATGTGATACCTTGGTACTACTTGACAGAAACTAGAAGCTGCATCATGGAGACATGTGTTACCTTGTCACTACTTGACAGAAACTAGAAGCTGCATCATGAAGAGATGTGATACCTTGGTACTACTTGACAGAAACTAGAAGCTGCATCATGAAGAGATATGCTACCTTGGTACTTCTGGACAGAAACTAGAAGCTGCATCATGAAGAGATGTGTTACCTTGTCACTACTTGAAAGAAACTAGAAGCTGCATCATGAAGAGATGTGATACCTTGGTACTACTTGACAGAAACTAGAAGCTGCATCATGGAGAGATGTGTCACCTTGGTTCTACTTGACAGAAACCAGAAGCTGCATCTCATGAAGAGACCTGACCTTAGTACTACTTGACAGAAACTAGAAGCTGCGTCATGAAGAGATGTGTTACCTTGGCACTACTTGACGGAAACTAGAAGCTGCATCATGGAGAAACGTGTCACCTTGATACTACTTGACAGAAACTAGAAGCTGCATCATGGAGAGATGTGTAACCTTGGTTCTACTTGACAGAAACTAGAAGCTGCATCATGGAGAGACGCGTCACCTTGGTACTACTTGACAGAAACTAGAAACTGCATCATGGAGACATGTGTTACCTTGTACTACTTCACAGAAACTAGAAGCTGCATCATGGAGAGATGTGTTACCTTGGCACTACTTGACAGAAACTATACTCACATGCAAAAGAAACGCAAGTTGAGTATGCAGTATGCATGTTATTTATTTTCAACAGTAAAGACAAGAAATACTAATAGGGCAAGACTGACAATTTGACTGAAGACAGTTTAATGGATTGAAAGGCAGATGACATAATTGTTTTTATCAAATGTTAAGGGCTTGCACAGTTTTGGGTCAATACCCAAAATGTCAGTCAATACCTGGTGTGACCACCATTAGCATTGATCACTGCTAAACATCCCCTGTACATTGAGGGATCCTCCTGCACACATCCAGAACAGCTGTGCGTAGTTCATCGGCAGTTGTAGGGACTGGGATCACGTTGTGCAGACGCCTTTGAACCTCATCCCACAAGTGTTCGATGGGGTTCAGATCAGGGCTGAGGGCTGGCCACGGTAGAACACGGATGTTGTGTTGTTGCAGAAAGGCCATGGTAGCTCCGGCAACATGGGGATGAGCGTTGTCCTGCTGGAAAATGTGTTGTTGATGTTTTGCTAAAAATGGAACAACGTGGGGTCTGATCACTTGGTTGATATACCGCTGAGCAGTGACGCTGTGTCCCCGACCTTGACCAACATTCAGAAAGCACATGGGTCCAAGTCTCACATTAATTCCAATCCCTGCCCATAGTATGACACTAGGTTCACCCCATGGATCCCTTTCCACAACGTTTCAGTCAGCGAAACGATCACCTCGCCACCGACAAATTCTGACTCTTCCGTCGGCATGGGAGACACAAAAGCGACTTTCATCAGAGAAGATGACACGCCTCCTCTCACGATGAAGCCAATTGTGATGACCCTGTGCCCACTGAAGTCGTGCTTGTTGATGCAGTGGTTGGAGAACAGGACGATGTGCTGGTCGAAGAGATCTGAGGTTGTTGGAACGGAGACGTCGGATCACAGTGTCCCGGCTAATGTGTCGATTATGTGTTCCTATGGTCTGTCGAGCACTTTCACTTGCAGTGAGGAACGGATGTCGCTGGTGTTGACGGGTAATCTGCCGATCTTGTCGAGGTGTGGTGACCCTAGGACGACTGCTCCGATGATGGTCATTTGTGGTCTGTGTAGCATTGTATCGATGCAGGAGACGGTAAATTGTGGTTATGTTAACGTTGAAATGACGGGCAACATCTAGGACAGACTCTCTGTCCAGCTTCCAAACGTCCAATAGCCTGGTTTCTCTGAATTTGAGTTAGGCGTGGCATTGTTGACCAAGGAGTGGTAGGTCCAGGAATTGGCCACAGTTTTATACCCACTACAGTTCGTGAGAAGTTCGTGCATATTCGATTTCACGAGAAATGGGTGCATGATACCCACATATTCATTGAAATTGTAATTTTGGCGATTCGTTTTTCATGTTGCATTTTTACTCGGGGCTTCCAAAATGCAACCAAAAATATTGATCAGGCTTCACTGCATGCTAAAACTTATATCAATTTATGGTTCCGTGTTTCTTACCTATTTGCTTAAAACCACTTGCGTTTCTTTAGCTTGTGAGTATAGAAGCTGCATCATGGAGAGATGTGTTACTATTAGTGTTTAGAGTGTTGATTGTCTTTATTTCAGGAAAATAAATACTTTTGTTTCATACATTTCATGGTTTGTGTTGAATCTATTATGTCACCAAAACATTGTTCTTGATTGATTATGTTTTCTTTTGAGGGCATAATGTGGTCTTATTGATGATCTGTGTTTTATGCAGCTGTATATCATTTCGATAGAAACATATTCAGCCTGCAAATTTATGATGTATTTCTTGACAGAAGTCAAAATGATAGTTTCATTTGGATACACTTGTGCCAGTTTGAATTGCATCTACATAATTGTTGCTACTTTTTATTTTGACAGGTTCCATTAAGTTTTTAAGAACTGAAGTATATGTCGGCTAACTCTAGCTTTATACACTTAAATTTTGTTCCTTCAGAGACAGCCATCTGAAACCTTTCCATCTAGGAGGGAACAAAGACACTCTCAAACTGTTCAACGACGAAGATTGCCTGAAACTGTCAAATCACAAAGATTGCATGAAGTTTGCCATCAACAAGATGCTATGGAGCCACAAAGGTTGCCTGAAACTGTCAAATCACAAAGACTGCATGAAGTTTACCATCAACAAGATGCTATGGAGCCACAAAGGTTGCCTGAAACTGTCAAATCACAAAGATTGCATGAGGTTACCAATCAACAAGATGCTGTGGAGCCACAAAGGTTGCCTGAAACTGTCAAATCACAAAGGTTGCCTGATAATGTCCTGTCACGAAGGTTGCCAGAAACCTTCCAGTCAAGAAGGGTACCTGCAGATATACGGCAACAAAGGTTACCAGAATGGAACCGGCCAAGGATGTTGCCTGAAGATGTCCAGCAAAGAAGGCAGTCCAGCCCAGAACCTTTTGTTCCAGGTTTGACACCAGCAGACAGTGTCTCATATATTCCATTGGGAACTGAATATGACTGCAATGTTTCTGGATGTTTCTATAGAGGAACATCATTGCAGTTTGAGCGTCACTGGACAGAGCGACATGAAGCAAAGGTTCTCTATCTCATCTGTTCATTTTGTAGTATGGGATGTGTAGATGCAGATGATCTTTGTGAACACCTGGATTTCTTTCACGGGATCGAGGACAAAATAGAAATGTCAAAATTTCTACAAAACACTAAACGAGAAGAGAGAGATAACATTCACTTTGTCATGCCAGGCAATGTGACAAAGGAAACCTGTATGAGGGTTACAGAGCCTGTTCAACATGAACCAACCAGATCAAAAGCTCCACACCAACAAGAGAAAGATGCTAAAGATGTCCACAAGTGCACAGAATGCACATTTACTGGCACTATGGATGAGTCCCTTAACCACTGGAACAAAAACCATGCTTCTGAGCTAGTTTGTTTGAGGTGTCCAATATGCCCTAAAACTTTCACAAAGAAAGCATCTCTTGAGTTTCATATCAAACATGTGCATCGGAACATAAAGATGCATATGGAAAAAGAACCAGAAGATCTTGAGGCTGACTTGGATGAGTCTCAGAATTTTAATCTCAGAAGTAGTCAGCATAAATTTCAAAGAGAAGAAGTACCCAGATCCCAGACACACATACAAACAATTTCAGGAATGGGTTCGAGAAGGACTTATGCTGGAAACAGGTCTACAAAGACAAAGCCCACAGCTTCATCCACTGCACCACTGCAGTCTGGCCAGAATGTGTCAAGGCCCAACTTGGTACCAAGATTGCCAACCCAGCAGCCTGTTCCCAGACTTAATCCTCCACCTCTGGCAACCCATGTGCCACTTACTCCACAAAAGCATATTCAGTCTCAACCAACAATTGTCAGTGCTCCGCCATTGTCATACCGACACCCAGTTCATCCTCCAACAAGTATAACCACCCAACAAGCAGTGCCTTTACGTGGGCTAGTAACACCCTTCTATCGCTTCACAGCATCTGTTCCCAACCCTGTGCCACCTCCTCTTAGACCTTCAGTCCCTTTTGTCTCTACACCTCAGCCTGCTGTTGCAAGTCAGTTGTATTCACCAGCATATCCCCAGCCTCCTGTTACTGTGATTCCAAATACCTTTACGCAACCAGTGTCAGCTGTTTCAAGGCCTGTTGTGAGAGCTCAACCACACATAGTTCCTACTGTAAGCTATTCTCAAGCTTCATTTCAACCCCAAGTAAGTGCACAATCACATCATGCTTCACAGCAAGCTCCAATAATGGCTCCACCACAGCCCCAAGTTGGTGCTACAGTAACTCCTTCAGCAGGTGCTCCACCACAACTCCCACTGACTAGGCAAGTAATCAGTCAGCCTCTGCAACATCCAAATGCACCTCAACCTGTTCATCAACAAATGTATAGGCCAGGGTTACTAATGAAACAACCACCGGTTGCCTCCCAGTCAGTGAATATGCCAAGTGCAGATTCTAGTACCAGTGCTCCACTGAATCCTCTGGATTTAATTGATTTTTACAAGGGCAACACAAAAACTAAGGAAAAGTCAAGAGAAGACGTACTGGAAAAGTCCTCAAAACAGAAGAAATCAAAAAGTGAACCAAAGAAGGTAACTAACACAAAAGCAAGTGATGAATTGAAAAAATCAGTCCAGCCTGAATCTGTTCTTGCTCTGAGACCAGATTGGACAAAGACATTGAAAGTTACACGCCCTGAAACATCACCTCTTGACAAAACTAATTCTGTGAAAATGAATAGCTTCAGACTCCCAAGTAGAGTGATTCCGAGGTTCAAAAGAACAAACCAAGATAGTATCCGAAAGTTCTTACTTTGGAGTCATATAATGATGGAAAGATTAGAGGATGCTAATATTAAAGTAAGAAAAAGGCTTGAAGCAGATGTGGGTGATGATGATGATGATGATGATGAAGTGCCTGAGGAAATGTTGGAGTCTTCAGATGAAGAAACAAGTGGTGGAAATACGGAGGTTAAAGAAACACTAAGTCAAGCACATGAAGATATGAAAGCAAGAGCACAAACTATTGGTCAGAAAGTGTTTGAAGACTATATAAATCAGAAAGTAGAGGGGAAGACTACAAATACAAACAAACAAACAAAAACTGCAAAGAATCAAGGACAATCTAAAAAAGGGAAGGGTAAACAAGGGTTCGTTGATAAAAAGGTGTTAGGTCAGTTGCTTAGGAAGTCCATCGGCATGGTGAAATATCAGTTTAGGAGAGCTAATGTAGATGCTGAGTTAGTTAGCAAAGGTATGTCCTGGGCTAGAAATGAGATTGTGAAAATGCTTGAACAAGATGAGAAGATGATACTGACTGAAGTTGATAAAGAAAGTGAAGCGGCAGATAACCATGGTCAGGCAGGTGAAGGCCTTCAGCATAGGTCAGATAACAGTGGTCAGTCAAGGGAAAACCTTCAGCAAAGAACAGATAACCGTGGTCAGTCAAGGGAAAACCTTCAGCAAAGAACAGATAACCGTGGTCAGTCAAGAGAAAACCTTCAGCAAAGAACAGATAACAGTGGTCAGGCAGGTGAAGACCTTCAGCAAAGAACAGATAACAGTGGTCAGTCAAGGGAAGACCTTCAGCAAAGAACAGATAACCGTGGTCGGTCAAGGGAAGACCTTCAGCAAAGAACAGATAACCGTGGTCGGTCAAGGGAAGACTTTCAGCAAAGAACAGATAACCGTGGTCGGTCAAGGGAAGACCTTCAGCAAAGAACAGATAACCGTGGTCGGTCAAGGGAAGACCTTCAGCAAAGAACAGATAACCGTGGTCAATCAAGGGAAGATCTTCAGCAAAGGACAGATTACCGTGGTCGGTCAAGTGAAGTCCTCTGGCAAAGGACAGATAACCGTGGTCGGTCAAGGGAAGACCTCCGTCAAAGGATAGTTAACCGTGTTGAGTCAAGGGGAGAACTTCAGCAAAGGACAGATAACCATGGTCGGTCAAGGGAAGACCTGTGGCAAAGCACAGATAACTGTGGTCAGGAAGGTCAAGACCTTCAGCGAAGGACAGATAAACGTGAACGGTCAAGGGAAGAATTTCAGCAAAGGACAGATAACCATGGTCGGTCAAGAGATAAATATCAGCAAAGGACAGATAACTATGGTCGGTCAAGAGATAAATATCAGCAAAGGACAGAAAACCGTGGCCGGGCATGTAAAGAATATGGGAATGAAGATGAAGAATATGCTCTGGCCTATGTGGATGAAGATGGAGTTCGTGTGACAGATGATGGTTTTGTGATGGGAGAAGAGAGAATGGATGAAGAAACTGATGACGTGTATCATGGAATGGAGCAAGGGTCAAGGAGGAATAGGATTAGGGAAGAGTCAAGAAGCCATGGTCAAAGAGGCTATGGAGGAGGAGGAACAAGAAGTGGTCACAGAAATCTTGATGAAAGAGACTTGCAGATTCATGACCAAGGTCAAGATGAATACTTTGAGGATGATAGATTTTCTGAGGAAGAGTATTTGGAATATAGAGAGGATGACAGAATTAGTTTGAGTAGTGGGAGGAACAGCAGTCACAGCATGAGGAGGAATGAGGATAGAAGGTCTCAAATATTTGAGGAGCAAATGCCAAGAGACTCTTTCTTGGATGAAAGAAGACATTTTAGCCCTCTCCATAGCAGGTTTAGTGAGGGATGCGAAGATGAATATGAGGTGGATAGGTATCAAGTTTCTGATGAGCTCATTGATGAAGGTCATGGGCATTTTGTTGAAGATGAACGTTTTGTTGAAGTGGATGAACGATTTGTTGAAGAGGATGAACATTTTGTTGAAGACATAGATGAAGGATATGTACATAGTGAGAGAGTTGTTGAGGTGGTCAATTATGAGGTGTTTGACGATGAACATGGAGAGAATTTTGATACAGTCCGGACAAAGAGTGCTCAACAGGACAGCACTGGGAGGGAGAGAAGATTGGGCAGAGATAGAGGATTCTCAAAACAAAGTGATGGCTTCAAGACAAATAACTCATTGATTAGAGGTGAAAGAGGAGGAAAAGGATTTTCAAATCAACGTGACAGGTTCAAGACGGATAACTCATTGACTAGAGGTGGTCGAGGTCAAGGATCCATAGCATATGGCAAAAGTTCCAATACAGATGAAGCATTGAGATGGAGTGAGGTAGAAAGAAAGAGAGGTCAGGAAATTTCTAAATGTACTGAACATTTCAGAGAAGATTATGTAATGAAAAGGGATAGAAAGGACGTAGTCAATGTTGGTACCACAAAATCTCGAAAGATGCGTAGTAAGTGGATTGATGATGAAGATGATCATGAGCATTCAGCAAAGGATAAAGGTACTTGTATCAAAGATAAGAATGGAAAGTTTCAGAATAGACACTTCATGGGAGGTAAAACTCAGGGAGACAAGGATAACAGCTCCAAGACAAAGGGTCAGAGCTTGAAGAATAAGGAAGTCACCTCGGAGCAGGTCAGCAGAGGTAACAAGGAAAGCAAAGGTGGCGATAACACTGAGGGAAACGAGGGGAAGCAATTGGAACAGCAAGATGATGATATCAGCGAGGGTAATCTCAGTGGAGATGGTAGCGTCTGTGACATGGATGACTTTGACATGGATGACATTGACATGGATGACTTTGTTATCATGGATGCAGTGTGAATTGGAAACTCTTTAGCTAATTATCATAAAGATAATGCTTTTGGAAGGAGTAGATGCCTTTAGCCATAGCCCAGCAGAACAAGCTGAAATGAGTGAGGGTGATCTCAGTGGAGATGGAAACATTGGTGAATATGTTACTGATAATGAGAATATTTTGTAGCAGGCAATACTATACAAGTTTGCAGAACCAAAGTCTAAAAGGCACAAAGTTGTCTGTATATTCATCTGCTATTACTGAAGATGTCTGTATGGCAAGAAGCTACCTCAGGAGTGACGGATATTCAGGAACTAGAATCTTATCTTAGAGAGGAACGGGTGAGCCATTATGACTACAGAGATGACTTGTTGGTGCAGTCCATGTATTCCATCCGTTTATTTCTCTCCATTTGTTTGCTCCCCTTGGGGATGGTGGGTACCCAAAAATTCCTTCCAATACCACACCTCTATTACATCATAGCCATAAATTCCCATTTTGACTGTCGTGACACTATATAATCTTATTCACAGCCAAACTATATTCTGATTAGTTTGGAGGTAAACCCTATCCTTAAGCTTATGCGTGCAGGAAGTGGGAAAATGCCCATTGTTTCCTGTGAGTGCTGAAGTAGACCAATGTCTGGTGAATTCCTGCTGGAATATGTTGCTGAAATCCATTCTCACCGTTGATTTGTCTGAAGTTGTCGAATGTGATGTTTACTCAGAAATCCATATTGTTGTAGCAATACTTGATGTAATGGTGGACGGATGAGGCCAATAACTGTAGAAAGATGTATTTGTGATTATGCATGATCATTTTAGTGATTATATCATTATAAGATGTGTGTTATTTCAAGTTTCACATACAATGTTGTTATGCTCCAAGTGGACCCTGCATTTCTTTATACCCTGTTGCCCAGTAATCTAAAGCGCTGTGGAGTTGCATCAGCTGTGTCTTTGGTTCAAGTCTGAAAACCTCCTCGATTATGATCCTTGGCCATTCAGCACTATACCTGTCGGCTTCTATGAGCTGACAACCTGTGTCCCTTTTGGCGTGCCACCCACTTGAAGTTGACAAGCCATCATATGACTGAAATACTGTTCAAGCAGTATTAAGTCTAATGCCCTCACTCCCTTTTGTTTTATTTTGGTCTCCCATTGAAGGTTTTGTGACTCTCAATCAAATGGACTACCTTGTTAAAAGTGAATTTACCTCCTTTGCACAATCCCAAATTTCTTACCTCCAAGAACTAGAAAGGAGCTTTTGTATTGCCAAGGAATATTTGAGTGATTTTGACCATTCTGTTGTTTGTACACACTGCTTTTATATATGTATTGTGAAAAGTGTGATCCTTGTATTAATACATGAAATAGACGAAATAGCTGATTTTGTTTTTCGGTGTTGTCATGTTTCTTCATATGTTTTTAATGTTTGAAAGATTGTTGCCTTCAGTGCTTTTATTATTCCATCTTCTTTGTTGAGAGCTGAAAACAGAAGTACTCCTAATGCAATAGTCTGCTGTTTTCTCTGTTTCACCCTTCATTGTTGAAAGTGTGTATCTGTACAGAGCATTGACCAAACAATTCACAGCATACCAATATGACACAACCAGATTAAAGATGTCATCATCATCATCATCATCATCATAAATCATCATCATCATCATTATCATCATGAACCAGTCTATTCATTCTTCTATTTCTTTGTTAATTCCATTTCCAAAATCATGCTTGTGATTAGTTCACTTAAAGTGTCTCTTTGTTGATTTTCAACATTTTAACCCGAAGGTGTATGGTCATAAAGCTTGATCAATTTATTGTCCTTTAAACAAGCATAAAGGTTCACTTACGTTAGTATGACCGACGTCTTTGATGGTGTTATTCCAAAATTAACATTTATATATTTGCGTTAGTCCTATTTGGGCTGGTCTGTTGGTAAACAAAGTAAATATAAATACAACTTCAGTTTTCAACTATTCTATACATTGTGACTGCCTCCTTGGTGTAGTGGATAGAGCGGAAGGTCAGTGTTTCGACCATGTCTCAACAAAAGACATCAAAAGATGGTACTTTGTTTTACACTACCTGGCGCTCTGCACAACAGAATAAAACAAGGATTGGTCGGCTTGGAGTCAGTGTATTGTGTCTGAGTGGGTATCCATTGTTAACTGTGGCATGCTGTAGAATTGGTGCTCACACAGACACGCGAACACACATACACACACACACACACACACACACACACACACACACACACACACATACACGCACACAGGCATGCATGCACATCTGTTTATAAGTGCAATAATCTTGAATGCGACATGAAACCCCATTTCACCTTACCTTCTGCATTGTGGTGCACACTCATTATGATGTTATTGTTCATGTAACTGTAATTAATAACTCCTTATTGCAACAATTCATTTTAAACATTTTAATTTTGAACTCATGCATATCTCACACTGTCAGTTATTCATATAGATATGCAACAACCGGGATTTGCTCTATATGTCTGTAGTGATTTAGACACACACACACACACACACACACACACACACACACACACACACAAAAAAAAATGACACTAAGTGCAAAATCTTGAATGTGACGTGAAACCCAATTTTACCATCTGCTTCATGGTGAACACTCAAGGTGAGGTTATTGTTCAAGTAATCTTAAACTGTCAGTTACACATATAGATATGCAACAACCTTAAAAGGAGTAGGGTTTGGGATTTGCTATATGTGACTTTAGTGATTCTATTTCAGTATATTTCCTCTAATTTGCTGTATATCCTGCATGAGATGAGGATTATGTGTATATATCATGGGGTCGGAAGAAAATAAGTGATGATGTGTTCAATATTCTTTTTCATGTTAACTGATAGATTTGATATGAAATCACTTTCAATTAACTTGACAAAAGAGAGAGACTTCTATACATAACTTCATTGTAAACATGATCAATAGATTCTTGATCAATATGATGTATTCTTCTGTACAGTAATAAAATATATCGATGACAAATTGATATTGAATTTGTTGTCATTTTCAATTATGACCAAACCAACGTGTCTCAACAGGTTTTTGTCAAGTTGAGTTGATATGCATGAGATAATAGTTTATATGACTTTACCTCAAGAATACTGTAGGTACTTTATTGCCTTATGTTGGCTTGGCTAATTATGTGTATTTCACACAAAAGGCAGCAGGAGTGAGTGAGTGACTATGGTTTTACTCCGCTTTTAGCAATTTTCCAGCAATATCACGGCGGGGGACACCTGAAATGGGCTTCACACATTGTACCCATGTCGGGAATCGGACCCGGATCTTCGGCTTGACGAGCGAACGCTTTAACTACTAGGCTACCCGACTGCCCCAAAGGCAGCAAGAAGGTGAAGAGGTTTGAACACACTTGCCTCACCTGAGATGTGCAGGGACGTTGTTTCAGGCCATAGTCCGTAATATTCCAGCTATAAAGTAGTGGGAAATAGTTGATTCTGGACCAGGCACAGAGTGAGTGACTTGAATTTAATGCCATTTTTGAACCATATTTCAGTTATATAATAGTGTGCCAGAAGCTGGAAAGTCCAAAGTGAGGCTAGTTGGAAATATTTACAACTGGGATGAAAGCCATGAGAATGATCCTGACAAACCAATAACTTGTACAAGTCTGGGATTCAAAATCAAGATCTTCGGATTCTGGCAGGAATCGGGGACACAGCTTTGCCCAGTGTTTCTGTGTTTGACTGGACATGCATTCGACCTGCCACTATTCTATCCGGCACAGGTTTTGTTGTTGGAATTCATTCATGTTTGAAATACCAGTGCTAGAATTGGAATGGCAAACCCACTACGGGGTAAATACGAATGATTAGAAAACGCATACCCACTATAAAGATATACAAGCGCTGCAACAGAACGTAGGCTGCAAACAGATATACACTGCAAACATATATTTGTTGAAACAAATTTATGCGCTGCCAACAGATACATGCACTGTAAAGGGATATAGGCGCTGCTGTAAAGATGTATGCGTTGCGAACAGATATATAGGTGCTACAAACAGATAAACGGCTGCAAACATGCCTATTTTACTTTTCGCGAATCAGCCTGTAAATAACCATGTTTAGACCCTGTAAATCACAGACTGAAAATATGAACAACCATCCACGACAACAGGAAACGGTGACACAAAATCCGCCACTTCGCAGAGCCTTTGCCTTGTTTGTTGTGTCCCCCCGAACAGCACAATATTCCAGTTGTATGACAGCTGTCTGTAAATAATCGATTCTGGACCAGACAATGCAGTGATCGATCTACGCAATTGGGATACGATGAGATTTATCAGCCAAGTCACCGAGCCTGTCCACACGATCCCGTTAGTCGACTCATGGGAAGCATGGGTTGCTGAAGATCTATTTTACCCCTGATAAATACTGCCTATTATCTGAACGACATAAGTATATATCAGAAGTCAGCAACCCTGTGATTACGCTAAGGGCATTGTACGAATCACGCATTTTTCAAGATATCTGTTGAGTAATTGCTTTTAAGATATTTGTTAATACAATTAATCATACAAATGCAATCGAATTCATCCATGTGCGTCCTTGGGGGTGTTGTTTTCACATTCCTACTGGAGTACAAGTATGTTCAGGGTCAGGATATGCGAGTTCCACTGTATCTATACTCCTCAACAGAAGTAGGGGATCATGAAATATATGTTATGATATGTCGTCAGAAGAAAGATCAGCTTTGAAAAATGACAGCCAGAGATCAACGCTTTCGGAACCAAAACCTAAAGCTCTAACACGTCCGAAACATTGCACATTGACCATGCAATTCCTCTGTATACGTGGATAAGAAATCATTCTTGATATTGGCACTTCAGTGAAAGGTCGCCAAATCGCTCTGAGACATTAGAATTGTTGATTTTCATTATCCATAGTACCACGTAACCTCTCTACTGTTGCTTTAATGCAGCGTGTGTGGTCAGATCGGGAATGATGAACGCCTAAGAGCTATTGGCATGCTTCAAACTGGAAGAAGTCAACAAGAGGTATCAAATCGCTGTTCACTTGCGCGAGGCGACCGGAGTTCAAGTTAGACATCGTCTGCATGAGGTAATCTCATGATCGGCGACCAGGTCTTGTACCACCGTCAGCAAATCAACACACCAGACGCCAATGGTGTTAAGAGCGTAGAAACTGCGGGAATCGCCGATGGTCTGGTATAATTTTTTCAGGTGAGTACTACCGAGACAACATGCTTGCCCAAATACTTGTGCCGTTTTTGCGCCATGCTGGTCTACGTTTTGTCTTTAACGCTACGACGATAACGCTAGTTGCTAGTGCCCATCGTGAACGTATCGTAACTGACCACCTCCAGAAGCAAAACACCACCAGAATACAATGGCCAGCTATTAGTCCTGGGCCCACTTGCACAAAGCGATCTTAGCGCTAAGACTATTGTAAGCTTATGTTAAAATATGGGAGTTACGATCATCTTAGTGCTAAGATCGCTTTGTGCAAGTGGGCCCTGAACTTTCCCTCAAAGAAGAAGGACGCCTGGGATATGATCGGGCCACCTGCTACATTCGCCGAACAGGTCAACACCCTTCAGGTGGAGTGGACAAAACAAAAAAAAAGAAGAGAAAATATACACAAAAAACAAATTTAGACCCCATTCGCAACAACTGTAAATATCGTGATGAATATGCCAAGAATAGTGATACGTAGAAAAATGGGACAGTATACAATGGCATCTGTGACATAACATCGCAGCACGACATACACGTGCAGCATGCCTACCATGCATATATCTGTACACCTAAATTGTGGGTAATTCACGTCACTGTCTTGCATTGCCGAAGCACTATTTGTGAATTTGGTTATTATGTTTCAAGGTTTGTCAGCACCATACCCGTGCTCGTAGGTTTCACCAAAGTGGTAAACGTCTGAGACCTGCATCACTTCGGGCTTTCCTCCAACATTAAGCTGACACGCCGTGATATAATAGACTATAACTGGAATACTGTTAAAAGCGGTGTTAAACCCAACTCACTCACGACGTCACACGCTGATTGCAGGGGCAATGACGTAATACATTGAGCACTTCGGCATGCACTTATCATATACATGGCGATACAAGCCGATTAAACTTGAGTGTTTTAGTTTGAGAGGTGTTCATTGGTATTGTGTTTTCAGTTCATTATTTGTATGTAAATAATGACATTTATTTGTAACATTTGGCTATTATTGCGTACTTTAGTCCATTATTTCAACTTTGTATTTTTTGACCGAATGGTTCTCCATACTCTTCGCCATGTCTTCAGATTCCAAGCTCTCCCGGCCGAACACCATGCTAAACGAATTCTCCGATGATGATCAGCAAAGTAACGACGCATGAATACCCCTCTGGAATTCTTTCCGGCCGATTTCAGTCGATTCCTCACTGTTCTGGGCGACATTGGATAACCATTGGTGCCTCAGAAAAGGAGACGTTGCCAATGGCTGACGACGTATAAAGCGACGTACATGGATTTACGCTTTGACGTCATGCGAGGTCTTCCTGACTGTGGGACCTCCTCCGTGTTCTCGTGGTAGAGCGCTCGCCCGGAGAGCGGAAGGTCGAGGGTTCGATCCTCGGCCGCGCGATACCAAAACACCTTAAAAGATGGTACTTGTTGTTACCCTATCTAGCGCTCGACATCAAGGGGATCAAACAAGGACTAGTCGGCTCGATCAGTATACTGTGTCTGAGGGGGGTATTTATGCTAAACTGCGGCGTACGTGGTATCTCAGTGGGCTCGCACTATAAATAGGCATTAGTCCGGACTAGTACAAACAGCCAAACACCCACGTGCATGCACACAAGTGCAGTAATCTTGGACGCGACGTTAAACGCCATTTCATCTTACCTCCTGACCCTTGCCCGTGTTTTCGTACGACATGTGCGATATGGACACCAGATAGTGTAAACTTTTCGGCATAATAAATTCGTTATGATGTCTTTAGTTGCCGCATACGGTGTCATATTAGGTTAGCAGAAAAAAAATATTGGGTTCGGCTATGACACCGTATACAACAACTGAAGACACCATAACAAATAGTAGGTCATGCCTGTCAAATGCATACCAATAACATATTACCCAGAATGATCAACATCTTCACTCATTAAATAAATGTTAATGGTCTTAAATTAAATGAACTCAACAAACAACCACAAATTAGACTTATTTGTGAGCGTACACTTTCAGAGAGAAACACAAATTGCACCTTCGTCTTCTGCTCTTTATCTTTCTGTGCAAGGAGCTTCGATGTGTGGTCGTGTGCACACAAGCTCCTTCCCAGCGCGTGACACCTTCCCTGTGAGGAGCTTGCTGAGGCACCGAATACTTCCGGTCAACAACACGAATGTAAACGACATGTGTTGAATGGATCCACGGATTTCATCCAGAATTTTAATCCTGTTATGGTAAATGATATGGGTTATTGTGTATAGATTACATACTACTCATGCGGGGCCTCATGCGTAACCTTTGTTTTGTTGTACAAACTGTTTGTTCAGGAAAACTAGTAAAAAATCAGTGTTGTTTGCGCTCGTGGTGAAAGAGGGCCAAGCAAGGCCAAAGATAACAATGTTGAAAGCGCTCTAGTCCTCTGCCAGTGCAGTGTTGTCAATAGGTGTAGAGGTACAAGCTATTGCTAAATTGAAGACTGACAATATTGCAAGGTCAATGTCAAAATAATTCTCTGAACCAGTTGAATGATCTTGTTAAGTTGGTTAGTACAGGTATGTCATACACTGATGATATATTTACTTTTTGAACAGTGAAATCCTGAATAATAGTAAATGACAGGTTTTCTAGTTTACCAACTACGACTTGTGTTGTATTTGTTAATCATGTTAATCATCTACATTCTTTATTCATTGTCCCACACATGTATCCTTGCGTACTGTGTTTTCGAGCCCCTGAAAAGAATTTCTCATTATGTGTCTAAAAACAAAATTAATACACTAAAATTAAGTCTTACCTTTGAGAACAATTATTTCTGTTTACAACTGGACAGTCAAATGACCACATCTTGTCAATGTAATCGTGATAGTGCTTTGCCAAGTGAGACGAGTCAATCAGGCACCATCTTGTTTCTGTAACTTGATTTCTAGCACCTCCATGACAGTAAATTTTTAAGTTAAAAATAGATGCACAATATAAGAGGTGAGGCTCTAAAATCATTATGTGGCGATACATTGACATAAGACACAAAAAAATAACTAAAATAATAGTAATGAAGTTTACAATCTTTAGTCATGTTTAAATTTAATGATACACAATTCATAGCTAATCCTAAAATAAACATGAAATAACTTTTATCATCTCCTTCCCAGAACACACCTTTGTTGTTCAGCTGATAAGCGAGTTCAACTCAATGCCAACTCATTTTGGATTTTAGGGCAATTCGTGTCGGATGGGGTTTAGCACTTTGAATTGTCTGTAAATTACTCAACTGAGCAGTAACAACTTGGTGATTAGTGCATAACTACCATGAATACTATTCTATTTATCAAGTGAATTTTTCAGAGCATCTTTAGAATACAGTACATCTTCTCGTGAGTACGGTCTCTACTGAAAGTCACGCGTCTCAAAGACACGCAACCAGTGCTGTGAAGCTAACTGGATGCGCTACACCCACACTGTTGCTTTAAGTGCAAATTTACTTAGTAATGAGACCAACGAAGATCCGGGTAGAGAATAGGTCTTGCTTACAGAGATTACTTACAGACCGCTGTTATACAGCTGGAATATTGCAGAGAACAACGTTAAAACAGCGAACTATAAACCTAGTCGTGTCTGAGACGTTATGGAACTGAAAGGAAGGGTCGAATGGGTGAAGAAGACTTAAAAGGTTACGGATTGGCATGGTGTCTCGTGACTTAAGTCCAGGGACACTTACGGGTGATCCTGGGGCCATTTTGAATCATTTCTAACGAAGTGTAGGCCGAGTGAACATGGTGAATGAAAGTGGCTTGGGTGGTAATTTCAGGACAGTTTCCTGCAATCAAAACATTTGACATGAAACTACTTCATTCTGCTAACTCAATGTTTTTGGGAGAAGAATAAATGCAACTGAAAATGTGAGAAGAATAAATACAACTGAAAATGTGAGAAGAATAAATGCAACTGAAAATGTGAGAAGAATAAATACAACTGAAAATGTGAGAAGAATAAATACAACTGAAAATGTGAGAAGAATAAATTCAACTGAAAATGTGAGAAGAATAAATGCAACTGAAAATGTGAGAAGAATAAATGCAACTGAAAATGTGAGAAGAATAAATACAACTGAAAATGTGAGAAGAATAAATACAACTGAAAATGTGAGAAGAATAAATACAACTGAAAATGTGAGAAGAATAAATGCAACTGAAAATGTGAGAAGAATAAATTCAACTGAAAATGTGAGAAGAATAAATGCAACTTAAAATGTGAGAAGAATAAATGCAGCTGAAAATGTGAGAAGAATAAATACAACTGAAAATGTGAGAAGAATAAATACAACTGAAAATGTGAGAAGAATAAATACAACTGAAAATGTGAGAAGAATAAATGCAACTGAAAATGTGAGAAGAATAAATACAACTGAAAATGTGAGAAGAATAAATACAACTGAAAATGTGAGAAGAATAAATTCAACTGAAAATGTGAAAATAATCAAATAAACCAGAACACCCTGAGTGCATTTATGTGCAAGCTTCATGGCTTTGGCTCCAATGTAAGAAAATGCATTAGAAGTGGGTAAAACCTCCCTCTTTACAACACATAAAGCTTTGTATCCATCCTTGTCAATACAAATCTAATGGATTTATTGTAAAAGAAGTGCCATGTTAGTAGATAGATAGTGTTCAGAGTGGCAACATTTAGAAATTAGATGTGTGCAACGTGAATAAATTAATACCTAATAAACTGCATTCGTGTGCATAATAATGATAACTGCTGAAGTGACAAAATAAAATATACATATTAGTTCCCATTTACAATCCATTTATCCACATGAATTATGTTTGAAGCCGAAAAAAAATATATTGAAAATAAAAATGCTTTCATTAAACTGTCCCTAGCTATTAAATATGCTGCCACAGGCTATATTTAGTAAACCAATATGAAAACTCTCAACATCTCTGGCTTATTCAGTGACATTGCTTGTAGAGATGATAAGTCACTGAGAGGAGCTTATGCACAAGCGGTGACCTCTGATGTCATATGGCATTGTTTCGTTAGTGTTTCTAGCAATAAATATTACAAAGGACATCAGTGAGTATTTTGACTTTGTGGTACTGTATTCTAAACATGCTAAAGGTAGGCCAAATTTTCTATGTAACATGTCTCTTGGGATCAAGGAAATCTATCTAGTATTTATGACAGAAAGGGCTCTACTTATTAGATATTACATATCATAATCATACAGTGAGCGTGCCGGGACCAAAGGAAAATATCTACATAAGAGGTTTTTCCATATCAAAAGGGTGGCCCAGTCGTCTAAGGGGCCGCGATTCGCTGTGCAGAGTTGAGTCCCTTGGGCACGTCAGAAACCGAAGATTGTGGGTTCGAATCCCCGTTTGCCCCAATTATGTTTCTAGGTTTGTCAGCACCATACCCGAGCTCGTGGGTTTCACCGAACTGGTAAACGTCTGAGACCTGCAACATTTCGGGCTTTCCTCCCACATTAAGCTGACACGCCGCGATATAACTGGAATACTGTTAAAAGCGGCGTTAAACCCAACTCACTCACTCCACTCCAAAGGTTTCTACTTAGTGAGAATTCACTTTAGTTGAAATCAGCATGATTCGAAGGTAGCTGCAGTTACTGAATTCCTCCCCATCTGTTCATCGTTTAATATCTGATTTTCCAAATGTCACTATTGGGGGTAGTGTACCATCAAATGGCTACAAGTCATAAAATGTTTTTATGGTTTGATCCCATAAACGTGTTGCATAGTTTTATTCAGCCAACATGGCCAAAGTGAACTTTGAATAAGTATTTCACATCGAAAAACAACACCCATTATGGGTTTTGGAAAATAAGATGGCAGACCCCACGAAAACACTATGATGTTGTTAAATGAATGGATGAAGGGTTATTGTAACAGCTGGCCAAGAATATCCTCCTCAGATAATGAGAATCAGTTGGCTTGGTCACATAAGGGAGTTGAGCCTGCTAAAATAATTATGATTGTTCTTATGGTCAATGTATTGTCATCTACACTGCAAAGTGAACTAAAATAATCTTATCAGCATTATTTTGGAATTAGCACAGCTGGATCAAAGGTACATTTAGGCCTGTGCCATGGTCTTGATTTATTATCTATGACTATAGTCTGGAAGTTAATTTAAGGTACCGACGTTTACTACAATATCTAAAAAACTATTGGACCTACTCCAGTCAAAGTTGGTATGAGATTATTAAACAGTCATACATAACTGTTTATTACATTTAAAGACAACTGGTGCATGAATAAAAAATCTGTGTATTTAGCTATCACTATATTTCATCAACAACCAGACCTGTTCATCACGGGTGGAACGAGCATTCATTGTAACAGCCATCTGCATAATGCTACCCCTGCGTCACAGGGCCATATGACACAGTTGAACCAATCAACTCAACTCGAAAGGTTGCACGGGAATCACGCGAATACAGTGTTAGCGTTGGGCGTCTGAAGCAGTTATTTAATAATATTTATCCAATTATTTTTGCATTCTTTTTCAGGTCAGTGTTATTGACTTGAATGTATCATTCCTTGCCACATTATTATATTTCATTCATCATATTATTAGGTGTAATATATCATACTTAATTATTAATTTAGACAAATCATTGCTTTATGGTTTCGAAGAAAATATTTTTATATTTTCGTTGATGATTCGAGACTTTCGGGGCTGTTTCTGGTGAAAGAGAATCAAATTCTGAGCCAAGAATTGCACAAAGTGGACAAGATCCGATTACGACATGTACTACAAAGCACGAACCTGAAATTCGTAGACGATTCCTAGAAATTCTTTGATAAACATGAATCTTTTCTCACGAATCCCACGAACTACAAGAATGTTTGGGAATCAAATAAGATATATTTAAGATTCTTAAGAAATGATTAAGAATATGTACGAATATGTAAGAATTCATATCCGTGGTAATTCGGGTTATTACATGTCGTAGTGAAACAGGGGTATATGTGTATTGCATTATTCTTGGTCCCACAAAATGCCCTCGTCGTCAGATTCGGAGTCTGTGCTGTCACCTAAGTGAACAACAACAGGCTGGACAGTATCTGGTTGGATACAGTCTTGTTTCCAATTCTCTTCCTCAACTTTGATAACATGTTGGACACAGTTTGCCTAACGTACATCTGTAATTTCTCCCATCCCTTTCAAGACAATCTGCTTGACGTCGGCAAGATTGAAGGTCTTATTTTGCCGTGCGACCATATTTTTCAAATCACCCCAGATTAGTTTGATGGGATTCAAGTCACAATGGTAAGGAGGAAGTTTAAGCACTTCGTGACCGTGTTCTCTCAACATGTTGTCAATCAAATAAGAGGGCGGGGGTTTGTTTTGAAGAACCAGTTGGTAGTAGTCAGTTTATTTTGGCTTTCGTGGGCCGAGCAATGTGGTTGTTGTCCAACCACTGACATATCTCACCTTTAGTGGAATTTGAGGTTGTACAAAGGTTAATAGGATCTCGACAACTGTGATAGGGAGCATTGTCCATAACCACCAAGGATTTATCAGGCAGTGCTAAGTAGGGCTGCAACGAATACACTATGAGGCAAATACGATTCGTATCACGAATACAGGGTAACGAATACGAATATTAATTCACGAATACAAAAACAAGTCAGCAGCTGAAGTATTTTTTGTTATATTCAGTGAAACATTGACAACATAAATTATTTGACATGGTTTGTTAATTATAAATATATTATACATTTAGATACTGCACTTAGTACTAGTATTTTCTTAGAGGCGACAATGACCACTGATCACAATACTGTCAAATTAAATATTATAAGAGTGTTGTCATTGAAAGAAATCTATGCATATAATATGTTGTTATGGATATTTTTAGGTACAGGGTATGTAAATATACATGATAGCATATTCATAAATATTCGATTCTAGTGGCCATGAATCACGAATTCAATTCATGAATGGTTACGGTTCGATTCACCAAATACGTGAGTGAATCTTAACAGACCTAGTCTCCACGGTTGCTTGTGATCTCATACACACATCCCCTAGGGTTTGGGGGGAACAGGGTGGGATCTTTGACTTTGGCATTCAGGATGTTCTTAAGTGTGTTGTCAGAGGTGAAGGTCACATCTACGTCCATGATGACAGCTTTTTATCGTGAGGAGCAGGACCTGGGGATGAATGCTCATGTGGGTAGGGCTTGGACTTGGGACTTTCTGCTGGGTTTCCTGGGTCTTCAGAATGTATTTCTGTACAAGATGTTTGGGATTGCCATTGAAGGTGTGTTTAAGGTGCTGGATTTCTTTGCCGACACTGTCAGGATTGCAGATGGCTATGGCAAGTCAGCTGTGGGTGACATATGGCTTGTTTGATCTGTGATTGGTGGTTGGTTATGTAGTGAATGCTTTCTATGTGTGGGATGACATTTGTGTGAAAAGACTGACCTGAATAACGTTCCTAGAACACACCTGGAATCCTCAGCATCGATATATTTATGTAGTGATTCCACACCGCAAAGTATAACTTGTGTCTTGACCATGAATAAGAAATAAGGCTATAAGAAATAAATTATTAAGTTAATAAACATCCCCATCTCACGTAATTGTGTGGTCCCAAAAAATCACTGTATGAATTCCCTTTTACTTGATGAAAAACACCCAATACATGATACACACAGTCCTGCTTCAAGTGAAACACATCCATTGAGAGTAAATGCATAGAGAGATGTTTAAACAAGAACCTCCCACCTCACATTTTTAACAATTGGATGAAAATGTAATACCTCCTTGTAGCCTAAGGGGGTTCTAGTTCTATTGTCCTCTGTTGTGGGTCATGTGTCTGAGAGTGGAAGGTTGGTGGTTTGATACCCAATGTCATACCAAAGACAGTTAAAAGGTGGCATTGTTGTTACCTTGCCTTGCACTCGACATTAACAAGATGGTTGACTCAGTCATATTGAACTGTGGCATGGTATCTCAGTCATCTGGCACTATAAGCCATTAGTTCGGACGAGTACAAGCAGCCACAGACACTTGTATACACATCGCCATGAGTAAAATAATTTTGAAGGTGATGTTGAACAACATTTCTACAAACCTGTTTTCCAGTACTGTAGCTTTGAATAGACCTGGCAGTATTGGGGTGTACAATTATCAACTCATGTGATAGAAGTATGCTACTTATTGTACAAAATTGTAACATGTCTTTGATTGCCATTTAATAGTTGGTTGAATGTGAAGACGTGAAACTTGGAAGAAGTTGTTGCCCAATAAACGTTTTCACGTCTTCAATACTGCATCAGTAGTTTTGTTATTATCATTTTATGACCCCTGAAGACCTGGGTGAGAATAAGTCTTCAGCAACCCATGCTTGTCATAAAAGGCCACTATGCTTGTCGTAAGAGGCGACTATTGGGATCAGATGGTCAGGTTCGCAGACATGGTTGACGCATGTCATCATATCCCAATTGTGTAGATTGATGCTCATGATATCAATCACTGGATTGTCTGGTCTAGGCTTGATTATTTACAGACCGCTGTCATGTAGCTAAAATATTGCTGAGTGCGGCGTTAAACAAAAAAAACCCCCAAGAAACATTAACATTTTTAGTGACTACTGTTATGTAAAACAAAATTTGCTACAATCAGTACGACTGATACTCAGTCGACATCCCATTTCTCAAAGATTTAAGTGTTAAATAATCTCACCATTTCAGATATCTAAGGATATATGAGCCCACACCACCATGCAAGGCTACCAGCAAGGTCAAGGTCAGTGGCCAGGAGGTTTTGACGAACGAATGTCTGTGATCAAACAAAGGGGAAGGGCAGATGAGAACCCCCCTGATGGACGGTACAGCGAGATGGAAACTGATTCCCCCAGGATGAGCATAATAACCCATGCCTTGAAGTCCCTGCGAGACAAGCGTGGTGGTGGGAGGGGCAAACGGCCGGCACAGGGTTTGAGGGGAGATTTTAGTGGATTTCCTGATGCCAAGACTTCACGTTATGAGTCAGGGTAGGTGTTGTCAGTCAGTGTATTTTGTATGAGATATCTGATGGTTAAATACTTCATCCTCCCTTATCCAGTGTATTATGTTTCCATTCTGTTATGATAAATACTTGGACCTTCTGGTTTTCTAATAGAGTTTTAATGCTCTCTCACTGTATCGTCAAGCGCTAACAAAACATACTGCCTGGTTTTAAAGGAATTATATCCTTCAACCTTTATGTTTGTTACAGAGGTCCACCAGATGCCATGGGTCAAGGTCAGAATGATGGCTGGAGTTGTGCCAAGGTGAGTTCTTCACATTCGGGTTATTGTGGGGTGGTCTAGTGGTTAAGGCCTGACCTTGATGTGAACCTGTTTTTATGTAATACTGTTACTATGGAGATTCTGAGCTACTCGATGGCAAGTCAATATAATTATCTATTATCCCCCTCCACGAAGGAGACAAATGTTTTAAACAAACCATTACAAGTCAGAGAAATGAAAGTTTACACACAGATGTTACTCGTCATGATCTCAAATGAGTTCAAAAATTGGTGTTGTAAATTCATTTTTTACAGAGTTATGGCCCTGTCTCTGTGCTTTTCATCTTAGTGCATACTGCATGAAATAGGGACAAGTTTTCTCAGAAACTGTTTAAGTTGCGTGAATGAAAGCTTGCATGCGTATCTAAAAGATACTTGTCAAGACTGAGTTCGAAATATGATCCCATAAATTATTTGTTTACAGAGTTACGACCCTTGATCCACGTTATTTAACTTGGTGCATAGTGTGTGCAATGGGGACAAGTTTTCTCAGAAACTACTGAAGTTGCATGAATGAAAGTTTGCATGCTTATCTTAGAGATACTTGTCAAAACTGAGTTCGAAATATGGTCCCATAAATTATGGAGTTACGGCCCTTGAACCATGTTACTTTACTTGGTGCAGTGTTTCCAATGGGGACAAGTTTTCTCAGAAAGTACTGAAGTTAGCTTATCTAGGAGATACTTATCAATACTGATTTCTTGTTTAAGAGAAGGGCCCTTTGTGTGTATTAATTTCACATTTAATCATATTTTCTGATGACAAAAAGCGGCCCAAGTGCCTATCTCTTCTTAAGACTTTATTGAACTCTGTTTTAATATTTTATATTCACTACTTTATGAACAAACAAAATTGTGCCCCATGGCGGGGGATAGTGATAACACTGTTTTTTTTTGTAATATACATTTATATATTATACCACACTTATCCAGGTATTGACATCTGCTCAAATGTTATTTATTTGTTCACCGACCAGCCCTAATCATGCTAATGGCAGGGGTCCGGAAAATTTAAAATCCCAATCGGACATTTACATTTTTGCCACGCCCCCTTCAAACAGCGTATTTTAGTACGACTTTTTACACACAAATTACAAGTTGTTACGTATTCATAATATGATGAATTATGAATTGTTTCAATTTAAATTGTTTAATTCACCGGACAATTAATAACAAATAAAATCATTTTAGATATATATGGAAAACATACGTTTGTTTCTGTTATAATAACGATCTGTTAACGTTGTGAACGGTCTAATTAATGTACATGAGTCTGCTCAAGTGTACGCGTTGTAACATTTGGATCGAGACTATTATCCCATATTGGGTTATCACGTGACCTCACGGGAATTTTTTTTTTAGGCTAATGGTGATGCTGAATTTCTTTCTGACAACTACATTTAGTCGCTGCTGAGACAGGGTCAGGCGCAAATAACTCCTGATTTGTAACCGAGGGCACAGGTGCCCCGTTGCAGGAAGAAGCACATTTTCGGTTCTGTTATTGCTTATAAATTGCAATGTTTTACATCAGAATAAGTATATTATTATTATGAATATCCAAATTCATGTAATTTCATCTTCTATTAGTTTATAACAGCTCCCTAGGAGTATTTGTCTCTGTTTCTTTGTTTCAGTGTAACAGTAAGAACAGTGAAAGAAGTAACTATTGCATCCATTGCTACTCATCTCGGGATGTTGGTGAGTAGAAAACATTCAAAAGCCCAATAGTATAACAACAGTGCGTAATCACCCAATGGAGACTTTTCAGTTTGCCTACTTTAATGTCTGTACAGACCTTTTTGCGCTGACTGAATGTAGTCATCACGTATACATGAACTCTGACTGAATGTAGTCATCACGTATACATGAACTCTGACTGAATGTAGTCGTCACGTATACATGAACTCTGACTGAATGTAGTCGTCACGTATACATGAACTCTGACTGAATGTAGTCGTCACGTATACATGAACTCTGACTGAATGTAGTCGTCACGTATACATGAACTCTGACTGAATGTAGTCGTCACGTATACATGAACTCTGACTGAATGTAGTCGTCACGTATACATGAACTCTGACTGAATGTAGTCGTCACGTATACATGAACTCTGACTGAATGTAGTCGTCACGTATACATGAACTCTGACTGAATGTAGTCATCACGTATACATGAACTCTGACTGAATGTAGTCATCACGTATACATGAACTCTGACTGAATGTAGTCATCACGTATACATGAACTCTGACTGAATGTAGTCGTCACGTATACATGAACTCTGACTGAATGTAGTCATCACGTATACATGAACTCTGACTGAATGTAGTCATCACGTATACATGAACTCTGACTGAATGTAGTCATCACGTATACATGAACTCTGACTGAATGTAGTCATCACGTATACATGAACTCTGACTGAATGTAGTCGTCACGTATACATGAACTCTGACTGAATGTAGTCGTCACGTATACATGAACTCTGACTGAATGTAGTCATCACGTATACATGAACTCTGACTGAATGTAGTCATCACGTATACATGAACTCTGACTGAATGTAGTCATCACGTATACATGAACTCTGACTGAATGTAGTCATCACGTATACATGAACTCTGACTGAATGTAGTCATCACGTATACATGAACTCTGACTGAATGTAGTCATCACGTATACATGAACTCTGACTGAATGTAGTCATCACGTATACATGAACTCTGACTGAATGTAGTCGTCACGTATACATGAACTCTGACTGAATGTAGTCATCACGTATACATGAACTCTGACTGAATGTAGTCATCACGTATACATGAACTCTGACTGAATGTAGTCGTCACGTATACATGAACTCTGACTGAATGTAGTCATCACGTATACATGAACTCTGACTGAATGTAGTCGTCACGTATACATGAACTCTGACTGAATGTAGTCATCACGTATACATGAACTCTACCAGTGTTCCCGCTGGCTTTGGAAACTGCCAGTCCTTGTGGACTGGCAACTCTAAAAATGTTCCTGCAAAGATGTCATCTCTGACTGACTGACTGACTGACTGAGTATGGTTTTACGCCGCTTTTAGCAATATTCCAGCAATATCACGGCGGGGGACACCAGAAATGGGCTTCACACATTGTACCCATGTCGGGAATCGAACCCGGGTCTTCGGCGTGACGAGCGAACGCTTTAACCACTAGGCTACCCGACCGCCCCTGTCATCTCTGAAGTAACTTAGTTAGATCTATATGTCATTCACACAGACTTCAGTCACAATTTTTTCTTTATTTTTCTTAATAACTACTACTTTTTAAGTCGCTACAACTGGCTATTTAACCTAGAAATAGACAAGGGTAAACCTTGATGGTAACAGACAAGCTGACTTTGTTCGAAAAATGTACTTATATGAATGTCACCAATGTTTTGTTCAACAACAACATGAACAAAGATTTATAAGGTACTTTATTTGCCGGTCCACAGGGACTGGCAGTCACATGACTACAGGTCCAAGCCTAGTTTAACCGGTAAAAAACTGGTAATTACCGGTAAACGGGAACACTGCTCTACTGCTCCCAAAGGTGCTCCATCTCGCTATCATGGTATTGTAGACATGTATGATGTAATCTTCTATTGACATGTGACACACTTGAGACAGCAAGTGAACATGCGAATTAGAAGTCATCTCAAACAGCATTTTAACAGACTGGACCAAATGAGTGAAAATAGACGACTTGAAAGAAGTTAAAGAATAATATGAAAGGTGTTCTTTATCTTCTTGTTAGTACTGTATGTTGAATCATGGATTGTCTAGGATTCCAAATAAAATACCCTCAGTTGCCAAATTAGGGAAAAATTGTTGTTTTGTTTCAAATTTATCATGGCATTCAATGCAGTTATGTGAATAACCTCTTTCGCTATATTGGTCACTCACTCATTCTGGAGGGGGCACGGGTGGCCCAGTCGTCTAAGGCGCCGCAATTCGCTGTGCAGAGTTGCGTCCCTTGGGCACGCCAGAAACCTATGATTGTGGGTTTGAATCCCAGTTCGCCCCAATTATGTTTCTAGGTTTGTCAGCACCATACCCGTGCTTGTGGGTTTCACCGAAGTGGTAAATGTCTGAGACCTGCATCACTTCGGGCTTTCCTCCCACATTAAGCTGACACGCCGTGATATAACTGGAATAATGTTAAAAGCGGCGTTAAACCCAACTCACTCACTCACTCACTCATTTTGGAAATGTTTTTTTGACATTTGCTGAAGACTTGAGGCCCAGCAGGTCCTAATAACTCTGGATGAAAACACAGAGTAAACAATCAATATCCAATGTGTATGATAAGCATGATAAGAATGTGAGTAAATAGTCACAAGAAATATGGTTTGTAATCGATATTCATTTGTCTGTGTTCCAGGAGACCTGCCATCTGAGGGTCATCACCTACCTTCTGAGGGTAATTCAAAGGTAAGATTAAAAGAAATATTACCCATAAGGGTAACTGACCGGGCGTAATAACTTTTGGATATTTGCACATGTGCTTTTTGGCGATTCTCAATGCTGATTGGTTAGTTAAAGCCATATGACATCACAGTGCTTCATAATCGATATGCTGTCATCCATTGTTCATGACATCACAAATTGATAACATTGGGAAATGAATGCAATAACACGTGACCAATTCAGCTAATCAGAATGCAGGAATTTCAGTGAACACAAGGAAAATTTAATTATACAGCCTTGAGGAAATAAGCCCCCATTATAAAGGGATGCTTATAGAGATCTGACTATGACTTTAATGTGTTAATATGTGGTGATGTTATTCGATACTGAGTTATTTAGATATTGGTGAAACAAACATCATTGACAATATTAAATGTCATTTCAATCTGTTGTAGCAGATTAGATCTTTTCATTCCTTTCTTTCATCCAAACATCCATCCATCCACCAATCAATCCATCCATCCATCCTTCCATCCATCCATCCTTCCATACATATAGCCACCCACCCATCCATCCATCCATCCATCCTTCCATTCATTCATCCATCCATCCACCCACCCACCCATCCATCCATCCACCAATCCTTCCATTCATCCACCCATTCATTCATTCATTCATTCATTCATCCTTCCATGCATATAGCCACCCATCCATCCATCCTTCCATTCATCCATCCATCCATCCATCCATCCATCCACCCATCCATCCATCCATCCATCCATCCATTCATTCATCCTTCCATACATATAGCCACCCACCCATCCATCCATCCATCCATCCATCCTTCCATTCATTCATTTCATTCATTCATTCATTCATTCACCCTTCCATCCATCCATCAATCAATCCATTCATTTGCTGTAGGTGGATGAGAACAGTGCCAGAACGCTCTATGTGTTTGACCTCCTTCTGACAACAACAACGTCTGATCTGTTCAAGTACTTCATCAAATGGGGAGACATGATGAAGTTCCATGTATTTATTGGCGAGGATGGAAAGTGAGTACAACTTCTGACCAGGCCTTGCATGAAAGGTCACACTGAAATCTGTATTCAGTATGAGAAAATCTGCTTTAAGTGTGTGAAATAATATTGCTGGCCAGGTGGGCAAGCTAACCTTAAAAGTTAGTCGCCATTTTCAAATTACACTACCTTAAAAAAGCATTACCTCATTTTTACAGAAATTTGATTCTACATAGTTATCAATAAAGTAAACCCAAATTGCAATCATGAGACAAGTATTACAAAGGGGGGTAACTTTGATCTTGCAAACCTCACTACCTCAAAAAGTTATGGTAATTTATTTTATTTTTCAGTTTTGATGGTTGTACTGTTCCACAGAACCTGTTTCTTATTTCGATAAACTAAGAGTTGTGCATAAATAAGATCACCGCGACAATTTCTGTAGCCAGTCGTGATGGGGACACTTTAGAATCTTTAGCCTGACCAAAAACTTGCTTGCTGTCGTTCAGCAGGCAAGCAGTTATTTCGCACACATTCTTATGAAATCACAGATTTACTCCAATTGACATCCATGGTTGCAGCAAGCCATACCCATGACTGTCTGTAGTTTAACCTTGGCTTTCCCCACACATCAGTGTTTCCATAACCGATCATTGTCAGTAATTCACCTGTCAAATAGGCCATGACTGTCTGTAGTTTAACCTTGGATTTCCCCACACGTCAATGTTTCCATAACCGATCTTTGTCAGTAAATTACCTGTCAAATAGGCCTTGCCTGTCTGTGGTTTTGACCATGGCTTTCCCCACACGTCAGTGTTTCCATAACCGATCATTGTCAGTAATTCACCTGTCAAATAGGCCATGCCTGTCTGTGGCTTAACCTTGGATTTCCCCACACATCAGTGTTTCCATAACCGATCATTGTCAGTAATTCACCTGTCAAATAGGCCATTGACTGTCTGTGGTTTAACCTTGGATTTCCCCACACATCATTCAGTGTTTCCGTTACCAGTAATTGTCAGTAATTTACCTGTCAGATAGGCCGTGCCTGTTTGTGGTTTAACCTTGGATTTCCCCACACGTCAATGTTTCCATAACCGATCTTTGTCAGTAAATTACCTGTCAAATAGGCCATGACTGTCTGAGGTTTAACCTTGGATTTCCCCACACGTCAATGTTTCCATAACCGATCTTTGTCAGTAAATTACCTGTCAAATAGGCCTTGCCTGTCTGTGGTTTTGACCATGGCTTTCCCCACACGTCAGTGTTTCTGTTACCGATCATTGTCAGTAATTCACCTGTCAAATAGGCCATGACTGTCTGTGGTTTAACCTTGGATTTCCCCACACGTCAATGTTTCCATAACCGATCTTTGTCAGTAAATTACCTGTCAAATAGGCCTTGCCTGTCTGTGGTTTTGACCATGGCTTTCCCCACACGTCAGTGTTTCTGTTACCAATCATTGTCAGTAATTCACCTGTCAAATAGGCCATCCCTGTCTGTGGTTTAACCTTGGATTTCCCCACACGTCAGTGTTTCCATAACCGATCATTGTCAGTAATTTACCTGTCAAATAGGCCATGCCTGTCTGTGGTTTAACCTTGGATTTCCCCACAAGTCAGTGTTTCTAATACCGATCATTGTCAGTAATTTACCTGTCAAATAGGCTGTGCCTGTCTGTGGTTTAACCTTGGATTTCCCCACACATCATTCAGTGTTTCCGTTACCAGTAATTGTCAGTAATTTACCTGTCAGATAGGCCGTGCCTGTTTGTGGTTTAACCTTGGATTTCCCCACACATCATTCAGTGTTTCCATAACCAATCATTGTCAGTAATTCACCTGTCAAATAGGCCATCCCTGTCTGTGGTTTAACCTTGGATTTCCCCACACGTCAGTGTTTCCATAACCGATCATTGTCAGTAATTTACCTGTCAAATAGGCCATGCCTGTCTGTGGTTTAACCTTGGATTTCCCCACACGTCAGTGTTTCCATAACCGATCATTGTCAGTAATTTACCTGTCAAATAGGCTGTGCCTGTCTGTGGTTTAACCTTGGATTTCCCCACACATCATTCAGTGTTTCCGTTACCAGTAATTGTCAGTAATTTACCTGTCAGATAGGCCGTGCCTGTTTGTGGTTTAACCTTGGATTTCCCCACACATCATTCAGTGTTTCCATAACCGATCATTGTCAGTAATTCACCTGTCAGATAGGCCGTGCCTGTTTGTGGTTTAACCTTGGATTTCCCCACACATCATTCAGTGTTTCCATAACCGATCATTGTCAGTAATTCACCTGTCAGATAGGCCGTGCCTGTCTGTGGTTTAACCTTGGCTTTCCCCGCACATCAGTGTTTCCGTACAGGAGATCGCAAACATGGTTATGTGAAAATTGCAATAAAACGTCACTAGACATCATCATTTTACCATTTCAATTGTATTCTCTTTCCTTTCTGCTAGGCATTGTTTTATATGTAGATATTATGATTACCATGTGTATCTTGTCTTGTAAACTAAGCTGGAAATAACTGTCAGCTGTGCACTGTATAATGTGGCATTTCACCCAATCTTACCCATGCCATATGAGAGGCAGGAGGCTTCACTTAACATTTCCATTATGATGATGACTGCTGCTTTTCATTATTTGGTTTACGATATCTTTTCCTCAAAACCTTTGGTTTGTGGTTAAAGTAAATATTAAATTAAAATTAGACTTATTTAATTATTTGTTTTTGTTTTGTATGAATAGATGTTGGGTTGGAAAGATGCATAAATATGTAATTTAAAGAGTTGTGAAGATCCGGGGTAGAGTAGGTCTTCAGCAACCCATGCTTGCAATAAAGGCTTGTCTTTAAGAGGTGATTAACGGGATCAGTTGGTCAAGTTCGCTGACTTGGTTGATGCATGTCATCGATCCCAATTGCGTGGATCGATGCTCATGATGTCAATCACTGGATTGTGCCCTTCCAGACTTGATTATTTAACATGTTTAAAGACTGCCGTCATATAGCTGGAATATTGACAACAAACAAACAAACATATATTTTCCAGTGGCATAGTGACATTTGGAAAATTTTTTTATCAGCTTTTAGTGTCTACATGGGAACAAAGTCACACACTGTTTTAGAGTGGAACTTTTTTCCACATTCCAGATGAGGGTGATAAGAGTAGTGAGTAATAAACACCTTACTTGGTATTTCAGTTCTACAGGCTCTGGCATCGTACAGTACATCCGCTGGCAGCACGCTCAGGCCGCACTCGCTGCTGGTCCACACTTCATCATGAAGAAACAGATTATTGTCTCGGTGAGGTCAAGAAACTTGTTATCCCCCATAATGGGTTTTGAAGGGGTATTAAAATGGACACTGTCCATGCTTCTGTCCGCCAGTGCAAGATGTTGTTCTTGAATCTTGAAAACTGTACAATATTTATTCACCAAACTTGGTACATAGATAGGTCTGGTGGTGAACTGATGTGTTGTGATAGTTTGGAATAATTTAGGAAAGTTATGTCTAGTGGTGAACTGGAGCCTTTTGATAGTTTGGGATTTTAAAAAACCCCAACATGTTTCAAGTTACCATTGCAACAACTTTGACTTTGACTGAAAATGGTTACAGCATGTACAGTGCTGTTTCAGAAGCAGGCTTTTGGTAGTATAGGTCCCTAGGGGCAGATTTTTTATAGTATAGGTCCCCAGGAGCAGGTTTTTTGGTAGTTTAGGTCCCCAGGAGCAGGTTTTTTGGTAGTTTAGGTCCCCAGGAGCAGGTTTTTTGTAGTAAAGGTCCCCAGGAGCAGGTTTTTTGGTAGTTTAGGTCCCCAGGAGCAGATCTTTGGTAGTATAGGTCCCCAGGAGCAGGTTTTTTGTAGTATAGGTCCCCAGGAGCAGATCTTTGGTAGTATAGGTCCCCAGGAGCAGGTTTTTTGTAGTATAGGTCCCCAGAAGCAGATCTTTGGTAGTATAGGTCCCCAGGAGCAGGTTTTTGGTAGTATAGGTCCCCAGGGGCAGATTTTTTTATAGTATAGTAATATAGGTCCCCAGGAGCAGGTTTTTGGTAGTGTAGGTCCCCAGGAGCAGATCTTTGGTAGTATAGGTCCCCAGGAGCAGGTTTTTGGTAGTATAGGTCCCCAGGAGCAGGTTTTTGGTAGTATAGGTCCCCAGGGGCAGATCTTTGGTAGTATAGGTCCACAGGGGCAGATTTTTGGTAGTTTAGGTCCCCAGGAGCAGGTTTTTGGTAGTATAGGTCCCCAGGGGCAGATTTTTTTATAGTATAGTAATATAGGTCCCCAGGAGCAGGTTTTTGGTAGTATAGGTCCCCAAGAGCAGGTTTTTGGTAGTATAGGTCCCCAGGAGCAGGTTTTTGGTAGTATAGGTCCCCAGGAGCAGGTTTTTGGTAGTATAGGTCCCTAGGGGCAGATTTTTTATAGTATAGGTCCCCAGGAGCAGGTTTTTTGAAGTATAGGTCCCCAGGAGCAGGTTTTTTATGGTATAGGTCCCCAGGAGCAGGTTTTTTGGTAGTTTAGGTCCCCAGGAGCAGGTTTTTTGGTAGTTTAGGTCCCCAGGAGCAGGTTTTTTGTAGTATAGGTCCCCAGGAGCAGGTTTTTGGTAGTATAGGTCCCCAGGGGCAGATCTTTGGTAGTATAGGTCCCCAGGAGCAGGTTTTTTGTAGTATAGGTCCCCAGGAGCAGATCTTTGGTAGTATAGGTCCCCAGGAGCAGGTTTTTTGTAGTATAGGTCCCAAGAAGCAGATCTTTGGTAGTATAGGTCCCCAGGAGCAGGTTTTTGGTAGTATAGGTCCCCAGGAGCAGGTTTTAGGTAGTATAGGTCCCCAGGGGCAGATTTTTTTATAGTATAGTAATATAGGTCCCCAGGAGCAGGTTTTTGGTAGTATAGGTCCCCAGGAGCAGATCTTTGGTAGTATAGGTCCCCAGGGGCAGATCTTTGGTAGTATAGGTCCCCAGGAGCAGGTTTTTGGTAGTATAGGTCCCCAGGGGCAGATCTTTGGTAGTATAGGTCCCCAGGAGCAGGTTTTTTGTAGTATAGGTCCCCAGGAGCAGATCTTTGGTAGTATAGGTCCCCAGGAGCAGGTTTTTGGTAGTATAGGTCCCCAGGGGCAGATCTTTGGTAGTATAGGTCCACAGGGGCAGATTTTTGGTAGTTTAGGTCCCCAGGAGCAGGTTTTTGGTAGTATAGGTCCCCAGGGGCAGATTTTTTTATAGTATAGTAATATAGGTCCCCAGGAGCAGGTTTTTGGTAGTATAGGTCCCCAAGAGCAGGTTTTTGGTAGTATAGGTCCCCAGGAGCAGGTTTTTGGTAGTATAGGTCCCCAGGAGCAGGTTTTTGGTAGTATAGGTCCCTAGGGGCAGATTTTTTATAGTATAGGTCCCCAGGAGCAGGTTTTTTGAAGTATAGGTCCCCAGGAGCAGGTTTTTTATGGTATAGGTCCCCAGGAGCAGGTTTTTTGGTAGTTTAGGTCCCCAGGAGCAGATCTTGGGTAGTATAGGTCCCCAGGAGCAGGTTTTTTGTAGTATAGGTCCCCAGGAGCAGGTTTTTGGTAGTATAGGTCCCCAGGGGCAGATCTTTGGTAGTATAGGTCCCCAGGAGCAGGTTTTTTGTAGTATAGGTCCCCAGGAGCAGATCTTTGGTAGTATAGGTCCCCAGGAGCAGGTTTTTTGTAGTATAGGTCCCAAGAAGCAGATCTTTGGTAGTATAGGTCCCCAGGAGCAGGTTTTTGGTAGTATAGGTCCCCAGGAGCAGGTTTTAGGTAGTATAGGTCCCCAGGGGCAGATTTTTTTATAGTATAGTAATATAGGTCCCCAGGAGCAGGTTTTTGGTAGTGTAGGTCCCCAGGAGCAGATCTTTGGTAGTATAGGTCCCCAGGGGCAGATCTTTGGTAGTATAGGTCCCCAGGAGCAGGTTTTTGGTAGTATAGGTCCCCAGGGGCAGATCTTTGGTAGTATAGGTCCCCAGGAGCAGGTTTTTTGTAGTATAGGTCCCCAGGAGCAGATCTTTGGTAGTATAGGTCCCCAGGAGCAGGTTTTTTGTAGTATAGGTCCCCAGAAGCAGATCTTTGGTAGTATAGGTCCCCAGGAGCAGGTTTTTGGTAGTATAGGTCCCCAGGGGCAGATTTTTTATAGTATAGGTCCCCAGGAGCAGGTTTTTGGTAGTAAAGGGCCCCAGGAGCAGGTTTTTGGTAGTATAGGTCCCCAGGGGCAGATCTTTGGTAGTATAGGTCCACAGGGGAATATTTTTGGTAGTTTAGGTCCCCAGGAGCAGGTTTTTGGTAGTATAGGTCCCCAGGGGCAGATTTTTTTATAGTATAGTAATATAGGTCCCCAGGAGCAGGTTTTTGGTAGTGTAGGTCCCCAGGAGCAGATCTTGGGTAGTATAGGTCCCCAGGAGCAGGTTTTTGGTAGTATAGGTCCCCAGGAGCAGGTTTTTGGTAGCATAGGTCCCCAGGGGCAGATCTTTGGTAGTAAAGGTCCACAGGGGCAGATTTTTAGTAGTTTAGGTCCACAGGAGCAGGTTTTTGGTAGTATAGGTCCCCAGGAGCAGATCTTTGGTAGTATAGGTCCCCGGGGGCAGATTTTTTTATAGTATAGGTCCCCAGGAGCAGGTTTTTGGTAGTATTAGTCCCCAGGAGCAGATCTTTGGTAGTATAGGTCCCTAGGGGCAGATATAGTATAGGTCCCCAGGAGCAGATCTTTGGTAGTATAGGTCCCCAGGGGCAGATGTTTTTATAGTATAGGTCCCCAGGAGCAGGTTTTTGGTAGTATAGGTCCCCAGGAGCAGATCTTTGGTAGTATAGGTCCCTAGGGGCAGATTTTTTATAGTATAGGTCCCCAGGAGCAGGTTTTTTGTAGTATAGGTCCCCAGGAGCAGATATTTGGTAGTATAGGTCCCCAGGAGCAGGTTTTTGGTAGCATAGGTCCCCAGGAGCAGGTTTTTGGTAGTATAGGTTCCCAGGGGCAGATTTTTTTATAGTATAGGTCCCCAGGGGCAGATTTTTTTATAGTATAGGTCCCCAGGAGCAGGTTTTTGGTAGTATAGGTCCCCAGGAGCAGATCTTTGGTAGTATAGGTCCCTAGGGGCAGATTTTTTATAGTATTGGTCCCCAGGAGCAGGTTTTTTGTAGTATAGGTCCCCAGGAGCAGATATTTGGTAGTATAGGTCCCCAGGAGCAGGTTTTTGGTAGCATAGGTCCCCAGGAGCAGGTTTTTGGTAGTATAGGTTCCCAGGGGCAGATTTTTTTATAGTATAGGTCCCCAGGGGCAGATTTTTTTATAGTATAGGTCCCCAGGAGCAGGTTTTTGGTAGTATAGGTCCCCAGGAGCAGATCTTTGGTAGTATAGGTCCCTAGGGGCAGATCTTTTATAGTATAGGTCCCCAGGAGCAGGTTTTTTGTAGTATAGGTCCCCAGGGGCAGATCTTTGGTAGTATAGGTCCCCAGGAGCAGATCTTTGGTAGTATAGGTCCCTAGGGGCAGATCTTTTATAGTATAGGTCCCCAGGAGCAGGTTTTTTGTAGTATAGGTCCCCAGGGGCAGATCTTTGGTAGTATAGGTTCACAGGGGCAGATTTTTTTATAGTATAGGTCCCCAGGAGCAGGTTTTTGGTAGTTTAGGTCCCCAGGAGCAGGTTTTTGGTAGTATAGGTTCCCAGTGCTCAATGCTTGTCTCCCTGGGTTATGTGGGGTAGAATAGGTCCCCAGTACCCCATGATTGTCTCTCTGGGGATTGTGGGGTAGAATAGGTCCCCAGTACCCCATGATTGTCTATCTGGGGATTGTGGGGTAGAATAGGTACCCAGTACCCCATGCTTGTCTCGCTAAGGGATTGTGGGGTAGAATAGGTCCCCAGTGCTCAATGCTTGTCTCCCTGGGTTATGTGGGGTAGAATAGGTCCCCAGTACCCCATGATTGTCTCTCTGGGGATTGTGGGGTAGAATAGGTCCCCAGTACCCCATGCTTGTCTATCTGGGGATTGTGGGGTAGAATTGGTACCCAGTACCCCATGCCTGTCTCGCTAAGGGATTGTGGGGTAGAATAGGTCCCCAGTACCCCATGATTGTCTCTCTGGGGATTGTGGGGTAGAATAGGTCCCCAGTACCCCATGATTGTCTCTCTGGGGATTGTGGGGTAGAATAGGTCCCCAGTACCCCATGCTTGTCTATCTGGGGATTGTGGGGTAGAATTGGTCCCCAATACCCAATGCTTGTCTCGCTAAGGGATTGTGGGGTAGAATAGGTCCCCAGTACCCCATGATTGTCTCTCTGGGGATTGTGGGGTAGAATAGGTCCCCAGTACCCCATGCTTGTCTCTCTGGGGATTGTGGGGTAGAATAGGTCCCCAGTACCCAATGCTTGTCTCGCTAAGGGATTGTGGGGTAGAATAGGTCCCCAGTACCCCATGCTTGTCTCGCTTAGGGATTGTGGGGTAGAATAGGTCCCCAGTACCCCATGCTTGTCTCTCTGGGGATTGTGGGGTAGAATAGGTCCCCAGTACCCCATGCTTGTCTATCTGGGGATTGTGGGGTAGAATAGGTCCCCAGTACCCCATGATTGTCTCTCTGGGGATTGTGGGGTAGAATAGGTCCCCAGTACCCCATGATTGTCTCTCTGGGGATTGTGGGGTAGAATAGGTCCCCAGTACCCCATGCTTGTCTCTCTGGGGATTGTGGGGTAGAATAGGTCCCCAGTACCCCATGCTTGTCTCTCTGGGGATTGTGGGGTAGAATAGGTCCCCAGTACCCCATGCTTGTCTCTCTGGGGGTATGGGGTAGAATAGGTCCCCAGTACCCCATGCTTGTCTCTCTGGGGGTATGGGGTAGAATAGGTCCCCAGTACCCCATGCTTGTTGCCCGTAGGGATTATGCGGCTGAATAGGTCCCCACAGTATGCAAAGCTAGTCATCGCAAAAGCACTGTGGAATTACCATGTTAACGCAGCTTACAATTGTGCATTTAATCCAAGTAATGGATTAAATGGAGTCTTCAAGATCATTATGATCAGTTTAGGATTTGAATAAAACAAGACATATATAGATCCAGTATATGTATAACACAACCTGTTTAGAATAGCTGGTTGTAAGAGAGGCAACTTGAGGAATCAAAAGGTCAGACTTAGTGACTTGGTTGATTGTGTTGATCGTGTTGAAAGTCATTGATCTTTCTTTATCATGTTTATGACATCAATCTGATCCAGACTCAGTGATTTACAGGACATGTGGCCGGACCTGAGTGCGGCTTCAGAAGACATATAATCTAGAGAATACTCTTTTTGTTTTTAATCAAAACTGAAATTTCTGATAAATAAACTTCTTCTTTTTTCCAGGACAAAAAGGATGCAGGTAAGTTGTCCAAACAGGGAAGGGTTGTGCACAGTTGGTGGTAAGTCATTATTGATGATTGGGTCATTCCAACAGTCAATCGATTGATCAGCAAAATAAAATCGGTTTCTGTCAATTTGGATAGATCACACCTTTTCAAAACAAACAGAAATATTTACTTCCAATGTTTCAAAAAAGATGCAAGACTCACTTTTTTCTCCAAGTTCTCTGTGGCACATAGCAAATAAACCCTTCCTGGAAATAAACATGCGGTATCTAAAATGCAGATAATATTTTTTTTTTTTTTTCTTTTATTGTTTTTAGAAAGACACACCTGTTACATAAATGGGCTTCCGCCCAGGGTAGCAGAAAGCCCATGACATAAAGCACAACTTATCAGTACATCTTACTTTGTTGTTTTTTTTATACAGAAAATAACATACTTCTCACTCACACATTCACTCTTGTTTATATATCATATTGCAGTTTAGGAAAGTACATGGTCTCAAACATTAAAATCTTAAGTACAAAACTAAAATTAAATTGAAAGCTGCTCCTCATTTTCGAAAAGTTGATGATACAGCATCCAAGCACCATAGAATTTCTGTTGATTACCTGTCTTGAAAGCAATGCAGATACTATTTTGTGTCACCTGTTTATTTTTCTCTTATGTTAGATTTAGAATGTAGATTAGAACTTTTCTAGTGTGTCTAATGTGTAATTTAATTCTTTCTGGTAAGGTCAGTATATAAACTCCAAATATATCTGTTTGATTGGCATTCTGGAAGTTGGTGAGTAAATGAGAAAACATGCAACTTTATGGATAACAATTTCTGGTTTATTGCATTTAGCGGCATTTCGATGTAGATTTGTAGACTCTTTCAAGCTGTTTAGAATCTACTCTAAAAGTAGAACACCCTATTCTTTCATATTACAATCGTTAATCTGTCATAGGTGTCTTTAACTTCTTATTTGGTAGGATGTATATTGGCGGTAAAATATACACACACTGATGCCAGATATATGTGTAGGCTTATAGTGAGTGAGTATGGTTTTCCCCCGCTTTTGGCAATATTCCAGCAATATCACGGCGGGGTACGCCAGATATGGTCTTCACACATTGTGCCTATGTGGGGAATCGAACCCGGGTCTTCAGCATGAGTAAGTGAGTGAGTTTGGTTATACGCCGCTTTTAGCAATATTCCAGCAATACCACAGCGGGGGGACACCAGAAATTGGCTTCACACATTGTACCCATGCCCGGAATCCAACCTGAGTCTTGGTGTGACGAGTGAACGCTTTAACCACTGAGCTACCCGACCACTCTGTCTTCAGCATGACGAGTGAAGGTTTTAACCACAAGGCTACCCGACCGTTCTGTCTTCAGCATGACGAGCGAATGCTTTAACCACTGGACAAGCCTGATGCCCCTTTTGGTTTACAAGACACTTACCAGGACTACACGTTTCTTTAGCCTTGGGCTTAATAACGGAATTTGCCTGTTTTAATAAAGTAATGTCTTATTACGTGAAGACCAAGTGGTGGGTTTCCATACTGTATCCAAACAACTGGATGACTTGCCACAAACAACTTTCTGTGTTTCAGATCCAAGGAAAAGCGGACAGGTTATGGACGTATGTATTTCTATGAGTGAGTGAGTGAGTGAGTGAGTGAGGTTTTACGCCGCTTTAAGCAATATTCCAGCAATATCACGGCGGGGGACACCAGAAATGGGCTTCACACATTGTACCCATGTCGGGAATCGAACCTGGGTCTTTGGCGTGACGAGCTAACGCTTTAACCACTAGGCTACCCGACCGCCCGTATTTCTATGAAACAAAGATGAAATTTATTCTTTCTTATACATCAAAGACTAACCAGTATCTTCACCATGTTAGTTATGCAAGGATCTGCAGGGTTGAATCCCAGATTGGCTTCATGTTTGGTTTGTCCGCTCCATACCCATGATGATGTTCCATCAAAGAGGTAGATCTAATTTCCATTGACAGTTTCTGGTGTGCGTTGCAAAGCCCCAATTGCTTGCAAGCAGTGTACAACGATTTGCCAGGGTGCTAATTCTCATCCGCTTGCAATCATACCAATCACTGGCTGAGTTCACTTTGTTCTCAAACCAAAATGGCGTCTGAGTTCGACAGCGGAACAAGAAATTCTTGATTGTATCAGCTGGGAAATGGGCAAAGGCAGCTAACACCCCATCAACCTCAGTCTGCTCCACATCTTCAAAGTACTCATAAATTCAGCTCGTCCTTGAGTATCTTCTATTGTGTTCTTTATTCGGGCAAGGCCACCTAGCGGTAGTTATGCCACCATTTTGGAAGAGTGCGCAAGACCCAGTGTCAAGCAGAGATGCAATGTTATGACTTAAACACTGTTCAATCCAATCTTAGTTCTTGTTTACACTAAAAGATCTTGGGACATCCCATTACAGGCCACGTCAGAACAAACATTCTTCTGACCAATTAGAGCATTGCCTAACATATTGGGATAATGAAAGTCAGAATGTGTTTTTCAATCATGCAACCTTGAAAAGGTAAACACTGGGTTTTCAAAGACAATGGTTATGGGCTGTACGACATATTTTGTCACAAATTTAATGAGTACTGTGGCTTCAAAGAATACTCACAGAATTACTCATGATGTGTGCATCCTATTTCCCATGATCCTTTGCACAGTATGGCGTCAGTATGGTTCTAAGCGTTACCTCATGTTGCAAAATGTTGTTAATCCCTATACACCTTTGAAGATTCAGGGTGTAGAAATTGGCTTGTCATAAATGGCGAATAAATGTATTGGGTGGCTTGATATCATCTGATCGTTTCTCTATTGCATGGAACCCGTGAAGATCCGGGGTAGAATAGGTCTTCAGCAACCCATGCTTGCCGTAAAAGGCGACTATGCTTGTCGTAAGAGGCGACTAACGGGATTGGGTGGTCAGGCTCGCTGACTTGGTTGATGCATGTAATCGATCCCAATTGCGTTGATCAATGCTCATGATGTCAGTCACTGGATTGTCTGGTCCAGACTTGATTATTTACAGACCGTTGTCATATAGCTGGAATATTGCTGAGTGCGGTGTTAAACAACAAACCAACCAACTCTATTGCAATGGTTGATGCTCATGATATGAATCACAGGATTGTATGATCCAGACTTGATTATTTACAGACTGCTGTCATATAGCTGGAATACTGCAATATGCTACAATTTTGTGTTGTAGATCTTACAGAAGCACAAACTGTATGTGTCCAACATACCTACTGATGTGACTCAGACGGAACTGTTTGAGTACTTCTCCCAGTGGGGAAACATATTCTCCTGCGATATCGTAGAAAGCAACAAGGGGTAAGAAGGACAAATCATTCCAGATCATCTTCATCTGGGTTACCATTGATCTTCAGCAACCCCACACTCCGTCGCAGTGGTGACTCAGCATAACACCACTGCCACAGGCTAATTTGCATATCACGTGACCGGACTTTTCTCTTGTTTGTAAACAAACGCGCTTTTTCAGAAATCAGTATAGAACGGACTAATGCAAGTATTTGGGGGCGCTTTACATATTGTTTTGCATAACTATATAGATATGCTACTACAACTGCGACAGTGAGTTGCATGACAATATATATTTATGCATCAAAGTGACCGTGTCGCTAGCTCTCCGTTGGGCTTCGATGACAGCACGTGGAGCCGTACAACCAATGTAAACATAGGATAACTACGCGAAAACAAGTAGATTTTTACGTATTTGCATACTTTCTCAATGAAAGTTAACCATTCTTTGACATTTGTTTATGAAAATGTGTAGACTTGTCAAACATGAAACGGATGAAAATCATATGCAATATCTTGAATGGACTGTGAAAGATGTGACGAATCGTCACATGGCGCTGGCCTGTGGCAGAGGTACTATGCTAGCTGGCTGCCGGCCGCATGGAACTCTGGGTAGGAGAGTGCAGCAACCCATGCTTGTCGTAATGACTAACGGGATCGGTTGGTCAGGCTTGTTGACTTAGTTGCAGAGATGCCAGCCATTACTCTTTGAGCCTAAAATTATGCTATTACGCTTGTCCTCCCCAAATTAAGACTTTTGACGTTTTCACTTATTATTTACCTGCATAAAATATGATGGAGAAAAAATCGTTCGTGCACCAGTCCCGTGAAGCAATCTCCAGGGAACAAACTGCATGTATAGTATGACTCGATGTTATCGCAGGCTCCATATTATCGCCGTATCAATAAATCTCGTAATCCACACCTTCCTGACAACTGTTTACTTATGTTATTTCATCAGCTTCATCGAATACAGGACCGTGTGGTATGTCATGGCTACTTGCCATGTTTCGGTAAGAATGCAGCATACAGGGCCCTCCTCTAGTTTTTCTGCTGCCAGTTATTGTCACCATGATAAAATAAAAGGGTGCTTGGGGGCTTGCCAAAACCCTACCCACACGACAGCTTGACTGAAATACCTTCGTAGTAAAAAAAATAAAATATCTTCACTATATGGCTGAGATACTGCCGATGTGACGTAAAACTTTAACTCACTCGTAGTAAAATGTAATGTTTTAAACTTATCTTATCTGACACTTTATCACTCTGTTGTCTCCTGGTCCTGGAGTGGAAATGATCCCTGAACCCCTTTACAGCTTTAAAAAAACACCTCCCCAAACACACGCAAGCCATTACCATGGTTACCATTGTCACCCTCGGCTATGGCAATGCATGGATCTCATGCAGCTTGACCACATGACCTGCCCTGCCAACCTATTCTATTTCCTGTTGCCTTAGAAAGGAGACGTGTGTTTGGAAGGATACTAAAAAGTTATTTTAAATGTTTATGGAGTTTATTTGTTATCATGGACAGAAAGAAAAGAAAGTTCATTCCATTGCAAGCTGACGTTTTCTGCTAACGATCCACATAATAGCTCTTGTGACTGACAGGAATTCTGTTCATTGTCCGACAGGTGTGTCATCTGTTGACATGGTTCAGTATTGGATGACGATGTTTTTACCCTCTACAGAAAGGATACATTACTGAATGAAATGACATTGAATAACACATATCAGACTAAGAAATATAAACAAAGAAATATGCTAGGAGAGTAAGTGATAGATATTACTCTATTAATATAGGTTTTACGAACATGGGCCTTCTGTTGCTATAGAAGTTTTATGTTGAAGGCAGCATGTGGGGGTTTGTAGAATAGGGCGATAAGAGTAGCTTCATTGAATGATCCTTTACTCTCCTTAAAAGAAAGTTTGGACTCGTTTTAAAGTCCAGCCTAACTTTAATATCATCGGTTAAGAAACATGATGACTTTCGGCTTGATTTGTTAAACCCTACCTCAGCTACATCTTCGACTAGGGACTAGGGACCAATGGAAGGAATGGTTTGGGAGTCCCAGGGACGGAGTTGATGAAACAATTGACAAAAAATTCCTTGGGATCTATAGAGGTTCGACAACCTGTCTTGGATTATCAGGATCGGTGAACCCCTCAACGAATCTTCATCAGAAGAATCGACGTAGGTTCGATGATTCGGATCGGCATTGGCATTGTAGACAGCAATGTCAGGAGAGGGATGATTGACAGGATTGTTCAATAGGAGATTCATTCAGGTCAGGCCGATGCGCTATCACGTCGAGATCAGTCATCTCTGACAGACCCAAGGGCATTGTTCTCAAGCCATCTCTTGAGAAGGTCTAAACGCAAATGCGAACCCACCAACTGTACTTCTACTTCGAGTGCTTAGACACTAAGAACCTTCCACTGTTTGGTCGCACCCTTCTGGCTCATGAGGAGCTGGTTCATCACGCTCATCCACATCGTCAGTCAAAGGCACAAGCCTCTACCTCTAAGGCAAGATCTAGTACTGCAGCCACACTCAAACAAGCTATATCCGTGACCAGAGACATTCCATCTCTGCACTTGGTGGCTCTTCAGTAATATTTGATTGCAAAAATGTTATTCACAGTCAATGACTGGCGCACATTGTACTTCGACAAAGGCCCTGTACAATCACCAATGGGAATACTGAAGTACATAAGGGTTAGAATACGTCTTTGGCAACCCATGCTTGCTGTAAGAGTCAACTAATAGGATCGAGTGGTCAGGGTCGCTGACTTGGTTGTGATGCATGTCATCGCATCTCCCCTCTGTCTGTTTCAGAGACAATAACTTTGGCTTTGTGTCCTACACCGATGAAGAAGATGCTCTGAAATGTCTGAAGGCGACCCACAATTTCCGAGACAAGAGGATGTATGTACGCGTTTCGGACAAGAGCAAATCTGTGAGTGCTACTCTTTTTTATTTTTAGTTGAAGCTTTGACCAGATTTGGATCCCTGATTCATCTGTTTCTAATCCATGTCAGCACTATGTCTGTAAAACTGGTAAACATCAGATTTGTCATTTTCAATCTTTACCTGATTTGGGACCTCGTGGGGATTGGGTTGGAATTGGTCCCCAACAGCCAGTGCTGGTCCAAAGAGACCACCTAATCAATCTCTTTAAAATCGGACCTTAGTTCTCGCTACCGCTAAACAAAGATCTGAAGACATCCCATTAGGGGTCACGTCGGAACGACCTTTCATCCGACTTACAGATTATGAAAGATTATAACATTCCCAACAGCTGACACCACTGTTCACTCACAGCTTGGATGCCATAGCTGGTTGTTATGGTCAGGGATATGGGTAATTCTTGCGAATACAAAACCTTTATTACATCATTGCCAGCAATCCTGTATTTCAGCTGTCAGACTTTTTACAGAAAGCCTCTTCACTGTCACCTATCCGTAATAAGTTGTGCAAGTAATAGTTTCATGCTACCCACATCACATGCAAATGTGTTAGTCGGAAAAACCTCACTTAGTTCAAATATCTAACATCTAGATGCAGAAAATTGGGGTTGTGGGTGCGATTACTCCTGATGTAATAGAGGTAGTATTCTTTGATTTATTAACAATGATAACTATTGTTTGATATATCATGCTTGTTATGCATCTCCTGTTTTCTTGATTTCAGATGAGTGAAGCTGTACAAGGTACGATTTGATCAAAACACTGGAGGGGGACCCCATGTCTGTAAGAGGGGGCTACAATAAGGCCTCATCACTTGATTAGATTGTACTGGATGTGATGACATAGTTCATAACTGTAATGGCGTAATTGGGGACAACAAACTATTGGAGGCGAGACCCGCAAAAATTGGGCCTCATCACTTGTATAGATTGTACTGGATGTGATGAGATTAGGTTCCCAGCACCCATATCTTTAAGAGGAGACTACGGTTGGGCCTCATCACCTGTATAGATTGTACTGGACGTGATGAGATTAGGTTCCCAGCACCCATATCTTTAAGAGCAGACTACGGTTGGGCCTCATCACTTGGTACATCCCTCTGCAGACAATCTGCTCCTTTAGTTTGCTCACACCACAGAATTGAATATATATTATTTTGCAAATAAAAACAAACATTTGTAGTAGATGCTATTTGTTTCTTGGTTCCAGATCCAAAGAAAATATCAGCTGCGGTATCATCTCTAAAGGTTTGTATGTTCTCAAGTCACTCTTTCGACACGCTCAAACATGCTCTAGTGCTGCACCAGCCCAATACATACATCACCTGGCATCGAACTTTGGTTCGCGATCACACTTCCGTTTGTAGAGCGTGAAGTCGGTAGTAGAGAGTTCTTTGCACTGGCTACATCTCAGCAACCACAGCAATCACAGCAACCACAGCAATCACAGCAACCACAGCAATCACAGCACTTTAGGTGGGGATCCTGCACTGATCACAAGCTATGTGTTTTTGTTATCCAAGGTTAACTGTCTACACTAGCATATGTAGAAAAAAATGTACAAAATGTTCTCATCAAATCGAAAAAGCTTCTCCACACTTGAATGATAAGAAGGGGAATAACTGAGCTGGGGATGTCATGTGATCAGGCTGCCAGTATCCATGCATTGCACAGACCATTGTTGGTGATGGTAACCATGGTTAAGGCTGGGATGGATGTATTTGGGTGAGGTGTTTTTTTAAGTAGGAAACTTGTTTTGGGATCGTATCCACTCAAGGATCGAAGAAGTGCATAGTGCATAGAATAAGAATGTTAAATATTAATTTTTAAGAAATTTCAAGTTTTTTTAAATATCAGGGAAATGTATATGCTATAATTTTCTCTGTTGCAGTCCTTAGGGAAGAACAAGCTGTTTGTGTCCAACATACCTACTGGCGTGACTTCTGACGAACTGTTTGAGCACTTCTCGATGTGGGGAAAAGTTGATGCATGCAGCTTAGGAGGACATATTGGGCCGTAAGTTGATGCAGCTTTCCATTGCCTCTGTGGTCAGTTGTGTGGATAGAGCATCTGCCCGGAGGGCTCACTTCCCAAATGGTTAATACCAAAAGACATTACTTTTTGTTACCCTGCCTGGCACACGTCTCTAAGGAGATAAAGGTTGGCAAGGAGTCAGGATACTGTATCTGAGTAGGATATAAAGCCCCAAATAAGGCTGGTCTGAGTCAGCATGGTTTGTTTTATGTAGAGTGACTTAGAAATGTTAGCTATACCAGGATCTGCTGACCATGTGTTCAAAGATTCTCCCTTATGTGATCCTTGGTTTGTCAGCCCCCTACCAAATCTTGTGGTGTCACCAAAGTGAAACATGTCTCTGAGTTGCATCATTTGCCACCCAAATTAAGCTGCCAAACTGAAATTCTGCTCAGTGTAAAACCCATCTCACTCTGTTCCAGAAACAACAACTATGGATTTGTTTCCTACAACAATGACGATGATGCTCTGAAATGTCTGAATGTGCCCCACACACTGCAAAAGAGGAGGCTGTTTGTACGCGAGTCAGACCAAGGCAAAAATGTAAGTATACACATTCCTTTCTTATGGTTGTAGCTATGAGGACCAGATTGGAATCCCCAGATTATTGGACGTTGTGTTGACAATCATTGAAGTGTGTGTGGTGTGGGGTGGTTCGGGGGGGGGGGGGGGTGATTTGTAGGAACTAGTACCATCTGTCTTTCTTTTCTCCACCCAATCAAACATCATAAGCAAGAAATTTGGATCCCTGTTAGAGACAGTGTGTTTGACATTGTTTTATTGATTCATTCAGGCTTGAAAATTGCCTTGAATTTTAACGTCCCTCTTGAAAACCCTTCATTTTGTTGTCAAAATTACAAAAATACCTTGAAAAGCAATGATTTTGTACAAAAAGACATATTTGGTATTAAAAGTATTAAGACTAGTTTTATATTTGTTGAATGTGAAAATATATCACGTTAGAAAATTTGCGATGTTCATGCTGCTTTTTATGTTTGACGACATACATACATACATACATACATACATACATACATACATACATACATACATACATACATATCGTATGCTTAATTAAAAAATATATATTGACAAAGCTAATGACCGAACAAAAATAGCCTTGAAAATTAAGGTTGAAAGCCGTGAAAAGGCCTTGAATTTTACTGTTTCATATCTGTATGAACGTTGTATGATTCATGTACTGCTGATATGATGTTTGCAAGATATGTGTGTTTTTTTGTTCAGATATCTGTTACTTGTTATTACACGTCTTCTGTGTCTTGTTTTCAGTTAACAAAAGCTGCAACAGGTAGGTTTTAATAAAATCACTGATTTTCTTTTCTCCACAATCCTTAGTATAAGATTGGCAGATCTGTAAACCAGTAATTAAATATAAAATACCTCAGTTACCATCTGTGTAGTTTATAAAGCATCAGCCAATGTTTCCTGTTTTTGTACAACTGGCTAAAAACACTTGTGGGATTCTGGCCATCTTATCCTAAGAGCCAGCTAAGATTCGAGATTGGGTGGTAGCAATGAGGAATAGTGTAGCAATGTGCTCCTGTGTGCCTGGCTTGCAGGCCATGGTGATACAGACAGCTCCTGTGTGCCTGGCTTACAGGTCATTGTGATACAGATAGCTTCTGTGTGCCTGGCTTGCTGGCCATGGTGATACAGACAGCTCCTGTGTGCCTGGCTTACAGGCCATGGTGATACAGATAGCTTCTGTGTGCCTGGCTTGCTGGCCATGGTGATACAGACAGCTCCTGTGTGCCTGGCTTACAGGCCATGGTGATACAGATAGCTTCTGTGTGCCTGGCTTGCTGGCCATGGTGATACAGACAGCTCCTGTGTGCCTGGCTTACAGGCCATGGTGATACAGATAGCTTCTGTGTGCCTGGCTTGCTGGCCATGGTGATACAGACAGCTCCTGTGTGCCTGGCTTACAGGCCATGGTGATACAGATAGCTGCTGTGTGCCTGGCTTGCTGGCCATGGTGATACAGATAGCTGCTGTGTGCCTGGCTTACAGGCCATGGTGATACAGATAGCTGCTGTGTGCCTGGCTTGCTGGCCATGGTGATACAGAGAGCTCCTGTGTGCCTGGCTTGCAGGCCATGGTGATACAGATAGCTTCTGTGTGCCTGGCTTGCAGGCCATGGTGATACAGATAGCTTCTGTGTGCCTGGCTTGCTGGCCATGGTGATACAGACAGCTCCTGTGTGCCTGGCTTACAGGCCATGGTGATACAGATAGCTTCTGTGTGCCTGGCTTGCTGGCCATGGTGATACAGATAGCTCCTGTGTGCCTGGCTTACAGGCCATGGTGATACAGACAGCTTCTGTGTGCCTGGCTTACAGGCCATGGTGATACAGATAGCTTCTGTGTGCCTGGCTTGCTGGCCATGGTGATACAGACAGCTCCTGTGTGCCTGGCTTACAGGCCATGGTGATACAGATAGCTTCTGTGTGCCTGGCTTGCTGGCCATGGTGATACAGACAGCTCCTGTGTGCCTGGCTTACAGGCCATGGTGATACAGATAGCTTCTGTGTGCCTGGCTTGCTGGCCATGGTGATACAGATAGCTCCTGTGTGCCTGGCTTACAGGCCATGGTGATACAGACAGCTTCTGTGTGCCTGGCTTACAGGCCATGGTGATACAGATAGCTTCTGTGTGCCTGGCTTGCTGGCCATGGTGATACAGACAGCTCCTGTGTGCCTGGCTTACAGGCCATGGTGATACAGATAGCTTCTGTGTGCCTGGCTTGCTGGCCATGGTGATACAGACAGCTCCTGTGTGCCTGGCTTACAGGCCATGGTGATACAGATAGCTTCTGTGTGCCTGGCTTGCTGGCCATGGTGATACAGATAGCTGCTGTGTGCCTGGCTTACAGGCCATGGTGATACAGATAGCTGCTGTGTGCCTGGCTTGCAGGCCATGGTGATACAGATAGCTTCTGTGTGCCTGGCTTGCTGGCCATGGTGATACAGATAGCTGCTGTGTGCCTGGCTTACAGGCCATGGTGATACAGATAGCTGCTGTGTGCCTGGCTTGCAGGCCATGGTGATACAGAGAGCTCCTGTGTGCCTGGCTTGCAGGCCATGGTGATACAGATAGCTTCTGTGTGCCTGGCTTGCAGGCCATGGTGATACAGACAGCTCCTGTGTGCCTGGCTTACAGGCCATGGTGATACAGATAGCTTCTGTGTGCCTGGCTTGCTGGCCATGGTGATACAGATAGCTCCTGTGTGCCTGGCTTACAGGCCATGGTGATACAGACAGCTTCTGTGTGCCTGGCTTACAGGCCATGGTGATACAGATAGCTTCTGTGTGCCTGGCTTGCTGGCCATGGTGATACAGACAGCTCCTGTGTGCCTGGCTTACAGGCCATGGTGATACAGATAGCTTCTGTGTGCCTGGCTTGCTGGCCATGGTGATACAGACAGCTCCTGTGTGCCTGGCTTACAGGCCATGGTGATACAGATAGCTTCTGTGTGCCTGGCTTGCTGGCCATGGTGATACAGATAGCTGCTGTGTGCCTGGCTTACAGGCCATGGTGATACAGATAGCTGCTGTGTGCCTGGCTTGCAGGCCATGGTGATACAGATAGCTTCTGTGTACCTGGCTTGCTGGCCATGGTGATACAGATAGCTGCTGTGTGCCTGGCTTACAGGCCATGGTGATACAGATAGCTGCTGTGTGCCTGGCTTGCTGGCCATGGTGATACAGAGAGCTCCTGTGTGCCTGGCTTGCAGGCCATGGTGATACAGATAGCTTCTGTGTGCCTGGCTTGCAGGCCATGGTGATACAGATAGCTTCTGTGTGCCTGGCTTGCTGGCCATGGTGATACAGATAGCTTCTGTGTGCCTGGCTTGCTGGCCATGGTGATACAGATAGCTGCTGTGTGCCTGGCTTACAGGCCATGGTGATACAGAGAGCTCCTGTGTGCCTGGCTTACAGGCCATGGTGATACAGGGTGCTCCTGTGTGCCTGGCTTACAGGCCATGGTGATACAGATAGCTCCTGTGTGCCTGGCTTGCAGGCCATGGTGATACAGATAGCTCCTGTGTGCCTGGCTTGCAGGCCATGGTGATACAGGCAGCTCCTGTGTGCCTGGCTTACAGGCCATGGTGATACAGAATGCTCCTGTGTGCCTGGCTTACAGGCCATGGTGATACAGACAGCTCCCGTGTGCCTGGCTTGCAGGCCATGATGATACAGACAGCTCCTGTGTGCCTGGCTTACAGGCCATGGTGATACAGATAGCTTCTGTGTGCCTGGCTTGCTGGCCATGGTGATACAGATAGCTCCTGTGTGCCTGGCTTACAGGCCATGGTGATACAGACAGCTCCTGTGTGCCTGGCTTACAGGCCATGGTGATACAGATAGCTTCTGTGTGCCTGGCTTGCTGGCCATGGTGATACAGACAGCTCCTGTGTGCCTGGCTTACAGGCCATGGTGATACAGATAGCTTCTGTGTGCCTGGCTTGCTGGCCATGGTGATACAGACAGCTCCTGTGTGCCTGGCTTACAGGCCATGGTGATACAGATAGCTTCTGTGTGCCTGGCTTGCTGGCCATGGTGATACAGATAGCTGCTGTATGCCTGGCTTACAGGCCATGGTGATACAGATAGCTGCTGTGTGCCTGGCTTGCTGGCCATGGTGATACAGAGAGCTCCTGTGTGCCTGGCTTGCAGGCCATGGTGATACAGTTAGCTTCTGTGTGCCTGGCTTGCAGGCCATGGTGATACAGATAGCTTCTGTGTGCCTGGCTTGCTGGCCATGGTGATACAGACAGCTCCTGTGTGCCCGGCTTGCAGGCCATGGTGATACAGATAGCTTCTGTGTGCCTGGCTTGCTGGCCATGGTGATACAGATAGCTCCTGTGTGCCTGGCTTACAGGCCATGGTGATACAGACAGCTCCTGTGTGCCTGGCTTGCAGGCCATGGTGATACAGATAGCTTCTGTGTGCCTGGCTTGCTGGCCATGGTGATACAGATAGCTCCTGTGTGCCTGGCTTGCAGGCCATGGTGATACAGATAGCTCCTGTGTGCCTGGCTTGCTGGCCATGGTGATACAGATAGCTCCTGTGTGCCTGGCTTACAGGCCATGGTGATACAGAGAGCTCCTGTGTGCCTGGCTTACAGACCATGGTGATACAGAGAGCTCCTGTGCGCCTGGCTTACAGGCCATGGTGATACAGAGAGCTCCTGTGTGCCTGGCTTACAGGCCATGGTGATACAGAGAGCTCCTGTGCGCCTGGCTTACAGGCCATGGTGATACAGACAGCTCCTGTGTGCCTGGCTTACAGGCCATGGTGATACAGATAGCTTCTGTGTGCCTGGCTTGCTGGCCATGGTGATACAGATAGCTGCTGTGTGCCTGGCTTACAGGCCATGGTGATACAGATAGCTGCTGTGTGCCTGGCTTGCAGGCCATGGTGATACAGATAGCTTCTGTGTGCCTGGCTTGCTGGCCATGGTGATACAGATAGCTGCTGTGTGCCTGGCTTACAGGCCATGGTGATACAGATAGCTGCTGTGTGCCTGGCTTGCTGGCCATGGTGATACAGAGAGCTCCTGTGTGCCTGGCTTGCAGGCCATGGTGATACAGATAGCTTCTGTGTGCCTGGCTTGCAGGCCATGGTGATACAGACAGCTCCTGTGTGCCTGGCTTACAGGCCATGGTGATACAGATAGCTTCTGTGTGCCTGGCTTGCAGGCCATGGTGATACAGATAGCTCCTGTGTGCCTGGCTTACAGGCCATGGTGATACAGACAGCTTCTGTGTGCCTGGCTTACAGGCCATGGTGATACAGATAGCTTCTGTGTGCCTGGCTTGCTGGCCATGGTGATACAGACAGCTCCTGTGTGCCTGGCTTACAGGCCATGGTGATACAGATAGCTTCTGTGTGCCTGGCTTGCTGGCCATGGTGATACAGACAGCTCCTGTGTGCCTGGCTTACAGGCCATGGTGATACAGATAGCTTCTGTGTGCCTGGCTTGCTGGCCATGGTGATACAGATAGCTGCTGTGTGCCTGGCTTACAGGCCATGGTGATACAGATAGCTGCTGTGTGCCTGGCTTGCAGGCCATGGTGATACAGATAGCTTCTGTGTACCTGGCTTGCTGGCCATGGTGATACAGATAGCTGCTGTGTGCCTGGCTTACAGGCCATGGTGATACAGATAGCTGCTGTGTGCCTGGCTTGCTGGCCATGGTGATACAGAGAGCTCCTGTGTGCCTGGCTTGCAGGCCATGGTGATACAGATAGCTTCTGTGTGCCTGGCTTGCAGGCCATGGTGATACAGATAGCTTCTGTGTGCCTGGCTTGCTGGCCATGGTGATACAGACAGCTCCTGTGTGCCTGGCTTACAGGCCATGGTGATACAGATAGCTTCTGTGTGCCTGGCTTGCTGGCCATGGTGATACAGAAAGCTGCTGTGTGCCTGGCTTACAGGCCATGGTGATACAGAGAGCTCCTGTGTGCCTGGCTTACAGGCCATGGTGATACAGGGTGCTCCTGTGTGCCTGGCTTACAGGCCATGGTGATACAGATAGCTCCTGTGTGCCTGGCTTGCAGGCCATGGTGATACAGATAGCTCCTGTGTGCCTGGCTTGCAGGCCATGGTGATACAGGCAGCTCCTGTGTGCCTGGCTTACAGGCCATGGTGATACAGAATGCTCCTGTGTGCCTGGCTTACAGGCCATGGTGATACAGACAGCTCCTGTGTGCCTGGCTTGCAGGCCATGATGATACAGACAGCTCCTGTGTGCCTGGCTTACAGGCCATGGTGATACAGATAGCTTCTGTGTGCCTGGCTTGCTGGCCATGGTGATACAGATAGCTCCTGTGTGCCTGGCTTACAGGCCATGGTGATACAGACAGCTCCTGTGTGCCTGGCTTACAGGCCATGGTGATACAGATAGCTCCTGTGTGCCTGGCTTGCTGGCCATGGTGATACAGACAGCTCCTGTGTGCCTGGCTTACAGGCCATGGTGATACAGATAGCTTCTGTGTGCCTGGCTTGCTGGCCATGGTGATACAGACAGCTCCTGTGTGCCTGGCTTACAGGCCATGGTGATACAGATAGCTTCTGTGTGCCTGGCTTGCTGGCCATGGTGATACAGATAGCTGCTGTATGCCTGGCTTACAGGCCATGGTGATACAGATAGCTGCTGTGTGCCTGGCTTGCTGGCCATGGTGATACAGAGAGCTCCTGTGTGCCTGGCTTGCAGGTTATGGTGATACAGTTAGCTTCTGTGTGCCTGGCTTGCAGGCCATGGTGATACAGATAGCTTCTGTGTGCCTGGCTTGCTGGCCATGGTGATACAGACAGCTCCTGTGTGCCCGGCTTGCAGGCCATGGTGATACAGATAGCTTCTGTGTGCCTGGCTTGCTGGCCATGGTGATACAGATAGCTCCTGTGTGCCTGGCTTACAGGCCATGGTGATACAGACAGCTCCTGTGTGCCTGGCTTGCAGGCCATGGTGATACAGATAGCTTCTGTGTGCCTGGCTTGCTGGCCATGGTGATACAGATAGCTCCTGTGTGCCTGGCTTGCAGGCCATGGTGATACAGATAGCTCCTGTGTGCCTGGCTTGCTGGCCATGGTGATACAGATAGCTCCTGTGTGCCTGGCTTACAGGCCATGGTGATACAGAGAGCTCCTGTGTGCCTGGCTTACAGACCATGGTGATACAGAGAGCTCCTGTGCGCCTGGCTTACAGGCCATGGTGATACAGAGAGCTCCTGTGTGCCTGGCTTACAGGCCATGGTGATACAGAGAGCTCCTGTGCGCCTGGCTTACAGGCCATGGTGATACAGACAGCTCCTGTGTGCCTGGCTTACAGGCCATGGTGATACAGAGAGCTCCTGTGTGCCTTGCTTACAGGCCATGGTGATACAGTGTGCTCCCCTGTGCCTGGCTTACAGACCATGGTGATACAGAGAGCTCCTGTGTGCCTTGCTTACAGGCCATGGTGATACAGATAGCTCCTGTGTGCCTGGCTTGCAGGCCATGGTGATACAGAGAGCTCCCCTGTGCCTGGCTTACAGGCCAGGTGATACAGAGAGCTCCTGTGTGGCTGGCTTACAGGCCATGGTGATACAGAGAGCTCCTGTGTGGCTGGCTTACAGGCCATGGTGAAACAGACAGCTTCTGTGTGCCTTGCTTGCAGGGCATGGTGATACAGAGAGCTCCCATGTGCCTGGTGTGCAGGCCGTGGTGATACAGTGTGCTCCCCTGTGCCTGGCTTACAGGCCATGGTGATACAGACAGCTCCTGTGTGCCTGGCTTACAGGCCATGGTGATACAGAGAGCTCCTGTGTGCCTGGCTTACAGGTCATGGTGATACAGAGAGCTCCTATGTGCCTGGCTTACAGGCCATGGTGATACAGAGAGATACTGTGTGCCTGGCTTGCAGGCCATGGTGATACAGAGAGATCCTGTGTGCCTGGCTTGCAGGCCATGGTGATACAGAGAGCTCCTGTGTGCCTGGCTTACAGGCCATGGTGATACAGGGAGCTCCTGTGTGCCTGGCTTACAGGCCATGGTGATACAGAGAGCTCCTGTGTGCCTGGCTTACAGGCCATGGTGATACAGAGAGCTCCTGTGTGCCTGGCTTGCAGGCCATGGTGATACAGAGAGCTCCTGTGTGCCTGGCTTGCAGTCCATGGTGATACAGAGAGCTCCTGTGTGCCTGGCTTACAGGCCATGGTGATACAGAGAGCTCCTGTGTGCCTGGCTTACAGGCCATGGTGATACAGAGAGCTCCTGTGTGCCTGGCTTACAGGCCATGGTGATACAGAGAGCTCCTGTGTGCCTGGCTTACAGACCATGGTGATACAGAGAGCTCCTGTGTGCCTGGCTTACAGGCCATGGTGATACAGACAGCTCCTGTGTGCCTGGCTTACAGGCTGTCTTGATACAGAGAGCTCCTGTGTGCCTGGCTTACAGGCCTTGGTGATACAGGGAGCAATTGTGTGCCTGGCTTGCAGGCCATGGTGATACAGAGAGCTCCTGTGTGCCTGGCTTACAGGCCATGGTGATACAGAGAGCTCCTGTGTGCCTGGCTTGCAGGCCATGGTGATACAGGGAGCTTCTGTGTGCCTGGCTTGCAGGCTGTCTTGATACAGACAGCTCCTGTGTGCTTGGCTTACAGGCCTTGGTGATACAGGCAGCTCATGTGTGCTGGCTTACAGGCCATGGTGATACAGAGTGCTCCTGTGTGCCTGGCTTGCAGGCTGTCTTGATACAGAGAGCTCCTGTGTGCTTGGCTTACAGGCCTTGGTGATACAGGCAGCTCATGTGTGCTGGCTTACAGGCCATGGTGATACAGAGAGCTCCTGTGTGCTTGGCTTGCAGGCCATGGTGATACAGAGAGCTCCTGTGTGCCTGGCTTACAGGCCATGGTGATACAGAGAGCTCCTGTGTGCCTGGCTTACAGGCCATGGTGATACAGAGAGCTCCTGTGTGCCTGGCTTACAGACCATGGTGATACAGAGAGCTCCTGTGTGCCTGGCTTACAGGCCATGGTGATACAGAGAGCTCCTGTGTGCCTGGCTTACAGGCTGTCTTGATACAGAGAGCTCCTGTGTGCCTGGCTTACAGGCCTTGGTGATACAGGGAGCAATTGTGTGCCTGGCTTGCAGGCCATGGTGATACAGAGAGCTCCTGTGTGCCTGGCCTACAGGCCATGGTGATACAGAGAGCTCCTGTGTGCCTGGCTTGCAGGCCATGGTGATACAGGGAGCTTCTGTGTGCCTGGCTTGCAGGCTGTCTTGATACAGAGAGCTCCTGTGTGCTTGGCTTACAGGCCTTGGTGATACAGGCAGCTCATGTGTGCTGGCTTACAGGCCATGGTGATACAGAGAGCTCCTGTGTGCTTGGCTTACAGGCCATGGTGATACAGAGAGCTCCTGTGTGCCTTGCTTACAGGCCTTGGTGATACAGACAGCTCCTGTGTGCTGGCTTGCAGGCCATGGTGATACAGAGAGCTCCTGTGTGCTTGGCTTACAGGCCATGGTGATACAGAGAGCACCTGTGTGCCTGGCTTACAGGCCATGGTGATACAGACAGCTCCTGTGTGCCTGGCTTGCAGGCCATGGCAATACAGACAGCTCCTGTTTGCCTGGCTTGCAGGCCATGGTGATACAGACAGCTCCTGTGTGCCTGGCTTGCAGGCCATGGTGATACAGAGAGCTCTTGTGTGCCTGGCTTACAGGCCATGGTGATACAGAGAGCTCCTGTGTGCCTGGCTTGCAGGCCATGGTGATACAGACAGTTCCTGTGTGCCTGGCTTGCAGGCCATGGTGATACAGACAGCTCCTGTGTGCCTGGCTTGCAGGCCATGGTGATACAGAGAGCTCCTGTGTGCCTGGCTTGCAGGCCATGGTGATACAGACAGCTCCTGTGTGCCTGGCTTGCAGACCATGGTGATACAGAGAACTCCTGTGTGCCTGGCTTGCAGGCCATGGTGATACAGACAGCTTCTGTGTGCCTGGCTTGCAGACCATGGTGATACAGAGAGCTCCTGTGTGCCTGGCTTGCAGGCCATGGTGAAACAGAGAGCTCCTGTGTGCCTGGCTTGCAGGCCATGGTGATACAGACAGCTCCTGTGTGCCTGGCTTGCAGACCATGGTGATACAGACAGCTCCTGTGTGCCTGGCTTGCAGGCCATGGTGATACAGAGAGCTCCTGTGTGCCTGGCTTGCAGGCCATGGTGATACAGACAGCTTCTCTGTGCCTGGCTTGCAGGCCATGGTGATACAGACAGCTTCTCTGTGCCTGGTTTGCAGGCCATGGTGATACAGAGAGCTCCTGTGTGCCTGGCTTACAGGCCATGGTGATACAGACAGCTCCTTTGTGCCTGGCTTGCAGGCCATGGTGATACAGAGAGCTCCTGTATGTCTTGATACAGATAGGACGTTGCAGTTGACATGACAAACAGGATGTTGTTTTATGATATTCATATTGAGTATTAGATGATAAATGTTTTAGATGCTGTTTTTTTTGTTTTTTTCCAGATCCAAAGAAAGTTCAAGAGGTTTGTATGTTTTGAATTGTATGTCTCAATTCTCTCTTTCAACATGTTATGATCATGGGTTCGAATTCCATTTTTTCCTGATAATATTTCTAGATTTGTCAGCACCATAGCCGTGCTCGTGGGTTTCAACAAAGTGGTAAATGTCTGAGCCATGCATTACTTCGGGCCTTCCTCCCACATTAAGCTGACATGCTGCAATGTAACTGGAATTCTGTTAAAAGCGGCGTTAAACCCAACTCACTCACTCTTTCAGCATATTCAGACAAAGATCTGTTTGGTGGTGCACTACACAAACCCATGTTCTCCCATGTTATATGATTTCAAGACAGGGTCTTAACAGCACAACTTTTAGGTGACTTCCATTTAAGGTCAAGGTCATTAGAGGTCACCTTATGAAACATGGCTCAAATTTCAGGTTATTTTGGATTAGTTCATTTGAAAGCAATAAACCTTACTCGCTCACTCACTCAGACTTAGAAAACAAAGATGAAGACAGGTAGATATTGGTGAAGTCAGCTGCCACCTAGTTTTGGTGAAGTCAAAATGGTTCATGATATCTTCAAGAAGTGGGCACATGGCTGCTTCTGCTTTTGCAATGCTGAAAATGAAAAGCATCTTTGTCATTTGTAAAACGCCATAAAATGCAAATAGGTTCGTGCCAGTTCAAAAACCCTTCTATGGGTGTGATGGCTTGGTGCACAGTTTCTGTGGTGTTAAAGGACTGGTCATTTATTATTATTTTTATCATTTATTTCTTTGGTAGGGGATGGGTTAAGATTTGACTGCACGAAAGACCAAAATTTTAAGAAAGAATGAAAAATTGACACAGTTGTTTTTCTTCAAATAAAAAAATTATAACTTTTAGACATTATTTAGGGACTGGTAAATATTATTGAGGGGGGGGGGGGGGGGGGGGGGGGTTGTCACGGAAGGGATGGGTGGTGGGGGTTGCAGCAAATATGATTCCAGTACTCTCCTGAGACCAATCTCACCGTACCCCCAAGTGCCCTAAGTGCCTCACGTCTATCTGACAGATATATTCATATACCATAAGAAACTTACTGAGAGAGACCAGTGTTTTTTTCAGCGGCTATCATCCATTAGACAAAATGTCAACATTTTCACAGTAAGTTTTGGGGAGTGATTGGGATGTGTAGCAATAGAGTAAGTAACTTTCTTTAGCCAACAGAGAACTTTTGAATGCACCATTACTTTTTGTAAATGTGCCTTTTTTGGTTGCAGAAAAATGAGAAATGTCAACTTTTTGTAACCAATGTGCCTGTCGGGACCACCCTAGAGGAGGTGTACGACCACTTTGTGAATTGGGGAGACCTGGCTAACTACATACTCAGACCAACTCTCACGTAAGTGCAGTTATCAGCTTTGTTAGTACGCCAGCAGAAGACCCCAGGGTGCAGCAGTCACCATTACTCTATCATGATCTATGTTTGTGGGGGCACGGGTGGCCCTGTCGTCTGTAAGGTGCCACAGGTTGCTTCCCTTGGGCACAGCAGAAACCTATTATTCTTGCAAATACTCTACCTTTATCACATCATTGCCAGTATTCCTATGTCTTCCCTGCAGTCAAAGTAAATCTTCAGATTTTCAACAGAAGTCCACTTCACTGTCAACTAAACATGTCTAGTTGTACCCGTAATAGCACAAAGCAGCTCCCCTGTGCGTAAAGGCAGGATAAGTTTCACTTCTTTCCTGTGCGTGGTAGAGGAAGTATCAACTTTCATGGTCCCGTTTTCTCTACCAATTTGGAAGTGTAGTTTCATTATACAGTAGCTAGTTTTCAGTATCGTTAGTTGGTAATTATGTAGTAATTGATCTAATTAAGGAAATCATCTTCAGTAGGTTGGCATGTTGTTACTATATACCCATTCATCAGGCATTGCAATGGTAACTACGCTTTTCTATCAATGGGATACATTACGAATCCCAAGTTCTTCCATTCAGGAACATCTATACATAATCTTGAAGTATCCACAGTTTGATTGGTCAAGTTTAAGAAAGCATGACAAATTACAAGAAACAAGGTTTTCCCCACCTTGCAGACAGGAGAGCTGTATGCTGTCAGTGTTATTAGGGGAACAACTAATCATGTATAGTTGACAGTGAAGAGGACTTCTGATGACTTCAGCCAAAATGCAGGATTATTGGCATATTATGTAAAAGAGGTAGTATACTAAGAATCATTAACAATGATAACTATTGTTTTGATGATCATGAGTTCGAATCCCAGTTCTGCCTGACTGTTTTTCTAGCTTTGTCAGCACCATACCAATGATACTTGTAAACCACATCTAAGCCCTGCTGACACACCATGATATAACTGGAGTACTGTTCACTGGTATAGATTGTACTGGACGTGAGGAGATTAGGGGTAGAATAGGTTCCAGCACCTGTGTCTGTAAGAGAGGACTACGATTGGGCCTCATCACTTGTATATATTGTACTGGACGTGAGGAGATTAGGGGTAGAATAGGTTCCCAGCACTTGTGTCTGTAAGAGAGGACTACGATTGGGCCTCATCACTTGTATATATTGTACTGGACGTGAGGAGATTTGGGGTAGAATAGGTTCCCAGCACTTGTGTCTGTAAGAGGGGACTACAAGACTCCCTGAGAAGCCAATGTCCCTTATGACTGTTTCCTTATGTTGACTAATCTCTCTTTCCAGAAATAAGCTGATTGCGTTTGTAACCTATGTGAACGAAGCGGATGCTTTGCGATGCTTGGATGCTGTTCACATACTGAATGGCGGTCAATTGTTTGTGCGTTTGTCCAACGTGAGTAAAGGGGTAAGTAATTTACCATTTCTTTTCTCAGGGAATCTGGCTGAAAGGACAAAATGAGAGGCTATGTTTTGATGCCCGGTGTCTTTATTGAATGGTTTTGTCTTCTCTATCATGTATGCGACTTAGTGTTCTGTTTGGATTTAGGGACAGAATTGGTCCCCAGTAGCCTATATGTGTCTTCCTGTGGAGATTCCAGGGTGGAACAGGTCCCTAGTACCCCATGCTATCCTCCCTGTGGAGATCCCAGTGTAGAACAGGTCCCCAGTACCCTGTGCTTGTCTCCCTTTGGAGATCCCATGGTAGAACAGGTTCTCAGCACCCTGTGCTTGTCTCCCTGTGGAGATCCCAGGGTAGAACAGGTTCTCAGTACCCTGTGCTTCTCTCCCTGTGGAGATCCCATGGTAGAACAGGTTCTCAGTACCCTGTGCTTGTCTCCCTGTGGAGATCCCAGGGTAGAACAGGTTCTCAGTACCCTGTGCTTGTCTCCCTGTGGAGATCCCAGGGTAGAACAAGTTCTCAGTACCCTGTGCTTGTCTCCCTGTGGAGATCCCAGGGTAGAACAGGTTCTCAGTACCCTGTGCTTGTCTCCCTGTGGAGATCCCAGGGCAGAACAAGTTCTCAGTACCCTGTGCTTGTCTCCCTTTGGAGATCCCAGGGTAGAACAGGTTCTCAGTACCCTGTGCTTGTCTCCCTGTGGAGATCCCAGGGTAGAACAGGTTCTCAGTACCCTGTGCTTGTCTCCCTGTGGAGATCCCAGGGTAGAACAGGTTCTCAGTACCCTGTGCTTGTCTCCCTGTGGAGATCCCAGGGTAGAACAGGTTCTCAGTACCCTGTGCTTGTCTCCCTGTGGAGATCCCAGGACAGAACAAGTTCTCAGTACCCTGTGCTTGTCTCCCTGTGGAGATCCCAGGGTAGAACAGGTTCTCAGTACCCTGTGCTTGTCTCCCTTTTACAGATCCCAGTGTAGAACAGGTTCTCAGTACCCTGTGCTTGTCTCCCTGTGGAGATCCCAGGGTAGAACAGGTTCTCAGTACCCTGTGCTTGTCTCCCTTTGGAGATCCCAGGGTAGAACAGGTTCTCAGTACCCTGTGCTTTTCTCCCAGTGGAGATCCCAGGGCAGAACAAGTTCTCAGTACCCTGTGCTTGTCTCCCTGTGGAGATCCCAGGGTAGAACAGGTTCTCAGTACCCTGTGCTTGTCTCCCTTTGGAGATCCCAGGGTAGAACAGGTTCTCAGTACCCTGTGCTTGTCTCCCTTTTACAGATCCCAGTGTAGAACAGGTTCTCAGTACCCTGTGCTTGTCTCCCTGTGGAGATCCCAGGACAGAACAAGTTCTCAGTACCCTGTGCTTGTCTCCCTTTGGAGATCCCAGGGTAGAACAGGTTCTCAGTACCCTGTGCTTGTCTCCCTTTGGAGATCCCAGGACAGAACAAGTTCTCAGTACCCTGTGCTTGTCTCCCTGTGGAGATCCCAGGGTAGAACAGGTTCTCAGTACCCTGTGCTTGTCTCCCTTTGGAGATCCCATGGTAGAACAGGTTCTCAGTACCCTGTGCTTGTCTCCCTGTGGAGATCCCAGGGTAGAACAGGTTCTCAGTACCCTGTGCTTGTCTCCCTGTGGAGATCCCAGGGTAGAACAGGTTCTCAGTACCCTGTGCTTGTTTCCCTGTGGAGATCCCAGGGTAGAACAGGTTCTCAGTACCCTGTGCTTGTCTCCCTGTGGAGATCCCAGGGTAGAACAGGTTCTCAGTACCCTGTGCTTGTCTCCCTTTGGAGATCCCAGGGTAGAACAGGTTCTCAGTACCCTGTGCTTGTCTCCCTGTGGAGATCCCAGTGTAGAACAGGTTCTCAGTACCCTGTGCTTGTCTCCCTGTGGAGATCCCAGGGTAGAACAGGTTCTCAGTACCCTGTGCTTGTCTCCCTGTGGAGATCCCAGAATAGAACAGGTTCTCAGTACCCTGTGCTTGTCTCCCTGTGGAGATTTCAGGGTAGAACAGGTTCTCAGTACCCTGTGCTTGTCTCCCAGTGGAGATTTCAGGGTAGAACAGGTTCTCGGTACCCTGGGCTAGAGCAGGTCCCCAATACCCCATATCTGTCTCCCTGTGGAGATCCCAGAGTAGAACAGGTCCCAAGTACCCCTTGTCTGTCTCCATGTGGAGATCCCAGAGTAGAACAGGTTCCCAATACCCCTTGTCTATCTCCCTGTGGAGATCCCAGAGTAGAACAGGTCCCAAGTACCCCTTGTCTGTCTCCCTGTGGAGATCCCAGAGTAGAACAGGTCCCAAGTACCCCTTGTCTATCTCCCTGTGGAGATCCCAGAGTAGAACAGGTCCCAAGTACCTCATGTGATCAAAACTCATTGATGATCTTAATCTCTAGCAATGTGGATATTTCTTAGAAAGTGCACTTCGCAATTTTTGTCATTATTGTAAGTAATATTCCTTATCACTGGAATTGATTGTTTTCTCTTTATTAGTATAAGCAGCTGTCTTTGTTAATTAACAATCACAATATAATATCAAGTGGCAAGGACTATTTTAGTCATTCCTTTGTCAGCTTGAAAGATAAGAAAACTTTGGATCCCTTATATGGCTTTTTGTCTTTTATACAAAATAACTTGTCTGGCACATTTACACCCCTTGAGTGTTATATCACTGAGTGAAGGTGAGATTCTGTACCCATGCTACTCTGGTGCAGTCATCTGAACTAGGTTCGGAATTTGAGTTAAAAAATAAAATTATGGTATTGAAAACAAAATTGATATATGTCAAATCCATACAATTATTCAATTTACTATAGAAATATGAAAACTGCTGCTTATGTAAACATTTGATAGTTTACTGGTTCTGTTAATATCTTTTTTATTACAGATGCAGGAACCACTAAGAGGTAAGAGAACAGATTTTGTTTTCATTTCATATAGATTCTGTGGGTATTCCAGAAAACAGACACAATGTCATTTAAATCATATCTTAGTGCTCACTAATGCTGCATAAAGAACTGATGACATTCTATTACAGGTCACGTCTGAATTATCTTTCACAAATTTTGACTGACCAATGAAATAATCAACAGGAAGTCAACATTAGCCAGTCAGAACGCAGTTTTCTTGGGATCGTATGCCAGTACATGTACTTCCCACGGACTGTGGACAGTCTTTTAAGTTTTAAATGTTTATCCCTGTCTTTCAGAATGCCCTGTGTTAAACTTTTCGAGGTTGCATGGTTAGAAAACACATTTGGACTTAAACATTCTTGATCTCATAAGCGATCTGACTGAAGTATGCTGACTTAAACACAAAGATATGTTCATGCTTCTTGCTTTGTGAACAGCTTCCGACTCGCGTAAATCTGACGTCACCCAGGATGCTCCTGCTAGACCTGCCACATCTCCCCAGGATGCTCCTGCTAGACCTGCAAGATCTCCCTGGGATGCTCATGTTAGACCTGCAAGATCTCCCTGGGATGCTCCTGCTGTACCTGCAAGATCTCCCCAAGATGCTCCTGCTATGCCTGCAAGATATCCCCAAGATGCTGCTGCTATACCTGCAAGATCTCCGCAAGATGCTCCTGCTGTACCTGCAAGATCTCCCCAAGATGCTCCTGCTAGACCTGCAAGATCTCCGTGGGATGCTCCTGCTATACCTGCAAGATCTCCGTGGGATGCTCCTGCTAGACCTGCAAGATCTCCCCAAGATGCTCCTGCTAGACCTGCAAGATCTGCCCAAGATGCTCCTGCTGTACCTGCAAGATCTCCGTGGGATGCTCCTGCTAGACCTGCAAGATCTCCCCAAGATGCTCCTGCTATACCTGCAAGATCTGCCCAAGATGCTCCTGCTAGACCTGCAAGATCTCCCCAAGATGCTCCTGCTAGACCTGCAAGATCTCCGTGGGATGCTCCTGCTGTACCTGCAAGATCTCCGTGGGATGCTCCTGCTAGACCTGCAAGATCTCCGTGGGATGCTCCTGCTGTACCTGCAAGATCTCCGTGGGATGCTCCTGCTAGACCTGCAAGATCTGCCAGACCCGCCAGTCCTGTGAGTCACCTAGTCTTTGCTTTAACCAAACTTGACATTATCATAACAGTGATAAAAATTGACAAGAGGATATTCATATTCAATAACACTGTAAACAGTAGACAAGAGCAAGTTCATGTTCAATAACATTGTTAACAATAGACAAGAGGGAGTTCATATTCAATAACATTGTTAACAGTGGACAAGAGCAAGTTCATGTTGAATAACATTGTTAACTGTAGACAAGAGGGAGTTCATGTTCAATAACATTGTAACAATAGACAAGAGGAAGTTCATGTTCAATTACATCGTAAACAGTAGACAAGAGGGAGTTCATATTCAATAACATTGTTAACAATAGACAAGAGGAAGTTCATGTTCAGTAACATTGTTAACAATAGACAAGAGGAAGTTCATGTTCAATTACATCGTTAACAGTAGACAAGAGGAAGTTCATATTCAATAACATTGTTAACAATAGACAAGAGCAAGTTCATGTTCAGTAACATTGTTAACAATAGACAAGAGGAAGTTCATGTTCAGTAACATTGTTACAGTACAAAAGAGGAAGTTTGTGATCAGTAAGATTGTTAACAGTAGGCAAGAGGAAGTTCATGTTCAGTAACATTGTTAATTGTAGGGGCGGTTGGGTAGCCTGGTGGATAAACGTTCGCTCGTCACGCTGAGACCCTGGTTCTATTCCCAACATGGGTACAATGTGTGAAGCTCATTTCTGGTGTCCCCCACCGTGATATTGCTGGAATATTGCTAAAAGCGGCGTAAAACCATACTCACTCATTGATAATTGTAGACAAGAGGAAGTTCATGTTCTAATAACACTGTTACCAGTTGACAGATGGAAGTTCATATTTAATAACAGTGTTACTTGTAGACAAGCACGGACAAGATGATGTTCATGTTTAATAGCATTGACAAGGTTGACAGTTGACAAGGTGAAGTTCATATTCAAAAACATTAACTGTAGACAAGAGGAAGTTGTGCAGAGTTATGTCCCATGGCACCCAGGATCTTGTTGTTGTCTTCACATCACAGTTGACTCACACTTTCACATTTAGGTTCCCCCAATCGCTGACCCCCCAACTCGGAAGCTGAGTATATCAGGGTTGACAACACGGACTTCCAATGATCACCTGCTGTACTACTTTTCCCAATGGGGTAGTATCGAGGACTACGAGCTGGAGAAGGATACAACAGGGAGGTGAGGAGTTGTGTCCCTTAGTCCCACAAGGATTTGTTTGGTTCCGATTCCATATTTTTCCAGGTTATCATCTTTGGCCTGTCAGCACCATTCTCACGCTTTGGGGTTTGTCGCCTACAATCTGTGCGAAGGAACTGACTATTTGATACTCTGGTGATGGGGTGGGATTTTGTATGGAAACTGGATATTTTTTCAGTCACATCTGCAAAATCAGATATTTTTGTAATAAAAACTATGACATATTGCAATGTATTTTTCAGCAACCCATGCTTGTCCTAAGAGACGATTAAAATGATCACATGGTCAGGCTCGTTTACTTAACATGTCATCCGATGCCAATTGCATAGACTGATGCTCATGATACCAATCACTGGATTGTCTGGTCCAGACTTACAAACAAACAAGCCAAGATATTTCCACGGGGATTCCAAGTTAGAATTGGTCCAAGAACCTGATCTTGTTGCTCATTATCTCAATCACTAGTTTGTCAGGTCCAAAGCTTATAAAATAATGCATCCACTTTTCTATTTTTTCAGACCAACCGGTTGTGCATTTGTTGTATTTGAAAGACAATGTGATGCAGAGACAGCAGTATCAACCAAGCCACATATTATTGATAGGAAGGAGATCACAGTCACCTACACCAAGCCTTCCAAGGTAAGCCTCCTATAAGGTATGTGATATAGTGAACATAGTCACCTACACCAAGCCTCCTAAGGTAAGCCTCCTACCCCAAACTTCATGTAAGGGTATGTGATATGGTGACCATAGCCTCCTACACCAAGGTTCATGTAAGGGTATGTGATATGGTGACCATAGCCTCCTACACCAAGGTTCATGTAAGGGTATGTGATATGGTGACCATAGCCTCCTACACCAAGGTCCATGTAAGGGTATGTGATATGGTGACCATAGCCTCCTACACCAAGGTTCATGTAAGGGTATGTGATATGGTGACCATAGCCTCCTACACCAAGGTCCATGTAAGGGTATGTGATATGGTGACCATAGCCTCCTACACCAAGGTCCATGTAAGGGTATGTGATATGGTGACCATAGCCTCCTACACCAAGGTCCATGTAAGGGTATGTGATATGGTGACCATAGCCTCCTACACCAAGGTTCATGTAAGGGTATGTGATATGGTGACCATAGCCTCCTATACCAAGGTTCATGTAAGGGTATGTGATATGGTGACCATAGCCTCCTACATCAAGGTCCATGTAAGGGTATGTGATATGGTGACCATAGCCTCCTACACCAAGGTCCATGTAAGGGTATGTGATATGGTGACCATAGCCTCCTACACCAAGGTTCATGTAAGGGTATGTGATATGGTGACCATAGCCTCCTACTCCAAGCTTCATGTAAGGGTATGTGATATGGTGACCATAGCCTCCTACACCAAGGTTCATGTGAGGATATGTGATGCGGTTAATATAGTCATCTACACCAAGCTTCATGTGAGGGTATGTGTTGCAATGACCATAGTCGCCTTAACCAAGCCTCTTCCATACAAAGAAGTTGCCAACAGTGATCCTCCTTGCGAGGGAATTTGATCACCATCACCCAGGAAGGAAAGTGGCATTATCTTGTAACCAGATGACAGAAGATGTGAGCAGCATTTTGGATAAGACATAGCACTATAGCCTTGGAACAGAAGAGGGAAGCAGTATCTTGGAGAGACGTCATACTATAACCTTGGAACAGAAGAGGGAAGCAGAATCTTGGAGAGACGTCATACTATAACCTTGGAACAGAAGAGGGAAGCAGAATCTTGGAGAGACGTCATACTATGACCTTGGAACAGAAGAGGGAAGCAGAATCTTGGAGAGACGTCATACTATAACCTTGGAACAGAAGAGGGAAGCAGAATCTTGGAGAGACGTCATACTATAACCTTGGAACAGAAGAGGGAAGCAGAATCTTGGAGAGACGTCATACTATGACCTTGGAACAGAAGAGGGAAGCAGAATCTTGGAGAGACGTCATACTATAACCTTGGAACAGAAGAGGGAAGCAGAATCTTGGAGAGACGTCATACTATAACCTTGGAACAGAAGAGGGAAGCAGAATCTTGGAGAGACGTCATACTATGACCTTGGAACAGAAGAGGGAAGCAGAATCTTGGAGAGACGTCATACTATGACCTTGGAACAGAGGAGGGAAGCAGAATCTTGGAGAGACGTCATACTATGACCTTGGAACAGAAGAGGGAAGCAGCATCTTGGAGAGACGTCATACTATGACATTGGAACAGAAGAGGGAAGCAGTATCTTGGAGAGACGTCATACTATGACCTTGGAACAGAGGAGGGAGGCAGCATCTTGGAGAGACGTCATACTATGACATTGGAACAGAAGAGGGAAGCAGAATCTTGGAGAGACGTCATACTATGACCTTGGAACAGAAGAGGGAAGCAGAATCTTGGAGAGACGTCATACAGTACTCAATTCCAAAAGAAAAGAAAAACCCAAAGTATAGATGTCGGCACCTACTGATGCATCATGTGTACTGACACAGGTCTGTGCTGGGTTCCATCTGTCTGTCTGTCTGGCAGTAGTTAACGCTGGTAGGTGGCGTTGATGCATGTGAGAACGGGTGATGACCCTATGTTGACTTAACAATGTTACACATGGGCGTCCGCTCCTTTGGCAATCCTGCACACTGTTTGTCAATAAGACAGTAGACCTTAGTGGGGTGAACCTGTAGATCTCTTGCCTCTCGTGTTGCAATCATACCAGCTTCAATCATGCCCAAATACTCGATGATGATTGTTTAGGCCTAATCTGGACATGGTGCATTTTGTTTCAATCAAAGAACTGACGGATGTTTCTTGCCGCTTCCTTCAACACCAAACAGTCTATGTTTCTCATTAAAAACGTGCATGTTGTTCTCAGGACGTGCTTAGAAGGACATGTTCTGGCTAGTCTGCCTCATGGAGGGGCGTTCAGGTAGCCGAGTGGTTAAAACGTTCACTCGTCACGCCGAGGACCTGGGTTCGATTCCCGACATGGGTACAATGTGTGAAGCCCATTTCTAGTGTCCCCTGCCGTGACATTGCTCGAATATTGCTAAAAGCGGCTAAAACCAAACTCACTCACTCACTGCCTCATGGATATGAAGTCTATATGTTCAGTGTTCGGTGTTTGAATCCCAAAACGACGAGTGGAATGTGTCTAGACATGTTATCCTATCAATATGTGTCCTCTTCAAACTCATTCAAGATTCTAAACCAACCTTCTGTAAATTGGACCCAATACCAACCAAGTTCACAGTTTCAATCTTGAATGTGAATTGTGAATATGAGCCTTTCTTTAAGTGTTCTTCCCACAAGTTAACATATGGCCACTGTTAGACCGCTCCTTAAGGAGCCATCATTGGATCCTCAAGTCTTAAAAAATTGCAGACTTGTATCTAACCTACCTTTCATTTCAAAGATCCTTGAAAAGGTAGTTAAATCGTAGCTGCTTTGACATCTTCCAGAGTGTGATTTACTTGAAAAGTTCCAATCAGCAAACATATCTACTTGCAGCATTGAGACTCAATTGTGTTGTGAACCATCTTAAAAAGTCTGTTGACAAAGGTGCTATAGCCTTGATAGTTCTGCAGCTTTTGACACTATTGATCATGACAAATGACTCCATCACTTGGAATCTGAATTTGGCTTCACTAGCAGTCTTGAAATATTTGGCATCATACTTGTCAGGCAGAGCACAAGCATCATCTGCGTGCTCTTGCTATCATTCAGTGTTCCACAAGGATCTGTTCTTGGACCCATCCTCACTTCAGGTCACTTTGGACATAAAACCACTTGGGGCTATTATCCATGATCAACATGTTACTCAATATTACTATGCTGACAATTCACAGCTTTTCAATAGATTTGAACTAGGTCTTCATAGTTTAGTGACTGTAACACCATGGAATCATGTATTACTGACGTGAAGTCTTGGATGACAAACAATATGTTAAAGTTGAAAAAGGAAAAAAACAGAAGCTATTCTAAAAGCACCTCCACCTAGACTTTAGAAGAGCAGAATCACTCAGCTTGTGATGGGTCAGTCATGTATACTAGCCACATAAAGAAACTGTGCACGGAAAAAATATTATTCTGGATTGAAATACAACACAGCAAGAACAAAATGATGCAGACGCTGTAGCAGCTGAATGATCGGACCATAAGAAAATGTCAACGGGACCTGAACAACATCTGTTACGATGACGTCAGAAGATCAAAATGGAGTAGGGGGTCAAACAACAAAGTCACAAAGTCAATAACGGGTATGACCACCCTGTGCGTGAATCACAGCAGTGCATCAGCGACGCATGGAGTCCACCAAATGGGCATGGAAGGCCTGGGGAATGGCCTGCCATATCCTCCTCAAATCCTGTGCCAAGTCACAGACGTTATCTGGAGGATGTGGAAGACGACGCAGACGGCGCTCCATTTCATCCCACACATGCTCTATTGGGGAGAGATCTGGAGAAATTGCAGGCCATGGCAGTAACATGACATTGTTATGGTGAAGGAAATCCATTGCGACCCTAGCCGTGTGAGGACCAGCGTTGTCCTGTTGAAATGTCAATCCCGGGCCATGATGTTGCAGGAAAGGAATGACCACAGGCCTCAGAATCTGATCTCTGTAGCCAACACCGGTGAGATTGCCCTGAACAACCACCAAAGGGGTTCGGTGCCGTGCTGTTATCCCACCCCAAATCATCACAGAGCCACCTCCAAAACGATTCCTCTCCACAATACAGTTGTGTGCATAACGTTCTCCCAAACGCCGGTAGACACGTTGGCGCTCGTCACTGTGGGAAATGTTGAACCTCGATTCATCTGTAAAGACAACATTTCTCCACCATATTCGAGGTTGGCGAACATGATTTCGACACCATCTTAGACGGTTGACTCAATGACGGTGTGTCAGGATGGGACATATGGCAGGGCGTCATGGTCAAATCCCGTACTGACGTAAACGATTCCTGACAGTGTTAGGATGGATATGGCGCAGACCAGGAATTGTCTGGGACGTCGTTACTGCCGTTTGGTACCTGTGTCAGAGATGTGTAACTCGAATCCATCTGTCCTGTCTTGGCGTCGTTACTCGGGGACGTCCTGAACGTGGGTGGTCGGCAACGTCATTTGTGTTCTGATAACGCCTCACCAATGCCGATATCGTGTTACGATGGCATTGGAAATGTGTTGCCACCTGTTGTTGCCTCATTCCCGCTCGGATCATTCCAATGGCTTCATGACGCTGTGCAGCTGTCAATCTTGGCATGATTTGCTTGTGATATGCTTGTGTCTGCGCCTCAGAAGTTTTGAATTTTTGAATGACCACAGATCATGCTTTCCAAAGTGACAGCGAATTTTGAGTTGCACATGCTGTGTACAGCTGCACAGGATGCACGTGCAGTTAGACATTGCACGTCCATAGGCCCCCATCAGTGACGTCATATCGCATGGCACGTGCATGAGCGTTTGAATGTCTCCAATAATTGCTGTGTTCAAACCTATCTTTCATATATGGACGGTGTGCCCTTATATCTATATTTTCTCCGTGCACAGTTTCTTTATGTGGCTAGTATATAAAACTCTCATCTGCTGTCAAGAACCTTGGTGTGAATCTTGACTTTTGTCTCACCACTGAAGGACATGTCAGTTATCACTGCAAAACATGCTATTACCATATTGTCATCTGATCACCAAAGACGCTGAAGCTACTCAAGCACATTCTCTGATATTCTCGAGGCTGGACTACTGTAACAATTTCTTGACAGGGACTTCAAGTCAACAACTGCAAAGGCTGCAAGAGATCTAACACACTGCTGCAAAAATCATTTCTCTTATTAAATTTAGATCAAATTTCAAAGCAGTTTTGAAGTCCCTGCATTGGTTACAAGTGTGTGAGAGAATTGATTTCAAGCTCCTTTCATTGGTGTATCAAGCAGTGCATGGATGAAAGCTTCAGTCAAATCAACAATTCCTGGTGCAGGTTCCAAATCCCAAGTTGAAGATCTTCGGCTCTGGATCTTTCAGGATTGCTGTTGTATCTTTGTGGCATTCACTCCCTGTCACTCTGAAATCAGCACCAACACTTCTGTCCTTCCAGTCTGGGCTTTAATCATTTCCTGCGCTATTCCTTTTGACTCTGCAGTTCTGGTTATAAAAACTCTCAAAACAAACCACTATTGCTAGTCCTACAATTTTGCGTGGGTTTTGAGCATGCCCATGTGGTGTGAAAATATAGCACAATATGACTGGTCTTATTATTATAATCATCTTGCCAATGCCTGACGTGCCAGAAGACATGTGTCATCTTGGTACTACTTGACAGAACTTGAAGTAGCATATTTGACAGAAATGGAAGCAGAATGATGGAAAGATGTGTCATCTTGGTGCGACTTGACAGAAACCGGAAGCAATATCATGGAGAGATGTCACCTTTGTTCAATGTTACAGTAACTGGAAGCAATGTCATGGAGAGATGTTTCACCTTTTTTCAACGTTACAGTAACTGAATAGATGTGTTACCTTGGTACTACTTGACAGAAACTAGAAGCTGCATCATGGAGACATGTATAACCTTGGTACGACTTGACAGAAATTAGAAGCTGCATCATGGAGATATGTGTTACCTTGGTACTACTTGACAGAAACTAGAAGCTGCATCATGGAGACATGTGTTACCTTGGTACTACTTGACAGAAACTAGAAGCTGCATCATGGAGAGATGTGTCACCTTGGTACTACTTGACAGAAACCAGAAGCTGCATCATGGAGACATGTGTTACCTTGGTACTACTTGACAGAAACCAGAAGCTGCATCATGGAGACATGTGTTACCTTGGTACTTGACAGAAACCAGAAGCTGCATCATGGAGAGATATGTCACCTTGGTAAGACTTGACAGAAACTAGTAGCTGCATCATGGAGAGATATGTCACCTTGGTACGACTTGACAGAAACCAGAAGCTGCATCATGGAGAGATATGTCACCTTGGTACTACTTGACAGAAACCAGAAGCTGCATCATGGAGAGATATGTCACCTTGGTACTACTTGACAGAAACCAGAAGCTGCATCATGGAGAGATGTGTTACCTTGGTACTACTTGACAGAAACCAGAAGCTGCATCATGGAGACATCTGTTACCTTGGTACTACTTGACAGAAACTAGAAGCTGCATCATGGAGAGACGTGTCACCTTGGTACGACTTGACAGAAACTAGAAGCTGCGTCATGGAGACATGTGTTACCTTGTACTACTTGACAGAAACTAGAAGCTGCATCATGAAGAGATATGTCACCTTGGTACTACTTGATAGAAACTAGAAGCTGCATCATGGAGACATGTGTTACCTTGTTACTACTTGACAGAAACTAGAAGCTGTATGATGGAGAGATGTGTTACCTTGGTACTACTTGACAGAAACTAGAAGCTGCATCATGGAGAGATGTGTTACCTTGTTACTACTTGACAGAAACTAGAAGCTGCATCATGGAGACATGTGTTACCTTGTTACTACTTGACAGAAACTAGAAGCTGCAACATGGAGTCATGTGTTACCTTGGTACTTCTGGACAGAAACTAGAAGCTGCATCATGGAGAGATGTGTTACCTTAGTACTTGACAGAAAATAGAAGCTGTATGATGGAGAGATGTGTTACCTTGGTTCTTGACAGAAACTAGAAGCTGTATGATGGAGAGATGTGTTACCTTGGTACTTGACAGAAACTAGAAGCTGCATCATGAATAGATGTGTTACCTTGGTACTACTTGACAGAAACTAGAAGCAGAATGATGGAAAGATGTGTCATCTTGGTGCGACTTGACAGAAACCGGAAGCAATATCATGGAGAGATGTCACCTTTGTTCAATGTTACAGTAACTGGAAGCAATGTCATGGAGAGATGTTTCACCTTTTTTCAACGTTACAGTAACTGAATAGATGTGTTACCTTGGTACTACTTGACAGAAACTAGAAGCTGCATCATGGAGACATGTGTTACCTTGGTACGACTTGACAGAAATTAGAAGCTGCATCATGGAGATATGTGTTACCTTGGTACTACTTGACAGAAACTAGAAGCTGCATCATGGAGACATGTGTTACCTTGGTACTACTTGACAGAAACTAGAAGCTGCATCATGGAGAGATATGTTACCTTGGTACGACTTGACAGAAACCAGAAGCTGCATCATGGAGAGATATGTCACCTTGGTACTACTTGACAGAAACCAGAAGCTGCATCATGGAGACATGTGTTACCTTGGTACTACTTGACAGAAACTAGAAGCTGCATCATGAAGAGATATGTCACCTTGGTACTACTTGACAGAAACTAGAAGCTGCATAATGGAGACATGTGTTACCTTGTTACTACTTGACAGAAACTAGAAGCTGTATGATGGAGAGATGTGTTACCTTGGTACTACTTGACAGAAACTAGAAGCTGTATGATGGAGAGATGTGTTACCTTGGTACTTGACAGAAACTAGAAGCTGCATCATGGAGAGATGTGTTACCTTGGTACTACTTGACAGAAACTAGAAGCTGCATCATGGAGACATGTGTTACCTTGGTACTACTTGACAGAAACTAGAAGCTGCATCATGAATAGATGTGTTATCTTGGTACTTGACAGAAAATAGAAGCTGTATGATGGAGAGATGTGTTATCTTGGTACTTGACAGAAACTAGAAGCTGCATCATGAATATATGTGTTACCTTGGTACTACTTGACAGAAACTAGAAGCTGTATGATGGAGAGATGTGTTACCTTGGTTCTTGACAGAAACTAGAAGCTGTATGATGGAGAGATGTGTTACCTTGGTACTTGACAGAAACTAGAAGCTGCATCATGGAGAGATGTGTTACCTTGGTACTACTTGACAGAAACTAGAATCTGCATCATGGAGACATGTGTTACCTTGGTACTACTTGACAGAAACTAGAAGCTGCATCATGAATAGATGTGTTACCTTGGTACTTGACAGAAAATAGACACTACATTATGAAGAGATGTATTACCTTGGTCCAACTTAACAGAAACCAGAAGGAAGCAGTATCATGAAGAGTTGTGTTACTATTACTTTTACTATTTGAGTGTTGATTATCTTTTTTCAGGAAAAATATATACTTTTTCTAATATACTACCCATGGTATGTGCTGAATCTATTATGCCCCCACCCAATTGTTATAGATTGATTATAAATTGCTATTGAGTGCAGAACTTGGTCATAATTGGTGATCTGTGCTTTATGCAGCTGTATACCATTTCTGTAGAACCATAAACAGGTTGCAGATGTAGTGTGATGTAATTATAATAGAAGTAATATGCATTTCATCATGATACACTTTTCTTCACGTTTTCAACATTTAATCTACACAATTGTTACTGCTTTATGAATTGACAGGATCTAAAAACTGAACTATACATCTGGCTTTATACAATTCAATTTTGTTCCTTCAGAAACAGCCATCCGAAACTTTTCCATCTTGGAGGGAAGAAGGACACAGTGAAACTGTCCATCGACCAAGATTACCTGAAACGGTCAAATTGCAGAGATTACATGAAGTTGACCATCCAAAATATGCTTTGGAGAAACAAAGGTTGCCTGAAGATGTCGGATCACAAAGTTTGCCTGAAAATTTCCAGTCACGAAGGTTGCCTGAAGATTTCCAGTCACGATTGATACCAGAAGACGTCCAGTCACGAAGGATGCCTGAAACTGTCAAATCACAAAGATTGCCTGGAGTTTACCATCCAGAAGACGCTATGGAGCCACAAAGGTTGCAGGAAGATAGTGCTGAGTCACGAAGGTTGCCTGAAGATTTACAGCCACAAAGGTTTCCTGAAGTGTTTCAGCCAAGGATGTTGCCTATAAGGCAGTCAACGTCAGAAAGTTTAATTCCAGGTTTGAAACAGGCAGAGGTTGTTCCAGACTCACTACCACCACCACAAACATTAGGAACTGAATACAACTGCAATGTTTCTGGATGTTTCTATAGAGGAACATCATTGCAGTTTGAGCGTCACTGGACAGAGCGACATGAAGCAAAGGTTATCTATCTCATCTGTTCATTTTGTACTATGGGATGTGTGGACGCAGATGATCTTTGTGAACACCTGGATTTCTTTCACGGGGTCGAGGACAAGATAGAACTTTCAAAATTCCTACAAGAGGCCAAACGAGAAGAGAGAGATAACATTCACTATGTCATGCCAGGCAGTGTCACAAAGGAAAGCTGTATGAGAGTTGCAAAGCCAGCTCGACATGAACCAACCAGATTAAAACCTCCACCCCAACAAACGACAGATGCTAGAGATGTCCAAAAGTGCACAGAATGCACGTTTACTGGCACTATGGATGAGTACTTTAACCACTGGAACATAAACCATGTTTCTGAACTCATTTACCAAACGTGTCCAATATGCCCCAAAACATTCATGAATAAAGAATCTCTTGAGCTTCACATCAAACATGTGCATCAGAACATAAAGATCTATATGGAAAAAGAACCAGATGATCTTGAGGCTGACTTTGATGAGTATCAGAACTTTAATCTCAGAAGTAGTCAGCAGGAAACTGGTTATCATAAATTTCAAAGAGAAGAAGTACACAGATCCCAGACACACATACAAACAATTTTAGGAATGAGTTCAGGAATGAGTTCAAGAAGTAGTCAAACTGGAAACCTGTCTACACAGACAAAGTCCACAGCTTCATCCAGTGCACCATTGCAGTCTGGCCATAATGTGCCAAGGCCCAACTTGGTACCCAGATTGCCAACCCAGCAGCCTGTTCCCAGACTTGATCCTCCACCTCTGGCAACCCATGTGCCACTTCCTCCACTACAGCATATTCAGTCTCAACCAACAATTGTCAGTGGTCCACAATTGCCATACAGACACCTAGTCCCACCTACAAATACACCCTCCCAACCAGCAGTGACTTTACATGGGCTAGTATCATCCTTCAATCTCTCCACATCATCTATTCCCAAACCTGTGCCACCTCCTCCCTTCTATCCTTCCACAGCATCTGTTCCCAAACCTGTGCCACCTCCTCCCATCTATCCCTCCACAGCATCTGTTCCCAAACTTGTGCCACCTCCTTTAAGACCTTCAGTCCCTTTGGTCTCTTCTTCCCAGCCTGCTGTAGCAAGTCAGTTATATCCACCAGCATATCCTCAGCCATCTGATTCTGGGATTCCCAATACCTATGATACAGAAACAGCGGTAGTTGCTTCAAGACCTGTTGTAGGTGCTCAACCACACATAGTTTCTCCTGTAAGCTATTCTCAAGCTTCATTTCAACCCCAAGTAAGTGCGCAATCACATCAATCTCCAATAATGGCTCCAACACAATCCCAATTTGGTGCTACTGTAGCTTCTTCAGTTGGTCCACAAACTTTTCCTCAAGCAGGTGATCCACCACAACTCCCAGTGACTGGGCAAGTAATCAGTCAATCTCTGCAACATGGAAGTGCACTTCAACCTGTCCAACCACAAATGTCTCAGCCAGAGGTACTAATGAAACAACCACCCGTTGATTCCCAGTCAGTAACAATGCCAAGTGCAGATCCTAGTACCACTCCTCCACTGGATCCTCTGGATTTAATCATTATTTACAAGGGCTTCCAAAAAACTCAGGAAACGGCAGCAGAAGATGTACAGGAAAAGGCAACAGAAGACATACAGGAAGAGGCCTCAAAACAGGAACAATCCGAGAGTGAACCAGAGAAGGTAATTGACACAAAAGTATTTGATGAACTGAAAAAATCAGTCCAGCCTGGTTCTGTTCTTGCTCTGAGACCAGATTGGACAAAGACATTGAAAGTTACACGCCCAAAAACAACACCTCTGGATAAAACTAATTCTGTGAAAGAGAATAGATTCACACCCCCAAGTAAAGTAATTCCAAAGTTTGATAGAACGGACTCAGATAATGTCCGAAAGTTCTTACTTTGGAGTCATATAATGATGAAAAGATTAGAGGATGCTAATATTAAAGCGAGAAGAAGGCTTGAATCAGAAGGTGATGGTGATGGTGATGATGATGATGATGATGATGATGGTGATGTTGAAGAGCCTAAGGAAATCTTTGAGTGGTCTTCAGATGAAGAGACAAATGGTAGAAATGTAAATACGAAAGTTAAAGCAACATTAAGTCAATCACATGAGAATATGAAAGCAAGAGCACATACTATTGCTCAGAAAGTGGTCAAAGACTATAGAAATCAGCAATTAGAGGGGAAAACTACAAAAACAAAAGGACAGTCTAAGAAAGGGAAGGGTAAACTAGGGTCGGTTGACAATAAGGTCTTAGGTAAGTTGCTTCAGAAGTCCATTGGTATGGTTAAATATCAGTCTAAGAGTTCTAATGTAAATGCAGATTTAATTAAAAAAGGTATGTCATGGGCTAAACAAAAGATTATATATTTGCTGAAACACGATGAGAAGATGATACCTACTGACATTGATGAAGAAAGTAGAGAAACAGATTTTCAGCAAAGGACAAATAACCGTAGTCAGTCAAGGGAAGGCCTCCATCAAAGGACAGATAACCGTGGTCGTTCAAGGGAAGACCACCAGCAAAGGACAGATAACCGTGGTCGTTCAAGGGAAGACCACCAGCAAAGGACAGATAACCGTGGTCGTTCAAGGGAAGACCACCAGCAAAGGACAGATAACCGTGGTCGGTCAAGGGAAGACCACCAGCAAAGGACAGATAACCGTGGTCGGTCAAGGGAAGACCACCAGCAAAGGACAGATAACCGTGGTCGGTCAAGTGAGGGTGCTGAGCAAAGGACAGATAATCATGGTCAGTCAACACAAGAATTTCAGAACAGGAGAGATTGGAATGCGGAAGATGTGGAAGTGTACGTGGATGAATTTGGGAATGAAGATGAAGAATATGCTCTGGCCTATGTGGATGAAGATGGAGTTCATGTGATGGATGATAGTTTTATGATGGGAGAGGGAGGTCCTGTTAAAAAGGGAGAGAGAATGGATGACATTGATGACGTGTATCATGGAATTGACCAAGGGTCAAGGAGTGACAGGATAAGGGGAGAGCCAAGAAGTCATGTTCAGAGAGGCTATGGAGGAGGAGAAACAAGAAGTGGTCACAGAAATCTTGATGAAAGAGACATGCAGATTTATGACAGAGGTCAAGAGGAGTACATTGAGGATAGATTTTCTGAGGAAGAGTATTTGGAATATGGAGGAGATGACAGAATTAGTTTCAGTAGTAGCAGTCACAGCATGAGAAGGAATGAGGATAGAAGGTCACAAAGGTTTGAGGATCAAATACCCAGAGACTCTGTCTTGGATGAAAGACATTTTAGCCCTCCGTGAAGCAGGTTTAGTGAGGGACGGGAAGATGAATATGAAGTCTTTGGACATGGTAGCCTCGGTGAGTTTGACATGGATGACTTTGTTGTCATGGATGCAGTGTGAATTGGAAACTTTGTTGATAATCATTATGAAGCTACATGCTTTTGAAAGGAACAGATATCTTTAGCCCTTCCCCAGCAGTGCAAGCTATTGGATGTCCTTCGGTGGGCATATTGTAGATGAATATGTTAGTGATAATGAGAATACTTTGTAGCAGGCAATACTGTACAAGTTTACAGAACTCAAGGCCAATTGCAACAAAGTTGTCTGTACAACACTCATCTGATGTTTGTATGGTAAGAAGCTGCCTTGGGAGTGATGGATATTCAAGGACTGGGATGTTTTCTTAAAGATGATAAGGAACTTGTGAGCCATTATGATTAGTGATGAGTTGTTGGTGCAGTCGATTTATTCCAAGAATTCCTTCAAATACACTACCTTTATTACATCATATAGCCATAAATTCCCATTCTGGCTGTCATCACTCGATAAAATCTTTAGATTTTCAACAGACAACCTTGTCTCTTTCTTCTGATTCGTTTTGAGGTAAACCCTTTGCTCAGCCATAATGCAACTGCGCATTTGTGAGGTGGGAAAATGTCACTTCTTTCCTGTGTGGGGGGCACGGGTGGCCCAGTCGTCTAAGGCGCCGCGATTCGCTGTGCAGAGTTGCGTCCCTTTGGGCACGCCAGAAACCTATGATTGTGGGTTCGAATCCCGGTTCGCCCCGATTATGTTTCTAGGTTTGTCAGCACCATACCCGTGCTTGTGGGTTTCACCGAAGTGGTAAACGTCTGAGACCTGCATCAGTTCGGGCTTTCCTCCCACATTAAGCTGACACGCCGCGATATAACTGGAATACTGTTAAAAGCGGCGTAAAACCCAACTCACTCACTCACTCTTTCCTGTGTGTGCTGAAGTAAACATCAAAACCTAATGTTTGGTGATTCCCTGCTGGAACTCAGGGTTTGTCAGTAGTTGGCAAATGTTGCATTGACTCAGAAATCCATATTGCTACAGCAATAAATGAGTAGACTGGTTAGGCAAATAACTGAAGATACATATTATGCATCATCATTATAGCCCTGGTCTGTAGTCTTCTGCCGCTTCGCTTTTAGTGATTAAATCTTTATAAGATGTTTATTATGTGTTATTTCTAATTATGACATATGTTTTGCTCAAAGTGGACCCTGCATGTCTTTATACTCTGTTGCCCAGTAATCTAAAGCTCTGTGGAGTTGCATCAGCTGTGTCTTTGGTTCAAGTCTGACAACCTCCTCGATTATGATCCTTGGCCATTCAGCACTATACCTGCCGGCTTCTATGTGCCAACAACCTGTGTCCCTTTTGGTGTGCCACCCACTTGAAGTTGACAAGCCATGATATGACTGAAATACTGTTCAAGCAGTATTAAGTCTAATGCACTCACTCCCTTTTGTTTTATTTTGGTCTCATATCAAGACTTTGGTCACTGATTAAAGTAACGTAAAGGCAGACGACTCTGGCTGCCTTGTCAAATGTGAATTCATTTCCCTGTTCATAAATCCCCAAATCCATACCTCAATGAGATGGAAAGTTGTATTGCCAAGACATGTACGAGAGGTTTTGAGCATTCTTTTGAGCATTCTTTTGCTTGTACACACTGCTATGTATTGGGGAAAATGCATGAAATAGAAGCTATACCTGTGTGTGTTTTTATGTGTTATCATGTTTCCTTTCAGACTGAAACATTTTATGAATTTCTTAAAATGTTGAAATGTTTCGTTGTTTCAGAATGCTTTTATTACTCAGTCTTCTTTTTTGAGAGCTGAAAACAGAAGTACTCCTAATGCAATAGTCTGCTGTTTTCTCTGTGTAGATCTGTACAGAGCATTGACCAACCAAACAATTCACAGCATACCAATATGACACGACCAGATTAAAGATGTTATCATCATCATCATCATCATCATCATCATCCAATCTATTCATTCTTCTATTACTTTGCTAATTTTACCTGATTGCAAAATAATGATTGTGATCAGGTCGTTAGAATTAGGTTTTTTGTTGATTTTAAAGATTTTACCCAAGGGTGTGTAGTGATATAAAGAAAATTATCACTCAATTTATTGTCGTTCTTGAGAACTGGACAGAATTATTTTTCTTTCAAAGAGAATGAAAGGGATATATATGTCAGCTGTCTTTGAAGGTGCTATTCCAGAATTAACATTTATGGATTTGCATTTGTGAAATTGAGCTAGCCTATTGGTAAACCAAATTAATATATATTCAATTAAACAACTTCAGTTTTTTTCTGCATTGTGACCGCCTCTGTGGTAATGTGGAAAGAGTTTCTGCCCAGGGACAGGAAGGTCGGTGTTTTGTTTTCTGGATATGTAACAAAAGACGTTAAAAGGTGGTACTTGTTACCCAGTCTGGCACTTGGCTTGGCTTTAATAAGATAAGGACTGGTCGGCTCGGTTTTGATATACTGTGTCAGATTAGGTATCCATTTAGACTGTGGCATGGTATGTATTGACTTGCACTATATAAGAGACACGCAAGCACACACACACTCACACATGCACCTACCTACCTGCATTGTGGCGAATACTCAAGGTGATGTTATTGTTCATGTAACTGCAGGTAACGAGTCGGATGAATATTAACAATAATGATGTGTTCAATATTCTTTTTTTATGGGAAGTGATAAATTTGGTATTAAAAACTTTAATTTAACTTGAAGTAAGCGAGAGACGTTAATACATGAATTCCATGACTTACTTGTAAATAATGAGTGAGTGAGTATGTCGGTGGGGGACACCAGAAATGGGTTTGACACATTGTACCCATGTGGGGAATCAAAACCGGACCTTCGCCATGACGAGCAAATGCTTTAACCACTAGGCTACCCTACCGTCTGTAAGTAATGAATAAAATCTTGATCAATATGATATATTCTTCTGTACAGTAATAAAATATATTGAATTTCAAATTATTGTAGTTTTCATTTTCATTTGTGGCCATGCTAACTTGTCTGAACATTTGTTTTCTAATTCTCTGAATTGATATGCATAATTGCGTTAAACAAATAATGCAAAGATGAAGAGGTTTGAAATAAGCATGCTTATGATTGTGGTCACAGGTGGGTAAGAAGTATGTTTTACACAATTTATAGTAGATAATAACATGATTTGGGTTGTGGGTTTGGGTGTGTGAGATGTTATTGTATCAAAAATATATAAATTGTCCCTGAAAATTCTTTAAAAACAAAAGGAAATGCCTGCCACAAAATTTACATTGTTGCAAGGTGTTTTTATTTGTAAAAATTCAGTATCATAAAAAATATATATATGTTTATGGTTTTGAAACTGCAGCTGAAAATATATCTTTTCTCGACACAATCTGGGGTCATTTGTCAACAAAGGGTGGAAGCACTGGTTCACTGGTTAATATCGTGGTCACCTCTGTGATGCATTCGAGACGTTGTTGACGCATCGACCTAACCTAGTTTCCGATGGTAATCTGTGAAATGGCTAACCATTCTTGTTGCAAGAATTGCACCAACTGAGCACAGTTTGCAGGCTGAGAACGTTTCGCTCCAGCACATCCCACACATGTTTAATTAGTACCAAATCAGGAGAATAGGCTGGCCAGTCCATTCTGTCTACCTGATTCTGCTGCCAAAAGTTCCTGAAAACTATTGCACAATGTGGACGTGCATTTTCGTCCTGGAGCAACAGCTCGAAGTGCTGGAAACACTAGATGGCATATGGACCAACAGCTCGAAGTGCTGGAAACACTAGATGGCATATGGACCAACAGCTCGAAGTGCTGGAAACACTAGATGGCATATGGACCAACAGCTCGAAGTGCTTGAAACACTAGATGCTGTAAAATATAGTCTCTGTAGCGCAAAGCGTTCTAGTTACCCTGAACATGGTACAGGGCAGTTCTGTGGTTGAAACTGAATCTGCCCCACATTATCACTGATCCACCTCCAAACCTGTGTCTTTCTCTGACGTTAGCGTGGGCACAAAGCTCACCAGGACGTCGGTACACTCGGATGCGGCCGTCATTTAACTGCAAACTGAACCTGGATTCATCAGTGAACAAGGTACTGTTATACTGGTGCCTATTCCACCGAAGATGCTGCTGACACCACGTCACCTGTGCAGCTCTATGGTGCGCCTAAAGTGGGATACGGACGTCGTGATCTCAAGTTTGCCTCTCGAATCCTATTCCTATTGGTCTGGTCACTAACGTTAGCTTTAGCAGCGTCCCTAATGTATATTCTGACAGCATTAGAAGAAACGGTGCGTTGGCGTAGTGCCGTCAGGACGATGAGTCGATCCTGTGCGCCTGCCGTGATCCGTGGACGACCAGGTTGATGTGGTTCCTACACTTGTCCTGCTTGCTGAAAGCGTTACCATAGTATGTGAATGACATTTGGGGACTCATTACATTAAGACGTACTGCCACATCACGTAAACTGATGCCTTCCTGAATCGATGTCACAGAATATTGAACTATTATCGAGTTGTATGTAAATCCTAGAACGATAATGGTCCGGAAGCACTTCGGTGTATGATCTAAGTTAGATTTAGTTCAAAATATTAATTAAGAGAGCTAAACACCTGCCTTATCAAGCTTCAAGTGCTCTGGTGAAATCAGATTTTCTCCTGTCCAGCAAGAAAATGGAAGTTGTTACCTACCATCTTCCGGTTTGGCATGGACAGCGCCTACCCTTTGTGTATTGGTATTATACTCTTCAAAAACACAGAGACCCGGGTTCGATTCCCGACATGGGTACAATGTGTGAAGCCCATTTCTGGTGTCCCCCGCCGTGATATTGCTGGAATATTGCTAAAAGCGGCGTAAAACAATACTCACTCACTCATTCAAAAACACAGAAAAACAAAACGGATATTTTTGGCCATAAAAACAAAATTAGCGGACCAAGAGGTGCAAGTGGTCTAGGAGTTGTCTAGTTGTAAACACTTGCTTGAATGGTTCACGCCATACAAGTTGGGATTGTATATAAACAAAATGGTTTTGACTAATCAAAATGACATTTGGTAGGACTGCCAATCGTTCGGAGTCTCCATTTAATAATGTCCAGCCCATGTTGACAACGTGCACCGCACAGGAAAGTT